AAATTAATTGAGTAACCCATTTACAGTGGAAACTGTGCCTTCTGTGACAATTTAATCTTGCCTGTAAACTGACATGCTTCATGTAACAGACTGTTATTTGTGAATAAGTTATTATCAGTAGCAGTGTATATAAATGACACTTTTCAAAATACCTGCCAAGAATCACCAAATTTAAAGTGCACATGAGAGCTTTACATTTACTCACCATCTGGGTGATTTTTACTGTATCCGCGACATATTCAATATGAATAACTCTTCATATCATGATATTGCTAAATGGTTAGTCAAAATTTCACGACAAGTCAAAAATCAAATCACTAAATAAGCCTTTGCTGATCCATCTAGTTTGCTAGTTCAATATTCGGTGTCAGCGTAACCAGGAACTCAATTCCTTTCTACAAATATGAATAGATTAGATTTACGATCGATATTAGTGCATTTGTCAATGATACTAAACTAATAGTCCTAGTATGGTGTAGTCGACACTCTATGATGTGACCACCTAACCTGCAAGGTCTTACATCATAGTCCCACCGTTTTCCATGCTGACTAGCCCCATCATATCAGTCAGACGTGTTGTGTGTTGGAATATTTAAATAACACATCATACTGAGAACAAAAGGCTTAATGTGGATGTTCTGGTGCATTATCTGAAGAAATGACATTTTACATGGATTTAAATTGAACTATTGCCTTAAAAAGACAAACTGACGGTGTAATGGTAGGGTTGCCACTCGGCTTATCCCTTCTGCCTGATTCATTACCTGTCTCAAAAGCTACACCAAGATCGACAATTTGTAGTTTCTGTCTACATAAGGGATGTTTAAATATTGCCTTCATTAATTGTGACATAAATATCGATTTTAACAACACACTGGAAACATCCAGTGTTCGAGATGATGGGGAAGATTTGTAGCTCAGGTAGATGATTTTAGTGGAGTTTTGTTCTCCGAGCTGAATGATTTGGTGGTGGAGCTTTCATCGTTATTCGAAACGACATCATCAGTACAGACTTCTACCTGAGCTCACCAGCAGGCATTTAGGGTTTGGCAGTGCCTTTAAAATTAGCACCTTATAGTGGAAAGATTCCAACGCAGTCAAGTCGGAAGTCAAGGATAAATGAGCGTGGAGATATATTTAGAACTTTGTTGATATTTTTGGAAACGCTTGATCTAATCTGATTAGTAATTGCGAGGGATACGTAGCATGACGTACCCACTCATGATCTGGTGCGGATGAGTGACCGAGAGCCTTCAGCTATGATGTGTCTAGTAAAACTAATGAAGTCAGCATCAATGTTAAAAACCTACAGAACTAGTTACTTTGGTGATTGATTTACCACTGCAACATTATTCGATTAAAATATTTCTCTAATCTATGGAATTTTCGTCTCTTGATCATGCATCTAAATACACAGTTTTTACATTTTATCCACCCAGCTACTTAAATGGCAACGTAACGTCTGCTGCTCCGAACAAACTAACTCTTCAGGTACAAATATATTCTAATACTCAAGATATACTGTCATATAGATGACAGGTTTGTTCCATTGGCTGGACTGCGTTTACTTAACCCCCTCAGCGGTTTTGAATGCCACCATCTTATCAACAAGCGAACTTGAGGGGAACGACTGACCCCTTCCCTGGGGTAGTGGGCTTGTTGGATGACGACTTGGTGTTCTAGATTTTGGGCATTCATGCACGAGGCCGAAGGTCCTGGGTTCAAATCCTCTCTGCCAACAAACCCCTATTGGCGGCAACTATCGAAGCATTTCGTGCCAACAGATGCCGGTAGCCATTTGGGATCAACATGCATCCGGACAGGTCACATGATACCAGGATCAAGCACAAAAACAAGCTGGAGCTGACTATTCCACCTGTGGACTGTCAAGACCATGAACAAAACGTAGAAAGCACAGGGGCTACCAACTCGGAACAATCTGTGTAGGCAGGTTACCTGTCCATTTCACATAAGGTTCATGTAGATAAACAAGACGGGGAAGCTAACGTGTTGCAAATTGAGAGCATAAACTTCTTGTATATGAGCGTTGCGAGTTTACCGAATATACTGGACGAGTTGCGTAAACTCAGTAGTTCTAATAATGCTCATCTGGTAGAAATATATGAGACATGGATATCTCCTCAATTTACGGACCAGGAGCTAGCGATACCGGGGGTATCTTTGATTCGCAACGACAGAAAAACAGGAATGGCGGGCAGGATTGCTTCATGCTTGCGATCTCACTTCGAAGTACAAGTGCGCAAGTAAAAGTTTATCAGTCTTGACGGATCCGTATGGTGCTCAGTAAAATTGTGCGCCGCCTAGTGGTGTCTAGCTGGAGTTTTCTATAGTAAGCTCACTGCTGATATCGAGTAAGTTAATCGTATGCCGGAATGATTATCGGGCTTTTCTGGTCTCCGATTCAATCATATCTTGATTGCAGGAGACCTCAATCTTCCTAAAATCAATTTCCCGGAACATACTTATATTGGAGGTAAAATCTCTTCTGAAGTTCGATTCACCAACCTCATTGAAGGTCTGGGATTGTTCAAAAATGTGAAGTTGGCAACTCGTTGGAGAAACAGTCAGACGTCGTCGCGCTTATACTTCATATTTACAAACGAAAAATTCCCAACTGACAACCTCTCAATCCTGGCTCCCTTGGGGAAAAGCGTTCACGCCGTCATAGCCCTCAGTTCAATCAGTAAAAGTGAGCTAAGATATCTTACCGACGACAGGCGCTGGAATTTCATGCGGTTGGATATGCCAGCTTTACAGATGGACTGGGAAGCACACCCTCAACTTGATGTGCATGCTCATTAGGATTACTTACTGCACACGATCTTATGTGCTACAAAGCAGTCTGTTCCCCAAATGGTTTCCAAAATCTACAAGCAACCTACAGTCATCAACAACCGAACTGTTCGTTCGCTAAGCCAAAAAATGCACTGTCGGGCGGAATACAAACAAACTGGTAACAATGGAGCATACAGGCTAACTTGATGTACCAGAAACATCAGCACCCAGAAAAAGACACTTCTCCTGGTCAGAATATAGTTTGTGGTGATCGGTATTCGATGTTATCCTTTAACTTCGTATATTGTTCGTCCTGATGACTGTTACTCATTCACGCCCCAACGGTGTATAGATCAGAAGGCACATACAAAGCGTTGATTACGTTTATCATTGAAGCACGCACAGCCATCCAAAATTTCATGCACGTTAAGCAAGCATGAAAGAGTAGTGCCGTAAAGCAAGCGAGTCGAATGAACGCGCGTGTGATCGAGTCAGTGAACAGGATTTGTATATATGTATGGAAATGAATGAATAATCGAATCAATTAAGCGATTAATAGTAAGGCTAGCAAAATGAATATATGCATAGGCAGTAAACACTGCTCAAGCGTACATAATATAGACACAATAGTGTAGATAGTTTGTTATTGTGCGAATGATTCTGTCCGTTAAATAAGTTAACAAAAAGGCTTAACCAAATTGGATGTGAACAAACTCAACTCAATGTGAGCTGCTATGAGTTCAGTATGATATGCTACGAGGAGCAGCTTCAATCCTGAGAACACCTCTTAGCGTGATGTTCTCACACTTGTTAAGGCGAGGCGAAATACTGGAAATTCAGAGGCTGGCTCACATCACACCAATTTTCAAAGTAGGTCGACATAGCGAATCCTCAAGCTACCGACCGCTGGCCCTTCTCTCTATACCTTCTAAAATTATGGATTCCTTGATATGCGATGGTATACACGACTTCACACCCCAACAGCATGGTTCCAGGAAGGGTCAATTTGTATAATCAACCTGCTGGCTGCGGTGGACAGATGGACAAGCATCGTCGCAAGGGGAAGGCTGACATTATTTACCTTGATTTCTCAAAAGCTTTTGATAGGTTCAACCATATGTGTATTTTAAATAATCTCAAAAGAATAGGTATGAAATCACCTTTAATTGATTGGCTAACTTCATATCTACATAATCGACATTTTAAGGTTAGCGTTAACTTCACTCTGTCTCAGTCTACGGAATGTCCTAGTGGGTTCGCCTAGGGTTCAGTACTAGAACCTCTTCTTTCCATGATTTATGTGACTGATCTTCTACAGCTGGTGTCATCACATTAACTACTTTTCTCCGACGATGTGGAACTCTGGAGAAAAGTACAAAACAATGAGGACAAACTGGCAATTCATGAGGATCTGACTAGACTTCAAAGCTGGGCGGACGACAACGGACTTACCTTACGATCAAACATAGCATTGGTAACGCTGACGTGCATTTTTGGTCAATTTGACTAAAGAACTTTCTGAATAATCTTCAACAGTTTCATTCGTTCCCGTTTACAGCACGGAAACATAGTGTTTGCTCCCTCACTCCAAAAGGGTAAGGATACTCTGGAGCGTATCGAACGGTGAGCCGCGAAATCAGTTTGAGGACTCTAATTCATGCCTTATGAAGAGCTCCTTCAACCACTGAACCTTTACCTATTAGAGGTGACATTCCAACGGCTTACAGCATCCTAGACACTTCTCGCCATCCCCATAAACACCCATTTAAGCTTAGTCCCAACACAAACCTTAGGGCTAACATCCAGAAACTGGAGACACAACTTCTATTCATTAAGAGTAGTCACGTATTGGAATTTATCGCCGGATGAGCTAGTACAAGCAACTTCCCAGTAGTCCTTCCCGAGAAAACCCGACATATTCTTAAGGACTAATGTTATTAATTTACTATGATTTATCAATTTTTTCTTCTATTTACTCTTTTATCGATAATATATCTCGGTTCTCTCCCGAAGGCATCGTTTATCCACTGCTACTAGATACGGAAGCGCGTTAAGAAAAAGCGTTTTCTATTCCGTCCAGAACTCTTTTTGTAGACGACATTGGATATTGGACCTGAAGATCCACAATGTATCAAATTCAAACATGTGTTCTGTTTTCGTAGCTTTGTGAAAATACTTTGAATACTTGCTAATCTTCATAAAGTCCTTTTCAGGACAGCCAACGAAGTACGTTCAACCGGGTGACCTCTCTAATTTTTGGGTTTGAATTCTTTGAATTGTATCTGGCTGTTTGACACCTAACACATTTAGTATTTCCGTAGTTAAATAGTATAAACAGATTAATCATTCTTGGATAGCTAGTTGGAATTAAAGAATAGTCCAAACTTGTTGATGGCATTCAGTGAGGGCAGTAAACACAATCAAATACCTTAGTACCAGTGAAATCGACAGGTATTCATAGATCAGCATATCACATGATATCATCGAGATATCTTGAGCATAAATGAGTGCATTTTTTCGGAGCAAACAGATATAATTCCATCACGTAACTGTTTTTCGGTTATAATAAAGGTTAGAAGATTAGAATTAAATAGGGAAAAGGGTGAACACCATATGTTTCTATACTCTATTTTCTGGTGAAGTTTGTAGGGTGGAATTTATTTGCAGTCAAATTTCTAAATAATTATCTTGCTCTCTCAAGCTTTTATTTTTACTTACGGAGCTTTGTGCGTTTAACGAACGTGTTTTGCTGTTTATATATGCCAATTTCTCATTCCTCAATAGTAAGGATATATGACTACATGTCCTGTATTAATACTCGCAACTTACAGTACTTCAATCATCAGTAGTAAAAATGGTGGGCTGACTGTCCCTTACTTATTATTGTGGTATATTTTTTAGGGGAAAGCCTTTTTTTCTTACGAGTATTCACCGATGAAGGCAATACGTATTATTCGGGTCTAGTGAGAAAGTTTTCTGAGCGCGATCTCATTCAATTGGTGTCTTTTATCTTATTGAACCAAATACATTTCTGTACTATCTACATTTGGAAAGATGTCAGAAAGCCAAATATGAGGGTTTCGTGGGAGAATTAATTTTAGACAAAGTGAAATAGCAGACCAAACATAAAGTCAGCTCATAAAATACAAAGTTTGAAGCGAGCACATTGGGAATCTCCAGACGATCACGATAAAGGCAAAGGGATAACAAAATGTGTTGTGTCCAAGGGTTCAACCGAATTTCTTAGGGTACATGGCATAGGGCTGTTACATGTATATGGTGTTTCTATCACTGTCTACTGACTGGGATAAGCCCTAACCCAAACCTTAGTTTACTTGAACAAATATTTTCGGTTATTTTGTGATAACCCTAGAAACAGTTAGATCTGAAGTGGTCAAAAAGATGAAGCATGTCAACCAATTCGCTATTGAGGATATGTAATAGTACTATACGATTTCCCTTCCGTCTATGGTCGCTCCTCATATGAGATTACGGAAAATCCTGTTACAGACTTAGCACCTAATCTTTGAGAGTGTCGAAGAGCATCCAAGTTTTAGACCAGAAGTGGACTAGTAGTCTAAATGTAATATTCAACGTTAGAGCATACATAACTTGAACGAAAAATTCTAAAATATTTTTTGTCAGAGCATTCGAAAGTTATGAGAACTGTTCATGGCTCGCGATAGCTGATCACGATTCAAATGTTTTAGCTGAAGTTGCTAAAAATATGTATTCAGTGAACAATCCCTGTGATTCATATCTCGATACGAAAAACAAATATTTAACAGTACATAGTTCTGATCTTGGTTCTTAAGCTTTCTGAAAACGACATGGATGGGAAAATAGGCAAACATTACCTGATTAGTCTTATTCAATGGTTACTACATATCTAAGTTAGAATACTAATGTTTTTTACATATAGAAGTTTGATAATAACATGTTAAGCATATTTATATTATTCTACAAGCACATCACATTTGAATGTTTTGAAAACACATTGATTTGTGATGAACATTAGCTGAGGAAAAATGTAATATAATCTTGAATTAAACGATGTGTTTGATCCGGAATGGAAGTTGATGACAATGCTATTAAATTAGATTAGCGTACGCAACCTGTACGATAAAATTCAGAATGACGCCAATACCTATTTGCATACCTCTGTGCAATGTAGTCCACTAAATCAACGACTGTCAATGGGTCATTTACTTCTTAAAATGTTACGCATAACAATTTATTCGCCATTACAAAACTGAAATAAATCATCTGCAAACAATGCTTTATAGAAATATGTATGAATATTAAATCTTCAGTAGCACCCTTACTCTTTGGTTAAATAATCTGCATTATGGTATATATGCACAATACTTGTTGTATTTTTGAAATATTTTGCTCTATACTCAGGCGTATGAAAAATAGCTGAAGTGAATATCCATCCACTTCTGCTAGCTCTATTCACCATATACGGTGCCCAGTTTTACCAGTTTTGCGTGAATTAAATATATAAATAATGACACAACTATATGACCACAGTAATCATTTGAAAACCAAATCTTGCAGTTGTTCATTATTTCTTAAAAATGTCGTAAAAAGAGGTTACTTTGTATCTTGAAATAATCACTGATTACTGTATCGTAAAATTTTATTCCCTTCATGTAGTGAATTTTATCCGAGTTTACAGGCTCTTTTGAGAAATATAAAACTAGATTGTTTCTGATAAAGTTATAAAACAGCTTCAGGTTTAGTACGTGGCATCTTATACTTGAAAATTTTCTCCACTTGCCATAAAAACATAAATAGTGACACTGCTTATTATAAAGACATAAAATTTGTTTTAAACACCGACGAGCAATGACTGACAGTACAGAAGTAGGTTTGAAGAGAGCTAGGGACGGTCAGACCAAAATGAAACGTCAGTCTATGAAGTCACTGGCTAATGGTCTGAGACATGTTGATAGATGCAGATTATTCGGTAAGGGCTAGTGTTATAACTATAATCAGTTGTTGGAGACTTCGGGTAACATAGCCCAGAATCCTTCTCAATGGTTCAACTATATTCACTCTTTATTCCGGTTTTCATTCATACACACCTTTCCACTTTATCTTTTAAAACTATATTCTCAGTAATTGTTTTTTTCATCACTGCTACTCGGGTGTTGATTGAGAAATGAGAGTGGTTATCATTTATACTAAATTATTTGATTCGTTCTTCATCTTCACTTCATCTTGCTAGTGTGTTATCGGAACTTATACCAACACACGTCAGGCCCCAGCTTTTTTATAAATAATATCTGCTTGCCTAAAATTACGAGATTTAAATAACTAATCTGTTGCGAATTTGTGTAATTCACTTCAAGCCGCACTCTAGATGTGAGAACTAATGGCATTTTCTGGTTGCCTAGTCCAAACTAGATAGTGCGGGGGTTGAGTAAGATACTTAGTGACTGAGTGTTGACCACCTTAATCACTGAGTCATCATTTTACAATCCCTAGATCACTCCAATTAGGATTTGAGAGAGCACTGTGAAGGTTTTTAGGCAAAGAAAAATCATTATACTGTACCTGAATGGAACATTGAAGTAGGCCCCCCGACCCTACTTGAAGTTAAAAAGGCTATAGGTAGTCTGAAACGAGGAAGAGCAGCTGGTCCTGATGGATTGGTTCCAGAGGTCTTTAAATATGGTGGTCCAATTTTAGCGACTAGGTTGACTAATATTCTGGCTAAAATCTGGGAGACGGTTGTAATCCCATCCGACTGGTCACAATCGCTGATTGTCCCAATATATAAAAGGGGGTCAAAATCATCCTGCGATAACCATAGAGGGATTAGTCTGACTAACATAGTATCTAAAATACTAGCCTCAATGATTATCAGGCGCCTAACTAAGACTCGTGAACTACAAACAGGAGAAAATCAGGCTGACTTCAGACCTAGTCGTGGCTGTATCGACCACATATTCACCATTCGTCAAGTTTTAGAGCACAGACACGCTTATCGGCGTCCGACAATGATAGTTTTTCTTGACTTGAAAGCAGCATTTGACTCTGTAGACCGAGAGGTTCTGTGGCAATGTCTGTCATTGCAACGTGCACCTGAGAAGTACATAAACCTTGTGAAGGCTCTTTACTCGAACACTACCAGTCGAGTGAGAGCTTATGGCGAACTGTCATATGATTTTACAACCTCAAGTGGTGTCCGTCAAGGTTGTCCACTATCCCCATTTTGTTTAACTTCATTATAGACATGTTGCTGGAAATAACACTCTCTGCGACTGAATCTACAGGAATTGATCTCCTACCAGGGAAACCACTAAGTGACTTAGAATATGCAGATGACATAGTCCTGTCTGGTGAAGACACTGACAAGATGCAGAGTCTTCTGTTGGAACTCAGTAATAATGCCAGGATGTTTGGCATGCGTTTCTCCCCCTCTAAATGCAAATTGTTGCTTCAGGACTGGCCTGCGTCAACACCTGAACTAAGGATAGGGAGTGAAGTAGTCGAACGCGTGGACAACTTCACTTATCTTGGAAGTCTGATCAGTCCTAATGGGTTGGTGTCTGACGAAATCTCAGCACGGATTCGAAAAGCTCGTTTGGCTTTTGCCAACTTACGTCACCTATGGCGAAGACGAGATATCCGTCTATCAATTAAGGGACGAGTATACTGCGCAGCAGTTCGCTCTGTTCTACTTTACGGCTGTGAAACATGGCCATTAAGAGTAGAAGATACTCGTAAGTTACTAGTATTTGACCACAGATGCCTTAGAAATATTGCTCGCATCTGCTGGGATAACCGGGTAAGTAATAGTGAGGTTAGACGCAGGGTATTAGGGAACGATGGTAAATCAGTTGATGAGGTGATGAATCTTCATCGACTGAGATGGTTGGGCCATGTGTTACGTATGCCTGAACACCGATTACCACGACGCGCTATGCTGACTAGTGTAGGGGATGGTTGGAAGAGAGTTAGGGGTGGCCAAACCAAAACATGGCATCAGTGTTTGAAGTCACTAACTTCTAGTCTGAGCCATGTTGGCAGATGCAGACTACCTGGTTGGGGTCCGCGTGACTATCGTAACCAGTGGTTTGAGACTCTGTGTGACATGGCTCAGAATCGATCACAATGGGTTAGGTGTATACACTCTTTATCTTCCCTTAAACCTTGAGATTAAAATTGCTTCATATCTCTCTTCCTTCCTGTACTATATCCTTAAATACAACCTTTCTTTTATATACTACTACCACCAGTAAATTAATTACTTCTATGAACCCGGTGTTCATCTTGTTGTGCTAACGAGGTATGGCAACTTGGACCGTTGCATATATGTGCCTGGTCCTACGTTGTAGCTGACTGACTGACTGACCGTGTTGTTTAGATGAGTTTAATGAAATGGTGTTTGCTTCTAATGAAGACTGCTTTCAAATAATTTTCTCCTTGAAAGATGCAAATTTAAGTTGTATCCTCTTTGTTTTTTATATTTGTCATAGTTTATGTGAATCAAAAACCTCAATTACGCATATCGAGTGTTCGGTAATAGTTTGAAGTTGAATACGACTTGGGTTGTCTAACACACTGCCTTATAAATAAATAAAACTACTTCAGGCGGAAAAGCCATTTAGTAATGATTTTCTTACTCGTATTATGTAGTTTTATGCATGGTTTTATTTCATACATCCATACTTTTTGTGTTACCCTTTCAGTAAGGATTATATTTTAAACATATTCTGAATGAATACACGTTTTTATATCATTTTCTGAGTGATTCAGAGTTTCGGTTTTCAAGATTACGCAGCTATACTACTCCACTTCCGTTTGTTTAAGTCTTAGTGGTTGGTCATTATATTCGGTCCTCATAACAATGATTAATTTGTTATGTAATTTGCGACACAAATTCGTATTTGACTCCGCGTTTTCGAAGATGTGTTGTCAAGTTATTGACTTCAAATTTCTGAGTCATTGGTTCTGTTTATTTGGCTTAATTTTGTTTGTGTAATCAGATAATATTAATAACTGCAACATAAGATGTGAGATTAAGCCTAACATAAGAATCACGTATTAATTGCTGTAATGTTCATTTTTCCTTCGATAAAACAAAGTGAATTCCACTTTGGTCAAAAAATAATAGGACTTCTTTTATACTGAGTTTTGGAATGCATTATTGAGAATTATCCTTACGAACTCAACATCAAAATGTTCTATTTTTAGATTGCCATCAAAATTTAGTGTAAAGTGATCCACTGAAACATTTATGTTACCATTTTTTTGCTTTTGTTAACTTACCACGGACAATTTTATTTCAACATTCATGGTGATCGAATGCTTTAAATTCGACCGTTTTAGGTGAGTATTTTGTTATTTTAGTTTATACAAAATGATTCCTTACCAGACCTACCTAAAAATGATGCGTAGACAGGTATCAAACTCCGAGAACAAGCAATAAACCCACAATAACATACTACCATAATGAAGCAAAAGACCAAATTCTTTAACATAACATACGACAATTTAAGATTGAACGTACTTAAACTGATGACCGAAATTCGTGTGCGTGACAATTTGAAGTAGAAGAGTTTAAGTTGTTTTTTCCATTATAATTTTTATTGGCTTGTGTGCTTTTTTGTGGCCCGATATCTTGGTGCCACTTAAGTTGGACGACGTCGACGGGTTCACCACTTTAGTGGTCCTAAATCTGACTCCAGTAATATTGCATGACTCACTGTTCTTGAAATATACCTATTTTGGCTACTCTCGTATATAATTATCGAATTAATCCGCATTAGTGAATAACGGAATTAAATAAGTCAAATGCGAGAATGAATTTTTGAATATGCATATTTTGTAAAATTGTTGGTGGAGACAAACGATCAAAGAAACAAAGCGAAGATAAGGGAGCGAAATGAAATGACGCGCGGCAGAGATGGTATGTAAGCCAACTCAATTAAACCAAGTGTGAATTGATATCTATAGTCAGATAAAAATCAGTTACGGGCATATGATGAATAGAATAAGAAGTGCACATACATATGGTCATATAAAAACAGTCAAAGTTGACAAGCGAATAATTAACAAAGTCAAAATGTGATTCAAGAAGAATGAATAAACTGGTCTGTCAGGAAGCTAGAAGAAGTTGTGTGGGCTTGCATAGCACTACAGCTTTACAAAAAATCGTGAACCTAAGTCAGAATTGTCCCGAATAGCACTGAAATAACGCTATATTTATCATGGACTCTGGTTAACTCTTAGATATAAGCAATACGAAACGAAGAGTTTCATCCTGACGATTGATCGTCTACTTTCCGATATTTAGACAATTAATTCATGGCAATCAAAAATCACATCACTTTTGGATAAGATCAAAAGTGTATTCGATAATCTCACATAATTTACACACTTGTAATCTTATTGAAATGTAGAATAAAGTCACTGAAACTTAATTTGTCTCCATTATTAAATGATTCATTGTATACTATAGCACCCATTACTTAGCCGTATATAACAAAGCAAAAGGTGAACTTCTATATTACTGATTGTTACCTTAAGGCGTTGGTTGATTGTTGAATTGCTCTTTTTGCCTTGTTTCTACTGGCTTGTTCAGTTCTCTCTCTGATGAATATTAGATATTAGTTAATTTTTTTTAATCTCAACTTGTATGTATTGTCAGATTTCATAAGACACATTTATGGATCAAATGTTTGTTTAAAATAAGAAACTAATGTATTATAATTTAAAATTTGTGCTAGAATTTTATCAGTTCTTAGACTAACTTGAAAACTGATTTCTGATAACTCTTTTAGAACAAATGTTTTGTGGCTAGCAGCAGGATCCAGGATGAGGAATTATTCTTATTTGGGACTCGTTAGCCGAATGTACCTGGATCCACGTGTTTATGTTTAAATTTTGACCTATTACATTTTTATTCCAAATCTAACGAAATATTTACTAAGCTGCTGGGTTCAGACAGACACTAACTTGTCCAATTTCTCAAACGTTCTTCACTTATATTTTTTCATTTATTGTATTAGAAAATAATATGTAAAATAAAGCGGGAAAAAAGGAAAAGTGAAAAGTTGTTCTTATTTGTTTGTCGCATGTAGCATGCTAATCTGTTGATTTATTTTATTTTCAGTTTATCTTAGCCATTGGTCTGTTTTAATAGATATAATTGCTTTGTGGTGTCTTCATAAACTGAGTTGGTTGCCATATGTGTTACGTATGAATAACCATGACCTACCTCGAATAGCTATGTTAGCTTGTATAGGAGTAAGTTGAGAGAGAGAGAGCCGGGGAGGGGGCGGCAAAATGAAGGCGTGCTATCGATTCATGAAGACATTGACTACTGGTATGAGGCCTTCAGGTAAATGGAGATTGCCTGATTTGTATCTGTGCAAATAATGGTAGAAGGCACTGAATAAAACAGCTCAGAATCAGTCACAATAACGTAGATGCATTCACTCGTTATCCCACCCTAGATCTTGAGCTCTGGTTTTCTTTCATATATACCTTCTCTTATGACTTCTTAAATCATATTCTAAATGCTTGGCCTTTCTCATCATCATTGACACAACACATTCCTATTTACTTAGTATTCCACTTTGTGACCTAATGTAGTATAGCAGCTTAGCCCCGACGATGATTGTGACTAACTAATGTGTAAGACTGAGTTATAGTGGTATTTCAAGAATATAGAGAATGTATTCTATGGTTATATTTTAAGTTTATTATCCATAAAATTCTTTACATGATTAAACTCAAAGTTGGTAAATTGCTTGCTGATGGGATGCCTATACTCCTCCACGAGGGGTAACAGGCGTAAGTAAGTAGTAAATTTCTTAAGTCAATAAGATCAGTTGATAGGGTACTTGTTTTGAATGACGAAAATCTATTAAACAAAGTTCATTGGAATTTCACAATCCACGCGTTATCTCTTTTTCAGTCTATCCACTAGATCATTTGATCAGTATCGATATTCTCATAAACATCACATATTTACTGAAAAGTCAGTTCGATAGGTCTATTTCAGTAAGCTCATTTTCGTAAATGGCTGTACAAAAAAATGGAAAAATGCATCCATAGCTTTCTAATGACTGGCTTTAACCAGAAAAAACAACGCACATTTCCCATCTTATAATTCAAAAATAGGAGGAATAGTTTGTTTCATCTTTTTGAATGGATGTCATTCAACTGCTAATTTGAATACATATTTAACAAGTCACATGTCTGTCATTGTGCAATAATTAAATATACAAGGCTTTAGACGGTTGACAAGAGTTTAGTAAAGCGACGTTGACCGGTTTCATCTTTATCAAATTTATGAATTTATTATGTTATAGGTGGAGATAAACTGGTGAATTTAAGTTTCATGCTTCTTGGAGCACCAGGGTTTTCGTATACGTGGATGACATATTAAGGTTGCAGTTGGCTCATTTATCGCCGAGATGTTTGGGATGCGACAGACCGGTTTTATGAATTTATTTATTTATATTTATTTATATTTGAACTTGTTGAGGACGAATCATGAAATCGGCCTTACTGGTGACTAGAATAGATACAAACCCTCGCATTCTCAATTTTCTTGCCGGCTGTTTCTGCTTGTAAAAGAAAAAACAGTACTAAATAGAGTAATCAAATCATGTCGCGTAACCTTCAATTGTCACTTACAGTTTACTGATAAAATAGAATACACTAATCGGTGGCCGATTTATTTACGTAGTGTGGTATCACAAAATATAGTTCTCAGGCAGAATTAGTTGGTGACAAATTCTTTAATGACAAGTCATTAGTTCTAAACTGCCTAGGAAGGTCCGCTTTGGTAATAAAAATAAAGTGATGGAAAATATTAATGCTGGACTCTATCTCGACACCCCAAATGTAAATCAGTTGTCAGTGTGGGACTAAAAGCGCTGAACTAATGTTAAAGCCTTGAAAATTTGTGTAGTACTCTGTGAAGAAAAATTATCAAGTGAAACTCTACCTCACTACTTCAATACTTCTTGAAAAGATGATTCATATTCTCCGTCATGGGTTGTTGAATTACGACTTTGTAGAAAGTTTGCTCGTCGTAACACATGCCTACAAAAGATTTGAATAATGGCAACTCAGGTTGGTAGAAAAGAAATATCTTCTGTTACTATATCTCTGGTTTGTAAATTAGGCCCCATTTTCTCAAAATTTCGTCCCAGAGTTTTTACTGACCATCGAAAGCCATTAAGTGATGATACCTGCCTTAAGGACACCCTTGTAATAAAACATTTGGTTTATTTGAGATCTAAATAAACTTTAACTGAAATTCAATAGATTCGTTCGGCAAATGAATGTTTGTGGATTTTTTTAAAAGTTATTCGACAGTGAGTCTCAGACCAAGGTTTCTTGTTTGGTATGGCCAATCATTAAGAATAATCAGTAACCATGCACAAACTTTCTGTTTCCGTGATTCAAACCCTGTTTTACATTTCATGCAGTCAAATACATTGTTGTAAAAGTACTCCTATAAATTGGACACTTATTATTTTACGATTTCTAATCAACACAAAATTCTTCCTTTATATCTATCTTTGTCAATATCTATAATATTCCTTGATTTAACTTCAAAGCCATTCTCTCCCACATTTAAACTCTTGTATATATTTCTAATTATTTTGCGATACGTTAAAATCTGGGTAAATGTCCTATTGATTAATTCACATTTTTTGTGCACGTATTTATCTATACAAATACATATATATATTTAGATCACAATTATCCTTTATCCTTCTTTATGTATACAGGTAGAAGAAACTTCATTGATTATTTTGTGTAATTGTATGTATGTGCATATCTGCATAAAAGTATTCCTGTAATAACCATTATTAAACACTAGAATTTTCGAACAATTTTATTGACCATTTTAACTATATATATGTGCGTGCAAAGGGTCACGTGTATTGTATGTTTATCTCCTAATATGTGTATCACATATTCATTGGAAAGCAGATTTGATAATAAGAAATACGATGAAAAAAATAGTGGGAAAATATTTCCCTTTAAACTTTAGGTAATTGAGTAGCATTTAGTTGTCTAATGAAAACTTTCCTGATAACACTATTTCATTATCTTCATAAGTAACTGTATAGCTAATCTAATGATATTTGAAATATATATTTCCTTCATTAACAAGGCAACTAAATGAATGATTGCGAAATACCTCGAATTGAGTGAATTTCAACTTATACACTAATGAATTTCAACTCAGTGATCTAGAGATTAAATACTCACATATCAGACTAAAATTCTTCTCTTCAATCTCCAGTGGATTCGTGAATGAACACTCCTGAGGTATCTCATGCTAGGATAAAACATATTTTGATCGCTTCACGGTCTTTAGCGATTGTCTTACTTACTTACTTACGCCTTTTACCCCTCGTGGAGGAGCATAGGCCTCTCACCAGCATTCTCCATCCAACTCTATCCTGGGCAATCCTTTCCACTTCTTTCCAGTTGTTATTCATCCTTTTCATATCTGCTTCTAATTCCCGGCGTAATGTGTTCTTTGATATTGCTCTTTTCCGCTTCCGTTCTGGATTCCAAGTTAGGGATTGAGTCGTGATGCACATTGGTGATTTCCTTAATGTATGTCCTATCCATTTCCAACGTCTTAGTGATTGTTTAATTAAAATCAAGTCGTCATTTAATCTTATAAATTCAAAGATTTCCACAAACCCTTAAACTTTTTCTAAAAAATCGAAAGCGAAAAGATAACACACCCATTATAATACGTGTGGTGTAATATCTCCGATGTCAGAAAAATGAGAATAATTTTAAGAAATCTACGAATCAATATTTTGTGCTATTAGTCAGATAAAAATTGTAACAATCATATAAATATTCAAATAGATTATAAAATACTAAGAATTTATGGTAGATTTTGTTTTTAGAAGGGAGTTTTGTGGAGATTTTAGTAATTTTATATAGTTGAGATCATGAGTCAATTGAAGCTACACCACCATGGAAAACCTGGAAGCACTGAACGGCCGTTTCGTCCTAACCAGGTCTGTTATAAATATCAGCTCACTGAAGACATTGGTGAATGGTTGCTCAATTTCGTGGATTTGTTGAAGTTAGACATTAACACTGTTGGACTGGTAGGTCTTGGGTTCGAATTTCGCGAGGCGGGGTCGTGAATGCACACTGCTGAGGAGTCCCATAATAGGACGAAACGGCCGTCTAGTGCTTCCAGGTTTTCGATGGTGGTCTAGCTTCAATTGACTCATGATCTTAACTATAAAATTATTAAATCTCCACAAAAAACCCCCTTGTGATAATGATCATATGCTCACTAGTGACTGGCTCCTTGAGGTAATTCCTGGAGTTCTAGTGAGAAGTCGTGGCCAGTGGAGCTAATCCATGCCAGGTAGAGACAGGTATCTACCTCAGTACATTGGAAGTTGGTTGCGCAATTTCGTGGATTGGTTGAGGTTAGACATTAACACCGTTGGATGCCGGCTCAGTGGTCTATCGGTTAAGGGCTCTGGCTCGAGATTGGTAGGTCCTGGGTTCGAATCTCACGAGAGCGGGATCGTGGATGCACACTGCTGAGGAGTCCCATAATAGGACGAAACGGCCGTCTAGTGCTTCCAGGTTTTCGATGGTGGTCTAGCTTCAATTGACTCATGATCTTAACTATGAAATTAGATAACTTGTTGAAATATCTAGATGACACAAAGAGGTAACCTAGATGTTTAAGCAGGCCGCCAGTCTGATAGTTAAAACTTGCAGTTAATTAATATATTTCTTTGAATCAAAAAATATTATCACCGTCTGTTGATTTCATCAACATACTGCAATTCAAAATGTTGTTTTTAGAAATAGGGTGACAGGGAAAACTTACAAAATCCGGCAAAAAAAACATTTAATTGCATATACAGGAATAGTAGAGAATGGCATTTAAAATTGTGAGAAGCTTAGTGAACGAATATACCAGTATAACTATGTTCTCATAGGCTTAGGACAATTAAGTTTTAGTACATTTAATTTAAGGTTAGCAGTGGAATCCAAGATGTGTATTTATTCTTACTGGGGACTCATCAGCTAAAAGTATGTGCTTCACTTAGTAGTTATTACTGCAAACAACAGCTTAATACAAACTCCTGCTTATTAACATTGTAATTACTGAACAAGTGGAAGGCTATCTGAACTCAATGGTTTTGTGGATAATGGGTTGGCGTTCGAATCTCTACAAACATCAGCACTGAGATTCAATTACACCCATTTGAAGAGCCCCAAGTAGAACGAAACATTCATAATAGGTTTCACTCCTTACCATAATTTAGAGATACCAAGACCTGTTATAAAGGGTCAATTTTAAGAGATTCACACAGAATCCCCAATGCTAACAATTACTGATTGAAATTCAGTTCTGATTACCAACGATGGGATAACACAAAATCTTACACATTGAAACAATTAACTTCTTTTTGACTAGAAGAACTCTATCCAATAAATTTACAGTTCTCTATCAGTTCATCTAGAATATTTAGTCATCTCCGAAACCAGCAGTCAATCGATATAAACAATTATAACAAAATAATTAGTCTTAATAACTAATTATTCGTGTTTATCAATTATTTTCTTAAAATAACTCAGACCAAATAGTCAAACAAAATGCTGAAGCCATTTTAATTTTGATAGTTAGAATTTTCTGCAATAAACTTACTAGTATAAAGTTGAAATCATGAGTCGATTGAAGCTAGATCACCATGGAAAACCTGGAAGCACTGGGCGACCGTTTCGTTCTATTGTGGGACTCCTTAGCAGTGCGCATCCACGATTCGACCTCGCGAGATTCGAACCCAGGACCTATCAGTCCAGCGCGTGAGCACTTAACCAATAGATCACTGAGCTGGCATCCAACAGTGTTACTGTTATTTAAAAACAGGGAATATTTGACTGAACAGTTATTTTGAATAACTACATTGTAAGGTTCCATAAACATATAATATGTGTATAGCCTAATGCTAAAGTGGGGCATACATAAATAACTGAACAACATGATGTCTTACGTTAAAATAATGAACGTTCGCATAGGTTACAGCGCGAAATATGTCCAATATACATTATTTGTAAATTCACAAGATCATTTAAGGAATGGATGAAAAAGATTCATCGTAAGTTGTCGATTTGCAATCATTTTCCAAATCTTAACAAAATATTATATAACTTCATTTTTAAATGAAAATGATAACCAGAAGAGGGTTTTGTCGAGATTTTAATAATTTTATATAGTTGAAATCATGATTCAATTGAACCTATACCATGGCACACTGTTGAGGAGTCCCACAATAGCACAAAACGACCGTCCAGTGCTTCCAGGTTTTCCATGGTGGTCTAGTCTCAGTTGACTCATGATTTCAACTATAGAAAATAATAACCGTTTAAAATATAGAATGTATTGGATTTGACTTTAATTTTTTTTCTTTACAGAGTTCAAGACGTTCCAGTGAAAGTACTAGTTCAGTTGATAGTGAAGTAATTTTAGAAGCTGAACGTTTAGAATTAGAACGTTTAGCTTTAAAAGAACTTGAATTAGCAGTTGTAAGTTAAAAAAATTCATATTTATTTTTCATTACTTTTCTTTCCTACTTAATTGTACGTATTTATTATTGATAACTGACCACCAAATAAAAAGCCAATTATCATAGCAGGGAGTATAAAAAAATCATCCTCTTTTAGCTCGAAAATTTGATTTCAGTAAACTTATAGTTGATACTTTAGATGAAATTCATCTTATTCAATGTTATTTCTGTATATCTGACCAGAACTGCTGAGTAATTAAATAGTAATATAATGTGGTTGGAGGTTGTCAGTAAGAAACCCTAATTTTATAAAATGAGTTGTGTACCTGTTATAGCCGCTTCTCAATGTTGTTTTCTACGGGATGGTGTTGCCGACCTCACTCCCAACCCTCCTACTTTACCCGGGCTTGGGACCGGCAGTAACCCTAGTAGGGCTACACTGCTCCGAGAATTATAAGCAAACATAAATAGAATGAATAACAACTGGAAAGAATTGCCCAGGACATAGTTGGATGGAGAATGCTGGTGAGCGGCCTATGCTCCTTCATGAGGAGTAACAGGCGTAAGTAAGTAAGTACTTGCTCCATATTATTGCTGAGCATAGTTAACGTTAATTTAATACAAGAATATTGTATCTTAAATAAACATCACACTAAAATAAATCCATATTATACTGATACCACACTGCAAAATAATACATATATTACACTGAGTAAACAACGTAATTTTACTTTTTCATCTCTCCATATCAGTACTTAAAAACCTTTTATTTGATATCTGAAAGAAGATCGTCTTATAATTTTAAATCTCATGCTGTTTAGTTTGTATGATTGATCGAGCTGACCTAATCCATAAAATGTATCAACTTTGCTGAATAATTTGGTACTTTTGACAATGCAAAATTGTCTTTAGTGAATTTTGGCAGATAATATGATTTTGTGAAGATAAATTAGCTTGTATTCTTAAACACTTCTCTAAGATATGCAATGATCGCAAACAATCTCAAATACTATAAGCAAAGATGGATAGTGGCTAGCAGTAGAATCCAGGACGCGCATTTCGTCCTATTTGAGGCTCGTCAGTTGGATGTACCTGCATCTCAGAATTGATGTTCACTCTGGGACTCGAACCCAGTACCTTTCGCTTCAAACGCCATCGCGTTATCCACTGAGCAACTGAGTCCTGATAGCCACTTGATTGTGTGATGGAGTGAAGTTTAAATTCACTTGGTATTACTTGTTTGAATCTTCCCATTTATGTTTAGGACTGCAACTAGTCAATCTCTAATTAGCATATGTGCATACTGTGTGTGTTGCCTATCCGTCTTTGCTTATAATGCTTGTGAATTAAGGCAATATCGAGGAAATACACACAATATGCACATATGCCGATAAGGGACTTACCATTTGCAGTCCTAAACATCAATGGGAAGATTCAAACAAACAATACTAAGTGAATTTCGAAAACTGTTTTGATTTTCATAAATCAGATAGAGTACAAGTCACTTCAAAGACAAAATTTATTCATTATTGACGCGTATTAATCAAAATGAATTATTTTTCGATAACATTAGCCTTACTTAATTTCTTTAAATTCCTCTAAAGATTTTTCTTCCTTAAAATTACTTTTTCATTTTCATTATATCTAGTCTAAACCTGTAGCTTTTTCAGTTAGAACTAATATAAGTTTTGATGGAGCCTTATATGGTTTGGATGCACCATCACCGACTAGAGTTATTAGTTTTGGTATAAAAGATTTTCTACATATTAAAAAACGTTTCAATCAAGATTGGTGGATTGGTCGTGTAGTTCGAATAGGTAGTCCAATTGGTTTTATACCTAGTCCATCTAAACTTGAAGTAATCAATAATATTATTTTATCGGCCATTACCACTGCTGCTAATACTAATGTGGTACACTTTGCCAATGAAATTCAAAATCCGACAACTAAACCAGGTAGACAGTTTGTTTTTCTTTATTTCCTTTGTTATTTTAATATTGTTATTGCCCATATATGTTATTCCTTTCACACACACATAATTTCAAGATACTTTACATCATGAATTGAGTACAGTTCGAGGAATACTGAAAACTAGGATCATTAAACAGTTGATTCTTTTTAGTTTACCGCTTCATAGTTGTGTACATAAGTGGCTCTAATAAGGAACTAAACTAGGCCTTGGGGTAGTTGCATTACTCTAAGATTACTGAGTTGGGAGTTAGAGATGTGAACTACTGAGCTCTGATGCAGTGACCTACAGATAATGGGCTCTGCACAAAGTGTCAATCCATTTGGTTAGATACCTAAAGCGTTAGTGAATGACACTGTCAGGGAGTCTCAAACTATGTGTGGTAATCTCCTAGTCCCACTCAGCCAAAATTGCCGTCTTATAACCCTTAATTCAACCAGCTATGCAAATAAAAAGACTGGGGATTCTTATAAGGCCTTATTTCAAAGGTCTAATAACAATCTACACAGCCCACGAGTATATATATGGCATTGGAACGAACCGCCAAATGATATGTTGATGTTTACTTACACTTGAAAGTCTACTCAAGCTTGAATTTTTCACTTGCTACGTGGACCTGAGTCATCATGTGATTTGTCTGACCTTGTAGTAATATATTTGATGTCTGAAATCGCAAGATCTGTCACCTTTACTTCTAGCTGCTCGATTTCAGAAGAGGTCAGAGTAGGCCAACAGGAAAAAGTAATTACTTATCCAAGGCTTTCAACTTCTCACTGTTTTTTAATATGATATCATTCCTCGAAAAAAAGTCATCACAAATATCACATCTTGATACACGATCTTGTTTATCAACTCAAAACTATTCAATGTAGCAGTTTAAACTGAAAAAACATGAATGAATTAGAATCTTGCTAGATTCTCTACAACCTTTAAAACTTGTAATATTCAATTATATATACAATAAATGGAGTTTAGCTTAGCTTTATACTTACTTACTTACGCCTGTTACTCCCAATGGAGTATAGGCCGCCGACCAGACCAGTAAGTAAGTAAGTAAGCTTAGTTTTATAGTAATGCAGTTGGTCAGAAGTTAGTTTAAACATACTTCAAAATATTTAGTAAAGGTTTATTTGATCTCTCGTTGCTGATGTTCAGAACATGTAACAAAAGGCTACATCGAAAAAATCCATTCAGGATACACTTATACCGAAAGAGAAAGACAGATTGTAGTCCTGAATATCAACAACGAGAAACTACAAATCCTTATTAATGACTTCAAGTCTACTGAAAATGTTAGTATTTTATTGGATAAAGAGTTTGGGTTTGAAGTGAAATTACATTGTTCGAGTCCCAATATGAACACTAATACAAGAATATGAATATATACAGCTGACTAGTCCTAATTAAGACGAAGAGTGTTGATCATGGATTTCACTACTAGCTAAGATTTAAATGCACTAATGCATATCGAAATACTTTGGTGAAAATTATTTAATCTCAACTGACTTCGAAAAACGTTGAATACAACTTTTTCATTAAAACAGTGAATTCTTTGTTTGTGTTCAAATGACGTTTGTTACCAGTGCAATTGCAGTACATTCTGTAAACAACGACTGATAAGGACTAAAAATAAAGAATGGAGTTGTCATTTTATTTTGTTCATACCGTTCTTTTTTTTAAGCAAAATAAGAACAACGAGGCCTGTAGAATAAAATGATTTCATCATTCTATTTGAGTGTTATGACATTAACATTACTTGGGTTGAGCTCCGCTAGTTACGGTTTCTCATTGAAATTCCAGGATCTGCATCTCAATTCTAGTCAATAGTGAGAAAAATGATTACTATCAGTATAGAGTTTTGTGGAAATTGATTTGTTATAGAAAAAATCTCAGAAAAACAATTGATCGCGTAAAGTGTTGAGCTTTTCAAGTCAGTTGATAAGGAATAGTGTTGATGAAACTTTGCAAAAAAGACTGATACTTTGTCTTAAATGTGCTTACAATAAAAAAACTGGATGCCAGTCCATTGGTCTAAAGGTTAAGCGCTCTATACGAAACCTGAAGTTTCTGGGTTTGACTCGTGGCTAGCTCGTGGATGCGCACAGTTAAAGAGAATCATACGGCGATGGAAAAGGTGTCCAGTGTTTCTTGATTTCTGGTGGTTATCTAAGAGAAACCAGTACAAGTTGCAAATTAGAAATATTCAACAATTTGCATAAACTTATACTAATAATTATTTGTGTCAACTTTGTTTAAAAAGGAAAACCTTATTTGAAATTTGGTTTCTTTTTTATCATGAAATGTGATTACATCAGGAAAACTTATAAACTGTAATTGATTAGATGACCGTTTCTTCCCACGTTTTTGGGACTTAATAATAATAAACATCAAAATTTCATTTTATGAAATAAGTGATTTATATTTTTCACAATTCTATTTTTGTTTGCATAAACCAGCTCCTGTTGGTGGATTCGGATCTGCAGACACAACGTTAGAACGCGGAGGAAATCGTGGGTTGTTGTTGTCTAGCGAGTAAGCATTATATATAGTGAACGAGAACTGAGGCGGTCTAAACCAATTTATTGTTTTACTAAAACTTACACAGTGTTTCTATAACATATGAAAATCATACATTAAATACATTTGTTTGCACATCTTCCTTTAGTCTTCACATAAATAATTGTTCTTCCTTTCAGTTCGATTGTTATTCCGACTGCTCTCTGTTTGCCTACCTGTTCTCTTCAATTCGCCCTTACTTTCGGAGGCATTCCACTTTCGATTACTGAAACATACTACTTATCTGTTATCATATGTAGAATATACCACACTGATACCTTGACACAGTGACTTGACATGTTAATTCTTGTTGATCCCCATTAAATTCCTCTGTTCATAAACTTTAATCAGGACATGGGGAAAAGAGCCAAATGTAATCTTTCCCTCCTCATACGAACTCAATAGAGCTCATATTACAATTTACATAGAATACAAGTTCACAACGAATGCTAACTAAGAAATTACAACTAGGAAGTTTACAGTCCAACCTTAGATAATAGACTTACAATTAGCTTACTACAATTTGGTGACGACAAACTATATGATAGTAATTAACAGGTAAAATGAAAACTTACAATTAGGAGAATCCGAAAATCGTACAGATTAAATAAACATCGAAATCATAAGGGGTTTGTGGAGATCTCAGTATTTTTCATAGTTGAAAACATGAGTCAATTGAAGCTAGACCACCAGGGAAAACCGGGAAGCACTGGACGGCCGTTTCGTTCTGTTATGGGACTCCTCAGCAGTGCGCACCCACGATTCCGCACTCGCGAGATTCGAATCCAGGACCTATCAGTCTCGAGCCAGGGCCCTTAACCGACAAACCACTGGGCCGGCATCCAACGGTGTTAATGTCTAACTTCAACTAATCCACGAAGTTGAGCAACCGTTTTACCAATTGTCTTCAGTGAGTTCCTATCTCACAACAGACATGGTTTGAACTCCACTGGTCCCATAACAGGACGAAACGGCCGTCCAGTGCTTCCAGGTTTTCCGTGATGGTCTAGCTTCAATTGACTCACTCTTTCAACTATGGAAATCATAAGTATTAATTTCACAAAAAGTAGCTTCCAGAGATAGTGATTCTCGTTCCTTCATTTCATCCTAACAAAAAGTCTCATTATTATTAATCGTATGCACATCTAATTATTTGAACATCTTGTGGAATTGTCAGTAAAAGAATTGAGCTTATATGCATATTTCAATTACTAGTCTTTAAGTTATAGTCCTGTATTTGTGGAATCATTACCAACGAAGAGAATAGAATACAATTCATTTGAACAAATACCACAATTGAAGAGTACACATTGTGATTGGAATGACTTTCGTTACATTAACTGTACTCGTACTTTCTTGAATTACTAAACAAACTATATTTATTCAGTTGAAGTAGTTTTGTAGAGATTGAGCTAATTTGCAGTTAGTATTTTTTACGGATTTATTTCAGTTGAGTTATCATTGAAAACCCGGGACAACTAGACAGCTATTTTGTTTGCGAGTGATGTTTCTTAACAGTATACACCCATGACTTAATCAGAGATTAAATCCAGGACATTCCAAAGTCATTGGTGAGCTACTGACTGATATTTGATATAACTGACTTCCACTGGTCACAACTTCTCATAGGAATCTCGGAATTACGTCTGAAATAAACCAGTTGCGAGCACATGACTGTTAATATAGAAGTTGTTTGCTAAAGCTCATTTTTGTTATATTGGTGATTGGCAACTGATTAAGTCAAGTTGCCATTTGACTAGTAATTCGGTTGAACACAATATAAGTTATGTTAACTGGTGGTCATTTTAATTCAATTATCATTTATTACGAATAAAGAGATGTGGAGATTGTTGAGTTTCATTAAAATCATAAACCAGTCAGTGTTAAATCAACATAAAAAACCAGAAAGCGCTGAACTGCCGTTGTGCCCTAGCATGAGAACCCTCACAATGTGTGTCCACGACCTTAAAAGCCGGAATACAACCCAGGACCTTAGGTCTTGCATGCGAACCCCTCAACTCTAGAGCACTGATCTGACACCCAACTGTATTAATGTCTAACTTCAAATTATTACGAAATATAAATGATTGTTTTAATTGTTAGCTATTTTAATTTTCAATATTTACTAGTGTAGATCATCGTGGACCAACTTTGAGTGCTAATCGTCAAAGGCAATCGGAATCACCTCCAGTTCATAAAAATTGGAAAGGTAAATTTCAAATTACGAATGGTGTAATGTTCGTTAAAATGAAATGATTTTATCAGAAGGAGTTTTGTAGATATTATAGTAATTTCAGCAGTTGAGATCATGAGTCGATTGAAGTTAGACTACCATGGAAAACCTCATGACTCATGATCTCAACTATTGAAATGATTTCCTTAAAAAGTAGTAAATTATTTGAACATCTAATAACAGCAACCATAAGCGAATAATGTGATTTCAATAAAATTGTTATTAGGTTTTATTTCCCAGTATTAGCTTGCATCTCTGAAAAATGTCAACTTATTCAAAGCTTACAAACTAGTCACTAGTGACGACAAACTAAACTGTACAACTAATAATAGTAGAATATACTTACAACAAAACAGAACCAAATAATGCTTCTTTTCAGATATCTTACTGATGAAATATAACACCAAAATAAAGAGGGAGGAAGCTTATAATGGTTTGGAAAAACAGTACATCTGAGTGTTAGCTGAGTTAGAGGAATGTGAGTCTTATAGTCTGGTTATTCATAGGGCCAGGGGGAATTTCATATCTGATGTACCTGGTTATGATTACGGTAGTTGACTGAGCATCTTCAGCTCGTAGTGTTCGTCATATCTAAGAGTATCAGTAACAATGTTAAGTGTTTATAAAATCATTTATTTTAGGCAGTTATTTACCACAACAGATGTTGGAAGATTGAGTCGACGATCAGCTGACTGCATTATAATTTTATGGATCAAATGTTTGCTACTAAAAATAATAATGAGTAATATAAAACGATAAAAGATGATAATAAGCCAACTAACTTATGCTTCTAAATATCTAGTCTGAAAATAAGAAAATAGAATTGTTTCAAATAAGTTCTAACACCTGACAGTATATGTCATATTCTTTCGGTGTCAATTTTTAAATTTTGCGCCTTATATATGTGTTCAGTAATGTCAGCAGAATTCATCATGAGTTTGAAATACTGTAATATTTAGAAACCCAACTATCCTAAGGTTCAGTTGCAATATAGTTGCACTGGGACAAAAAATATATTTAGGATGAAAGTATATGATTTGTAGCTTTTTCTTATGTATTACAGTCAATCACCTCAAGGCCAAATGAAAAGTGAGAGATGCCAAATGGTGGACGTTGTTGGTCGAGATTTGGCCTAACTATTCATGGGATGCAGATACTATCTATTGATTGGAAATCTGCCTTGATTTTCTAGGGACATATATCTTTATCAAGGAAGGGGTTTGTGTACATACTTTAATTCTGGTTAGCTAGTAAAAGCTTTCTAATCACTCTTGGTTTTCTCACTCAAATAGGTGGTTAGGCTAACTTAGATATCAGTATAATGCTTCTTCTTTTATACATATTAAAACAAAAGTAAGTCTCTTATTTTTCAAAAAAGGATGGTTATTTTTAGGCGGAATTATTGATATCTTACTAATCCAGTGTTATTTAAGATGATGCGCCGGTAGAATCTTCATTGTTTTGATGACTGCACACATTTGGTACATATAACAGTTCCTATATTGGAAAAAAATTAATCATTGAGAAAATTCATCATCTGTGATAATAAGGCGATAAGTGAACAAAAATCTTAGCTTACAAAATCCTGCCATATTTATGCCTTTAAAGTTGAATGATTCAGATAATAGATTATGGTAAAGCCACCCATTGATTTTGCTGTTTATTAAAACTGCATTCACTACTTATATCTAAGATTAGTAGTATATGTTATAGAGAATTTATTTTTTTGCATTTTACTGAAAATTATGTTATTTAGATGTTGATGCATATGATGAAGATGATTTACGTGATACACCACAAACTGTAGAGGTACCAGGACAACCAACTACCAAGAAACCCCAACCTGTTGGGCCTGGAGTTAAGAAGAGACCATTCTCTAAAAAGGTAACATTATGCTAACTAGCTGTTATTGTTTTTATTATAATTTCTATATTAAAAACACTTGTTTTCCATCAGCAACTTTCCCCTTTATAAAGATTGAGTCAAGATTTACGACTTCATTTTTGCTATTAGTTTATGGATTTATTCATACACAATGAAACCCTTAGCGTAAGTAAGTTAATTCAAGTTGTGATACCATATCAGGACAGCGACGTGAATTATCCACCGAAATACCAGAGCAGTCAAAGTGGTAACAGTGTCAGTGGTAGTAAAAAATGTTAATCATAAACAATATGATCAGAGCGAAAAGGATGGATCACCGTAGTAGAATTGTGAAATAATTTTGGAACTCAAGATTTAATAGAAAACAAAGAGTGAATGCTTCTGTCTTAATTCGACCGATACTGAGCCGTGTCACCCTACGTCTCAAACCTCTGATCACGGTTATCCTGTGGACCTGAACAAGATATTCTAAAACGGCCAAAATGGCTTGGACAAGTGGTCAGTCACTGCATGGGATGGTGCCCCGTTTTAATTTGGTTGTCCCTAGCTTTCTTCTAACTTACTTCTATACAAGTTAATATCACTCGTCAAGGTACATGGTAATCAGGTATACGTAAGACATATCTCAACCAACTCAGTCAATGAACGCTTACTACCTCATGAAGTTATATGGTATATTTGAGTAATACATTGAGTCTTCTTTCAACATTGCCAGCTTGATGATCCTGACTTAGGCGAGAGACACTATGAATGTGTCTGTGAAATAATATGAACACCCAAAACTTTTTCAAACGTCATAATATTTATGTTCTCTTCAAGGAACAAGTTATCGTAAGGATATGTTTGGTTATAAACTAGAATCATTATGACAAACTGCTCATACCCAAGAGGATTTGGGGATGTGTTTCTTGCTGATAAAATATGCGATGACCAGTTAAAATAAAAACCTCAGGTTCGTTATCCAGAAATCTACTTTTCAACCTCAGTTAGCTCACTGCAAAGCATGAATATCATATCGTAGATTCTGTATTGAGTTTCAGACGAAAAGAAAGCCATCTAATCGTACCGAGTTGTTAACTAGAATGCTTTCACCATCAGATCTGTTTTTTAATCGAATAATCTTTTTAAAGACCTAGAATTTCACTGTTGAGGTCTTTAGATCGTCATATCATGGAATCTTTCATTCGGATTATACGTTTCCGTTATTCACCAATGTTATTTTACCGCCTAAGAGATTTATTATTCATTTAAAAACTTTTCGGTCTATGTAAATGAGTACCAAACATGAATATGATTTACATGGCTCTGTTTTGGTATCACAGAACTTCTTATGTTTACAATACTTTAGTTATATTCGTCACTATTTCTTATGTATATTTACAGAATGAATTTGTACCTCCATATGAAATTGTACCATGTATGCGCCCTGTTGTATTTGTTGGTCCAGCTTTGAAAGGTTATGAAGTGACAGATATGATGCAGAAAGCAATATTTGATGCAATGAAAAAACATTTTGATGGAAGGTTTGTATATTAATAAAATATCTATAATTAATTTGGATAGCTATTCTGCTGAGCAGTATGTTTTTACCACAAACAACATCTTATGAGTACATCATTATCATTTGGTATACCTAAATGCAAGAAAGCAATGTGTGTACTGACATCTTAAAGCTATTCGTCTACCGTTCAATATAAAATTAGTACTAATCACACATTGTTATCGGTTGATCAACCACTGAAAATCAGGAGCTACTTAACTCTTGATTCATCTTATCTTGAAACTCCTCAGTAGTGAACATATACAACTCTAAATGAAATCAGATCTCGTAGTAATTACGATATGTCTACACCACTGGGTTCGAATCCAGATGTTCATATCCTCAACTTTAGTCAAATCGTGGGATTGCACGATTATTATTCAATCCCATCAATAACGTTTACCTGATTATTGACAAGGTTAAAACCTATGGTTCATAGCTTTTCAGAAGAACTTCTTGAATACATATTGCAGCTAGTCATAACTAAACATACGAATATAATTAAGATTGAGCTTTCTGAATTTTGTTTCCTTTGCAATGTAAACACTAGTGAACCATTTTCATATTCACTCTTTTGACCGTTCAAATAATTCCTAACAATTTATTTTGGAAGATTATATTTCTAAGATTACTTACTAGTCCTCAAAAGGTTTGTTATCAGTTAGTCAACCAGAGCATAAAGGAATGTATTTCTGTTATATCGATTGAGTGAGTTCCCAGTTAATATATGTGAGTGATATGACCTCCAATGAGAGAGGAGTGAATTATCAATCAGAGCAATGATACACAAAAGCTGTATGAGCAGTCTGGAGTACTTATCAGTCCTGCTTTCTGCCTAGCCCAGCGAGTTAAGTTCATAACACCAATAACAGCCTCTGTAATATGAATCATTATATTTCAAACATACTGGGTTTATATACCAAACAAACTGACCCCATCGTACTATAAAATAGAAAATAACATTTTTACAATATTTAGCCAAATGTGACTGTGAATAGGGGAAACAGTAATTAATGGAGTAGGGATAACTCAAGAATGGTAAGTCGTATAATAATAGTTTGTGGGTCAAAATAAAGCTCATAACAAAAGGAACATGAATATGAATAGTTAAGTTACTTAGTAATTGTACAATAGGAAATATACACATCACACTGGTCCATAAATAGTCCTCAACAGTTACCATTCATAAATCTTCACGGGATACAACAATTTCTGAATTAATATTCAATATAAAAGGAATTATTTACAATCTGTAAACATTTTATGGAATCAAACCACTTCTTAGTATACACTTAACTTTGCGAAATCATTCATTCGAAGACTTTCTGTGACGATGTATAGTTTTTTTCAACTTTTTGTTAGTTCTATAAACGTATTAAAGCAATGGCAAAGATTTGTGGCTCAGGTGGACCATTTTAATAGTGTTTCATTCCCTAAACTATGGGGTTTAAGCATAAAACTCTAAATGTGAATCTGGACAACACTATCAGTACATACTTTAGACGCATGTGGACTGTTCAAATATCTTCTTATATGACTAACAGTTTATCCTGTTGATAGAAGGGATAACCGAAGGTTTATGAGTAAACCTCCTTGACCAGAGATCAACCTATAATGGAAAAATATTAAGCAGAACGCTAATGAATAATGACTGAAGCTTTATTTCAACAAAGCAAAAGTGATTATGTTTACAAAGTATAATGAATTTACTGTACTTCCATGTTTTGCTTCCGTTACGTATGAGATAATAGGTTTAATTCGTTTGAAGTATTTCTATAATTGTAAATTAAGTAACAAACTGTTAATTAGAGCGTAGCAAATTGTTCAACAGATTATTTTTATGTAACTGGAATGGATGGAGATGATCTTGAATACTGTTATAACTGATGATAGTTGTCACTTCTTAAGGAGCCTGAAAAAGAAAATGGATTAATGATGATGAGTTGACCTGAGAGCATGACAAAATAACCGGATGAACAACGGCTTAAGGACGGTCAAACATGGCCTTCTGAAGAATTATTGATGTATTGACTTTGTACTTTTCAGACATTTAAGCGAGCCGGGGAAATCCGTGAACCAAGTTAAGATGTGCTATTTTTAGGTTCTATATTTTCTGACCTTGTCCTTTTGTTTTAGGAAGGAGGCATCTCTGGAGATTCTGGTTATCTTTAAAAAATTTCGTATTGCTACCATATCCAAGTACATATGGTACTATTGTAGTGAACAATAACACCAGTTGGGGACAATCGAATGTACGTAGGCACAAATTACAGAATATCTCATTAAAATATGTGAACCATATAATGAACAGTTAATTTGCAAAATAATTGTCTCAATTTGACTGTTTCATCTGCAATTGTTCGTCCATAGTCTCCGATTATAATTGTTCATGCATTTTCGTACCAACTGCGTGCCGTTCCCGTTCTCTCCTTATCGATCTTCTACTGAAATACATTCAATGCTCGACCATCACCATATACTACTTATCAGTAACCCACACCACACTACAACTTCTCTATTGGACCTTACGTTTTTTGCGTTTAGTCTTACTCCTTTCTAACCAACCTGTCTAGGATAGTAGAACTTAAAGGTACAAGCTTTCTAGCTAATATACCTCGATTGAGTAATCGTAATATGTAAACCCATTTACCGTATCCAGGCAGCAACTACGTTCAGAAATCAGAATTCTACTTCTGGTGTCTTAAAAATGACTAACTAATGTTCACAGTGTATTAAAATAGTTTTCTCTTAATAAAATTGTAGATTACTTGGTGTAATATTAGATGGTGTAAATTCTTCCCTATTAACTATTACATCTATTATAGAATTATTGTTAGTCGTGTCAGTACAAATATATCATTGGCTAAACGTGTTGGTGAATTATTACATTTGGATAAAAAGAATATTTTAGAAAAAGGACGAAGTCGACAGCTTGTTTCTCTAAGTAATTCTTCTTTTGTTTTAAAAAAAAAATTTATTTTATATATAATGAATGTTGAAAAATTATTATACTTCACCCCATTGCATAAGCAAGTGGCTATCAGGACTCAGTAGCTGAATGGATAACGCGATGGCGTTTGAGACGAAAGGTACTGGGTTGGAGTCCCAGAGTGAACATCAACTCTGAGATGCAGATGCATTCAACTGACGAGTCCCAAATAGGACGAAACGCGCGTCCTGGATTTCACTGTTAGCTACTATTCATTATATTTCATTGTTAATTTGATTGAATTAGTTAATGAGCATACAGATTAAGAATACGTTGTCTAATATAATGAGATGGAAATAATGATTTTACTTATCTAATGAATGTTTTGTAATCGGTATTTTCGGATTTTGAGCGCTCGCACGCGAAACTGATAGGTCCTTGTTTCGAATTTCGCGAGGCGGGATCGTGGATGCGCACTGCTGAGGAGCCTCATGATAGGACGAAACGGCCGTCCAGTGCTTCCAGGTTCTCCATGGTGGTCTAGCTTCAATCGATTCATGATCTCAACTACTGAAATTATTATAATATCCACAAAATCCTTTCTGATTTTAAAAATTATCTATATTCAAAATTAAATCAGTTTCTACTGGTGATACCTTCTAAAGTTAAAACAAGTGTAATACTTGTATTTTGATAATCTTTTCAAAATTTTTGTACTAACTCGTCGAAATATCAATAAAGCGTCATTTCAAAAAAAACAAGTGAGGAAATTTTTTATTAAGCATTCATACCACACAGGAGTTTCTATCATTTACTGTATTAGTAATGTCAGTCAGTCAGTCAGTTACAACGTAGAACTTCGTACGTACGTACATCAATTCGAGTTGCCATACCACATTAGCGCAGAGATGCAGTTGTCCATTCAAACCCCATAGTGGTAGAAGTAGTAAGAGTATAAGCAGTAGTCGGAAAGATTAGGGTTTGAAGATGTTATTGAAGGAGTATATCCAGTGAAATAAATTTGAAAAGAGAAAAAAGATAGAGACATGAAGAATTCAGAAGATTAGAATTTGGCAGAACACAAAGAGTGGGTGCACCTTTGCCATTGAGAAACGATTTTGAGCCATGTCATTCAAGGTCTCTAACTATCGATTGCTATCATCTCGTGAATCCCAACCAGGTAGTCTACACCTACCAGCATGGCTCAGTCCAATTGTCAGTGACTTCATGGATTTGTGCCACGTTTTGGTCTGGCCGCAAAGATTATTCAAAAGAATAAAAATTCTATGTGATTTTATCATCACATTTGATCATTTCCAAATTCACGATGCCGCAACAAGTTTAATGTAAGGAATTTATTAATGTATTTCTTACTGATTATTTCATAAACTGAATTGCCATTCACTATTGCATTTTGAATTACTCTCAAAAAACTTAAAACGTCGCTCTCTCGATTCGAAATCTGTCGGGGTTTATTCTCATAATTCGAATAGGAGTTCATTCGCGTAATGAAAAGCCGGCGTTCATCTAAAAACGTAATATATTTATGCAGCGCAAATTTTGAACAGTCTAATCACGCACTTACTTTTCAACGAATTTCAAACAATAATTGAGATAGGTCAAACGTCGATATAGTACGCGCGGTGTTGAGTCACTCAGATTTTTATTAGGGAATTGATCGAGATTACAAATATGAACCACACATTCTCTACTCAGTATCCTCTTTAGATAATGTGACCTATGCTCAGTTGTAACTCTGTTGCTACAAACAAAACAGTTCTTTAGCGCCTCATAACTTCCAATGGTTCTAAAATCCGTGATAGTTCATGATAAGAATTATTTTTGAATTATTTTAATTTACAATAGATGGATTGCAACTGGGAGTGAAATACAGTACAAGTGCTTTTCATCCTATTCAAGACTCATCAGTTGGACGTACCTGTATTCAATTGTCCTTTGTCATGTTCAGACTCAAGCACAGTGTCATTCTCTCCGAAGTTCAACACATTCTCTATTGAGCCAATAAGTCTCGAAAGCCATGGACATGTTCAACGGAACAACTTAGACTTACTTACTTACGCCTGTTACCCCTCGTCGAGGAGCATAGGCCGCACACCAGCATTCTCCATCCAGCTCTATCCTGGGCATTCTTTTCCAGTTCTTTCCAGTTGTTATTCATCATTTTCATATCTGCTTCTATTTCCCGTCGTAATGTATTCTTTGATCTTCCTCTTTTCCGCTTCCCTTCCGGATTCCAAGTTAGGGATTGCTTTGTAATGCACATTGGTGATTTCCTTAATGCATGTCCTATCCACTTTCAACGCATTTTCCTAATTTTTTCTTCAGCTGGAAGCTGGTATGTCCTCTCCCATAAAACACTGTTGCTGATAGTATCCGACCAGTAAATGTTGAGTATTTTGCGTAGACAACTATTTATAAATGCTTGTACCTTCTTGACGATGAATGTAGTAGTTCTTCACGTTTCAGCTCCGTACAGTAGAACTGACTGTCTTGACGTTCGTATTAAAGATTCTGACCTTGAAATTGGTTGAGAGTTGTTTTGAGTTCCATATGTTCTTCAATTGTAGAAATGCTGCCAATCCTCGCCTTTACATCTGCATCCGATCCTCCTTGTTTATCAACGATGCTCCCCAGGTACTTGAATGTTTCCATCTCTTCCACAGTTTCTCCATCAAGAGTGATTGGGTTGGTGTTCTCCGTCTCGTATTTGAGAATCTTGCTTTTTCCTTTTTGTATGTTAAGACCTATTGATGAAGAGGCTGCTGCTACATTTGTTGTCTTCATCTGCATTTGTTCGTATGTGTGAGAGAGGAGGGCTAGGTCATCTGCGAAGTCCAAATCATCTAATTGCTTCTGAGATGTCCACTGTTTTCCGTGTTTCCCCTCAGATGTCGAAGTCTTCATAATCCAGTCAATCACCAGAAGGAAGAGGAATGGGGAGAGTAGACAGTCTTGCCTGATTCCAGTCCTTACTGGAAATGCATCTGTCAGCTGTCCTCCATGCACGAATTTGCACTGTAGTCAATCGTATGAGTTTTGGATATTGTTAACAATCTTTTCAGAAACTCCATAGAGTCGAAGAAGTTTCCATAATATTCTCCTATCCACACTGTCAATCGCCTTCTCATAGTCAATGAAGTTGACGTATAGTGATGAGTTCCACTCAACTGAACAATCATTTGAGTGGAACTCATCAACTTAGACCCTCTCTTATAATAATGATATTTTCAATTAAATGTTATCCAACAACTTGGTAATGTTATCTATCTATCTATCTCTGTATATCTGCTTTATTCTTTTCATTTTTTTAACAAGTTGAAGTTCAACAGGATTTAGAAAGAATATTTCATTTGGGTAGTAAAATGCAATTACTTTTATTAGATTGTGATACAATTAATCATCCAAATCAAATTACTAAAACATGTTTAGCACCTATTGTAATTTATATCAAAATTACTAGTATACGTGTATTAAATCGTTTAATTAAAAATCGTGGTAAATTACAAAAAAAGAATGCTGGTGTACAAACAGCTGCCGCTGAAAAACTATTACAATGTTCACCAGTAAGTTACATATTTAATACGGTTTAATTATATAACCACGTTTAAGTAGTATTTTTAGGTCGTATTTATCACAGATTGATCTCAGTTAGATAGGGGCTATAACATACTACTGTCGGGCGGCCTGCTTAAACATCTGGGCTACCTGTTCCTGTCATCTATATATTTGAACAAGTTATCTAATATTGTTTGTTTTAATACATCATTATGGCTATTAAGCACACAACCTATTCCGGTGCGTTTCTGAAAACCGTACAACCTTTCGCTGTAAAGGTTACAAAAGGCCTAATCAGAGATGTCGTGTTTGCTGGGAACATGCCGCAAAAAAAATATACATTATTCATATGTGGATTGACTGAACTGCTGACATCCAACTGGCGATCACTGAATGTTTATCATCAGGAGCAACGAAGAAATAAGAAACGTACACATGTTGAAATACTTTATACCGAGAATTCGATTTTGTACCAAATAATATAATATTGAATAAAGCTAATAATAATAAAAAAAGAAAATATTTGAAAACCAGAGAGCATTAAACAGTGATTTCCTCTCAGTAAGAGATCTCTCATTAGTAAACAATGAAGACCCCACCAGGGGTCAAACTTTGACCTTCAGGTTGCGTTACAAACGCCTGCCTATTAGACGAGTTCAAAGCCATGATGAAGCACCCGTCTAACGATGTTTGATTTTCAATGTTACTCCAACTGAGATCAATCTGTGAGGAATGAAACCTAAAAATTAGATGTATTCCTACATAACCCATCCAATTAAAGTAGTCATCAAAAAATCAATTTTTTGGCATAGAATTCACTTATTCTTTAAAGGTTGCTTTGTATTATTGTTTCTAACATAAATAGTATCTATTGAGTCTAAGTATATAGACCTATACTAGATCATTGACTTATACCCATTCATTCATCTGTTTACGTAAATATTTACAGCCAAGACGTTAGTCATACTTTGGTTTCATTCATTTATAACAAATAAATGCCACATTATTCAAAATCGAAGGTGCATGTTTTTAATTCCGTCAATGTCATCGGTGTATGATGAAAATTATCTTCAAATCAAATTTTTCACAAATACCACCGAATCGAATTATAAATCACGGATCATAAGTGACTGTTTTAATACGAAATTATACTATATAAGGTTAGTCAATTCAATAAACATGTAAGATACTGAATGACAGTATTAGTGAATCGTTACACTTGCGTTGGAATAATAAAAACAAACCATCTCCAATCACTAATTGGATGATAATATTTAAGCTGTCATAAGCAAAGTTCATGAATTCGATCACTCATAATTTGGAGATTACTTTACTAAGTGAGATCAATGGATTAAGAAACAACTGGTAGGTCCTGGGTTCGAATCTCGTCAGGCGGGATCGTGGATGAACACTGCCGAGGACGAAACGGTCGTCCAGTGCTTCCAGGTTCTCCATGGTGGTCTAGCTTCAAATGACTCATGATCTCAACTATAAGAAACAACTGTCCAGCTCCCTAAGATAAACCAATATCCCTTCTAGGTAGTATTGTAGTGAACAGAACACTGGTTGGGGACAATCGAATGTATTTAAGCAAAGATTACAGACTATCTCAGTGAATTCTGATTACCAAAGAATGAACAGTCAATTTGCAAATTAACAATCAATTGTTTCAATCTTCACTGTTTCTTCAATAATTCCATTGTTCATGCATTTTCCAAACGATTGCGCTTCATTTCAGTTCTTTCGTAATCGGTCTTCTGCGAAAATACATTATATGTCTGACCCACACCATATACTACTTATATGGATATAAGTAGATCACACCACAGTATCAGTTCATTATGAAAAACAGTGTAAAATCAAAAAATATCTTTCATAGTTCAACATCTTTGAGATAATCATGACATATTGTGACATAATGAATACTGATTAATTAGAACACGTATTACATGTGGTTAGACTTCGTCTACCACGATATGGAATAACATCTGGTTTACAATTCGGAAAAAGGTTAAAAACAGCCAAACAAAGTTATGTAATCAGTCTATGGAATTGATAACCATTAGACTGAACCATTTTAACAAAAGCAGACTAAACGTTTGTGTCAACGGGGTAACTGTGATCAGTGGTTGGAGGTTTCAGGTGACATGACTAAGAATCATTTATAGTGACCATCATGAATTTACTTTTTACCTTGTTCTGGATCTTGAGCTCCAGTATCCCTCCATGTATATAATAATATATATTTTGAAAATAATAATTATAGTATTCACTCCAGTTTATAGGCATGATCAGTTTGACATAAATAGTAACATTGTATCGCTTTGAATTATACTCATGATGTTTATTATTTCACATTATCATTAGCACTACATTATTTCGATCTATTCGGTATTCAATTTTTGAATTTCATCTTGTCGTGCTAATGTGACGTAACAACTTTCGCTAAAGCTCATTTTTACCAGGCTCTACATTGATATACATATTGCCTACCTTTTCAAAGGTCGAGTTTACAAGGGTAACTTCTCTTTGCAAACACTTCACAATCAAACCACAAACGCTGATCGGTTTGATTGAGTAATTGTTAAGTTTTCTTTGTGGAAATTAAAAAATTTCTGAAGTAATCAGTTCAAACACCTGTCTTTAATGAACTTTTTTCAGTTACACTTTAAATATATATATATATCATTACCGTTGAAAATCTGGTCAGCCAATATATGTGCTTTACCTTTTGCATTTTTAGGAATCATTCGATTACGTAATAGATCAAAATAATTTAACCACTGCAACAGAAGCACTAAGTCATTTCTTAGAAGGTTATTGGGCAGCAACACATCCTCCTTTAATAGTTAGTAAAGCTGAACGTCTTCTTGGCTCTTTTTCTGCTCCAGTGCCTGAAACGAAAGAAGTTGATTCAGATCGTCCACTTGTACCTATGACACCTGGTCATCCAGGGCTGAGTGTAGTTACCAAAGTAAGAAATAGGGATTTGATTTTGAAGAAATCATATTTTTTGCTAAGAGGAATGCTTCATATTACTGAACTTTAACATTTATAAGTTTTATATTCTTAGTGTCAAAACTTGGATTTCCTAGGTGATTTCAGTTGAGGTTAGACTTGTGCACCATCGGATGCAAGCCCGGTGGCCTAGAGCTTAAGCATTTGCACGTGAGACCGGAAGTCCTGCATTCAATTCCTGTATGCTAAGGAGTTTCATACCAGGACCAAACGGTCATTCTGTGCTTCCAGATTCGAAAAAGGGTGTTTAACATAGTTTGGTTCGTGATTTCAGTGTTATTTCGGTACTTTGTATTTATTGATGGCATTTCAAAAGTATAGCTTTAAGAATTATTCACAGAGTTATGGCCAAACTCATGTTTGCCTGATTCTTAGTGCATGATATTGGTCTGATTTTTATGACATGTTAAGTTAGAAAGGGAATATAACAATAAAATGAAATTTGTTTGTTATAAACTTTTAAAAACTTCAACCTAGAAGCACTCTAAGAAATATGACCATAATTTCTTATCTCAGTCGGAATAATTCACTGATAAGATTTCAACATACAATATGTGACGACTTGGATTCAAATTTCTGATAGATTATAAGTTTCAGAATAAATTCTGTTTTAAAGACTTATAGTCGATAGTTCATTGTTTAATGCAAAACCACAGTGGTTCGGTAAAATGAAGAAATCATACACCCCAAATGCCCTGGTACGGCCGAGGGTGGAGAGAGTTCGCTCTCCCTCTCCAAATGCTCTCACATGGCCACGCGTATATAGCCTCTGACAGAGAGGTCCTACTCACTGCCTCCTCGTGGCGGTGTAGGGTGTTATTCACGAAAGTGAGAGGACGAGAAGCGAATATCCGGCGCTATAACCGGGTCGGTGGACACGGAAAGTCCACCCAGGGGAGTTGGAAAACCCTCATTCTAAACCAATGGTGTACATGGGCTCCAGTATCCTATTATTATTATTATTATTATTATTATTAGCTTGATTCAATATTATATTATTTGGTACAAAATCGAATTCTCAGCATAAAGTATTTCAACATATTTACGTTTCTTATTTCTTCGTTGCTCCTGATGATAAACATTCAGTGATCGCCAGTTGGATGTCAGAAGTTCAGTCAATCGACATATGAATAATGTATATCCTTTTTTGCTGCATGTTCCCAGCAAACACGACATCTCTGATTAGACCTTTTCTAACTTTTACAGCGAAAGGTTGTACAGTTTTCAGAAACGCACCGGAATAGGTTGTGTGCTTAATAGCCATAATGATGTATTAAAACAAACAATATTAGATAACTTGTTGAAATATATAGATGACGGGAAACAGGTAGCCCAGATGTTTAAGCAGGCCGCCCGAAAGGAACAAATGGCGTATGAATCAATCGTTGGTCACCGGCTACCATGGGACTGCATCTCCTCACGATGCTCCACTGCCTTGTGGATTAGACATTTAGGTCAAAGGTTCCGGGTGTGGCCGCCTAAGAAAACAACCTGCTTCAGTTTGGGCACCCGGGCAGTATCACAGCCCTCACACAAATCAAATGAGATTTGTGTGGCGCACATGTATCTGGTGCTTCCTTGTACCAATATTTATGTTTTAAATAAATAAATAAAACAGCTTCTTTGCGTTTTCCTTCATATACTCCACTATCCCTTTTCATTCTGTTGTTATTTTGACTTCTCTTCGATTTCCTTTTTGTTCTCTTCATTTCAATTTTCTGCTACCAGGCATATCCACTTCCGATTGGTGCTATATACTACTTATGTCTGTCATCATAAGTAGCAGATACCGCGATAATAATAATACTGATAACAACAACAATACAGTTCATTCCGATTTACAATCACTTGATCTAATGTTTATATTTTGCAAATAATCTAAATTTGTGAATGGAATCAATCAGTATGGAAAAGTAATTGATTGGATTGAATCTGCACTAGGAACTAAAAGAGATTAAACTCATTACTTTTACCTAGTGACTAGTTAATGTATTTGACACCATTACCTGTTATTATACACTAACAACGTATTAATCAAAATTAAAATATTTCCCCCTTTTTTCCACTTCAGTCTGCATTAAGTGCAGGATTTACTAGTCAAGAAATTAGTGAATTAACCGGAGCAAGAGCAACTGGTTGGTTAACAGAAAATGGTGGACAAGTAGAAAATGAACTTGGACTTACTGGTGTACATCATGCTGGTAGCGTTGGTAGTGAATTTCATAATACACATTTTGGCGGAAGAAAACTTAAAACTGATCATAATAATAGTCCTGATGGTCTTAACACAACACATTATTCAGATGATGAAAATGAAGGTTCACGTTCAAATTATCCTCGTAATGGTCGATTACATATGGGTGCTGCAAGTGCGGCGGCAATTGCTGCTGTTGCCGCTGGACTTACACCTAAAGTTCACTCGTTACATCCATCATTATTTCAAGGTGAAGATAAACGAAATGGTTCAGTAATTCGTGATATAAATGGCAATACTACACATGAATCACCTGGTTTAACTATGGGTTTAGGATTGGGTATAGCGAATGGGGTTGCAGCTACTATCAGTGCTGCTCTGTTTCCGAGTCATAATAGTACTAATCATCATCAGCATCATTCAGCAGAGAACTATCATCAACCAATATCAAGAATACCACCTCCAACAATTGCTGCCGCAGCTGTAGCTTCGGTAGTTTCGCCACCGTTAAAAGACTTGGGTATTCATCAAGTGGAAGGAAGTGATGGAACACAAGGTAAGCAAAATTATTACTCATTTTCTTCTAGAAATTTTTAATCTATTTCTTTACCTCTATGTATATTAAAGTGTATATTATCCTATCAACTAAAAATGTTTGATGGTAGCGTCTGTGAATATTACATTAAATGACTTAATTTTAAATTCTTGGGAGGTTGGGAATTTTGTCAAGGTTGCGTGTTATATCTCGTTAATTAGTAGTAATATGAATGAAACATGGATAAAACAAAATCTAGACCAGTAAGAAGAGTGGGGTATTTCAAAATAACAGCTGAAAAAACTGTAATAAATATTCAGCTCTTCACCAAGCAGACTCGAAACAAATAAGCAGATAAATTATAATTGATAGAGCAGCTTTTAAAAGATAGTTGAATTTTATAAATTACGTCAAGGATGGGCCTAAGTTAAACAACAAGATTAGAAGTCACTGAATAGTCGCTTCTTCCTAGTAAGTTGCGAATAGGAAGTGAGCATCCACGACCCCATAGGGTGTCGAAACCAGGACCTTCAGGTTCAACAGTTTGTAGCTCAAACTTTATTGAATTCAGTATCCTGCACAACTATCATCTGCTCTTCTAAGAATTAGAGTTTCGAAAAGTCAACATTCGAAGATCATTACAAATTCTGTCAATCTAAATTCACCTTATTATTTATTTAAAACATAAATATTGGTACAAGGAAGCACCAGATACATGTGCGCCACACAAATCTCATTTGATTTGTGTGAGGGCTGTGATACTGCCCGGGTGCCCAAACTGAAGCAGGTTGTTTTCTTAGGCGGCCACACCCGGAACCTTTGACCTAAATGTCTAATCCACAAGGCAGTGGAGCATCGTGAGGAGATGCAGTCCCATGGTAGCCGGTGACCAACGATTGATTCATACGCCATTTGTTCCATTAGGATACTGGAGCCCATGTACACCATTGGTTTAGAATGAGGGTTTTCCAACTCCCCTGGGTGGACTTTCCGTGTCCACCGACCCGGTTATAGCGCCGGATATTCGCTTCTCGTCCTCTCACTTTCGTGAATAACACCCTACACCGCCACGAGGAGGCAGTGAGTAGGACTTACCTGTCAGAGGCTATATACGAGTCAGTCAGTCAGTCAGCTACAACGTAGGACCGGGCACATTTATGCATCGGTCCAAGTTGTCATACCTCGTTAGCACAACAAGATGAACACCGGGTTCATAGAAGTAATTAATTTACTGGTGGTAGTAGTATATAAAAGAAAGGTTGTATTTAAGGATATAGTACAGGGAGGAAGAGAGATATGAAGCAATTTTAATCTCAAGGTTTAAGGGAAGATAAAGAGTGTATACACCTACGCCATTGTGATCGATTTTGAGCCATGTCACACAGAGTCTCAAACCACTGGTTACGATAGTCACGCGGACCCCAACCAGGTAGTCTGCATCTGCCAACATGGCTCAGACTAGAAGTTAGTGACTTCAAACACTGATGCCATGTTTTGGTTTGGCCACCCCTAACTCTCTTCCAACAATCCCCTACACTAGTCATCATAGCGCGTCGTGGTAATCGGTGTTCAGGCATACGTAACACATGGCCCAACCATCTCAGTCGATGAAGATTTATCACCTCATCAACTGATTTACCATCGTTCCCTAATACCCTGTATCTAACCTCACTATCACTTATCCGGTTATCCCAGCAGATGCGAGCAATATTTCTAAGGCATCTGTGGTCAAATACTAGTAACCAACGAGTATCTTCTACTCTTAATGGCCATGTTTCACAGCCGTAAAGTAGAACAGAGCGAACTGATGCGCAGTATACTCGTCCTTTAATTGATAGACGGATATCTCGTCTTGGCCATAGGTGACGTAAGTTGGCAAAAGCCAAACGAGCTTTTTGAATCCGTGCTGAGATTTCGTCAGACACCAACCCATTAGGACTGATCAGACTTCCAAGATAAGTGAAGTTGTCCACGCGTTCAACTACTTCACTCCCTATCCTTAGTTCAGGTGTTGACGCAGGCCAGTCCTGAAGCAACAATTTGCATTTAGAGGGGGAGAAACGCATCCCAAACATCCTGGCATTATTATTGAGTTCCAACAGAAGACTCTGCATTTTGCCAGCGTCTTCACCAAACAGGACTATGTCATCTGCGTATTCTAAGTCGCTTAGTGGTCCCCCTGGTAGGAGATCAATTCCTGTAGATTCAGTCGCAGAGAGTGTTATTTCCAGCAACATGTCTATAATGAAGTTAAACAAAATGGGGATAGTGGACAACCTTGACGGACACCACTTGAGGTTGTAAAATCATATGACAGTTCGCCATAAGCTCTCACTCGACTGGTAGTGTTCGAGTAAAGAGCCTTCAAAAGGTTTATGTGCTTCTCAGATACACCTTTCAATGACAGACACTGCCACAGAACCTTTCGATCCACAGAGTCAAATGCTGCTTTCAAGTCAAGAAAAACTATCATTGTCGGACGCCGATAAGCGTGTCTGTGCTCTAAAACTTGACGAATGGTGAATATGTGGTCGATACAGCCACGACCAGGTCTGAAGCCAGCCTGATTTTCTCGTGTTTGCAGTTCACGAGTCTTAGTTAGGCGCCCGATAATTATTGAGGCTAGTATTTTAGATGCTATGTTGGTCAGACTAATCCCTCAATGGTTATCGCAGGATGACCCCTTTTTATATATTGGGACAATCAGTAATTGTGACCAGTCGGATGGGATTACGTCCATCTTCCAGATTTTAGCCAGAATATTAGTCAACCTAGTCGCTAAAATCGGACCACCATATTTAAAGACCTCTGGAGCCAATCCATCTGGACCAGCTGCTCTTCCTCGTTTCAGATTACCTATAGCCTTTTGAACTTCAAGTAGGGTCGGGGGGCCTACTTCAATGTTCCATTCAGGTTTTCTAGGAATAGTGGGTAGTTGTGCAGTAGCTGAAGGCCAGCTAAACTGCTCCTTAAAGTGTTCCGCCCATCGTTCTAAACGTTTGGGTTGAGAGCAGATAAGGGTTACGTCTTTTTCCGAGATTGTCTCACTTACACTTGACTTCTTAATTCCGGTTTCTTTTATTAGTCTGAATAGTTGCCTGATGTTCCCTACAGCCGCTGCCTTTTCCATCTCTTTTGCTTTCGTTGCCCACCACTGCTAACGATCGTTCCTTAGACTTTTAGTTAACCTAGATCTAATTTCTTTACGCTCTTCGTCATGTTCATAGCCTGATGGGATGAGTTTACGCGAATCCATCAGTGAAATAGACTTAGAAGAAATCCATTGGTTTTTTGGAGCCCTATGGTTTAAATGACTAATAGATGTTACTGCTGTTTCCACAGCTGTTCGTATGTCTTTCCAAGCAGCATCTGGGCTAGTCTTGTTTACAGAACTGCCTAGATGTGAACTCAGTTGTTTCTGGAATTCGCATTTGGCTTTCTCGTCCTCCAGTTCAATCCTAATGGGTCTTCTTAGTGTACTTTTCCTGCGTCCATTTAGGCGCAGACAAATGCGCGCTCGTATTGAAGCGTGATCAGAGTCTAAACAAGTATTCCAATACGAGCGACAATCTTCTATTGAGCCTCTCCAACGATGACTGATGACAACATGGTCTATTTGAGTCCATCGTTGGTTTGGTGCAGGTGGCCTCCATGTTAGGCGATGTCTCTCCTTGTGCTAAAAATAAACGATTGTCTGAGCATAGTTGCAACAGACGATCACCATTATCGGTTCGTTGAGCCGGAATACTAAAACACCCACCTAAATGTCCTTCTGTTTGATTTCAGCTGCCTACCTGAGCATTAAAGTCACTCGCTACGACTACTATGTCTGAGCGCTTAGCTTTCTGAGGAAGCTCAGAGAGCTTTCTGTAAAAGTCATCTTTCACTTCATCAGGGCTGCAGTCAGTGGGAGCGTAGGCAGAAACAACGAAAAGGCAACGACGTGTGTCCCTATCCTTCCGAGTTCTTACGGAGCCATTTAGTCGGACAGCACACAGGCGACTGTTAACGGGGATCCATTCTAATAGTGCCTGTTCTGCCCTTGTACTTAGTGCTATGCCTACACCTGCAAGTCCACGAGAACTAGCCAACGGGTCGCCAGATACACGGAGGGTGTATTTCGTTGGCTCTCCATTTTGGCGAGGTGAGGTCAAGTGAATGACCACACTAGGATCCTGTATACGTGTTTCGGAGACACAGCATACATCAATGGTACAAGATTCTAGGGTTTCAGCTAAGGAGGCCTTTTGACCGATTTGGCATAGGGTACGTACGTTGAAGGTTCCAATGTGAAGTTTGGAGCGAGGTTTTAGTAGACCTGGGACAGCGTTTCGCGCACTAAAATCGTTGGCCATGGTGACACTTGAGGAGGAAACCGGAACAGGAAGTTTAGTGTTGAAAGTCAAGGTAGAAGGAATAGTAGAAATTGAAGGAGATTGATTATGAATACAGTGGTCTTGAGTGCTGTTAGTGGTATGAGGGCAGTTATCACTTCCCGGTTGCCCACACCGTGGAAGGGTTCTCCTGGGGGTACCTGAAAAGGAAATTGAGTTAGAAGTGGTCTTAATGACCTGAGAGAGTGACCACAGTGCCCAAGGGACAACTGCTTGAGGTCGGTCACACACGACCTTTTTGTGGGCAGGTTTTTTGTTAGCTCCGTTCTTAAAAGGACCTTACCGCAGGAGACGGATATCCGTGGGATAAGGCGAGGTGTGTATTTTTAGGTTCGACCTTTTCTAACCCCATCCCTCCTTGTGGGAAGGCAGCATCGCTGTCATGCTGGTTGTCTGAAGGAAACACCTTACTGCTGTCACACCTCTGTACAGTCAGCAGTACGACTTCGGACCTTGGGTTTGCTGCTTTTAGTTTCACTGCTCTTCAACCGACCTGTCAGGCATGGTAGGACCTCTAGGAACGATTGTTCCAGCCAGCATAGCTCGATTGCTTCATCACGATAGACAAGCCCGACCACCACGTCAAGGTAGCAGCAACGGTCGGGCTATATACGCGTGGCCATGTGAGAGCATTTGGAGAGGGAGAGCGAACGCTCCCCACCCTCGGCCGTACCAGGGCGTTTGCGGACATATATATATATATATATATATATATATATATATATTCGTAGATTGCACTTTCACACATTTTTATATGGATTTAATTTTTCTTCAGTCTATCAAAGTAGATCAGCTCGTCAAGCAAAACAACGTGAAGAACAATTAGCACGAGTAAAACAAGAGGTTGAAGCTAAAGCTTTAGCATTACAAGCTACTGCAGGTGGTAGACGAAGACGTCGAGATAAAGAAAGAAGACAAAGAAATCCTGATGGTTATTGGGATTCTCATGATGAACGTTATCAAGCTCATGGAACAAATGATTTATCACAACATTCTCATCAATGGAATGGACCACCTGTTCGATCTATGGCAAGAGCATGTCCACCTGATGATTGACTGACTGATTATTTATATACTTATTTCAATAAACAAATAACTTCAATAATTGATTCCTGCCTTTTTTTGGTAGTAACTTTTCTATTTTACTCACTGCTCATTTACAAGAAGTGTATCTGTATACAATTTAAATCAAAAGTCAATTCAGTGATTCTGCAAATATATTTAAAATGTGAAAAACTTGTTTAGAATATATATCCACGATGAACTCATTTAGTATTGTTTGTTTGAATCTTCCCAACGATAAGTTGGGACTGCAACTGGTCAGTCTCTAATCGGCATATGAGCATACTGTGCGTATTGCCTCGATATAGACTTAATTCACAAGCATGGTAAGCAAAGATGGATAGTGGCTAGAAATGGAATCTAGGGCGCGCGTTTCGTCCTATTTGGGACTCGTCAGCTGGATGTACCTGCATCTCACAGTTGACGTTCACTCTGGGGCTCGAACCCAGTACCTTTCGCTTCAAACGCCATCACGTTATCCACTCGGCAACTGAGTCCTGATAGCTACTTGCTAGTGGCACCTTCTTTTGACATACAACCAACTTTCTTTATAAATTTTGAACAAAATCAGAGCAAAAAACAAGCGAAGTAGAATAAAATCAATTTATTTTATTTTACAGTTTCTTATCAACTGGATACAATCGTTTTTGTATGACATAGTAGATATTGATGATTGAAATAGTGTAACGACAAAGATTACCAATATTATGTCTATATATAAAGAGATGAATGGGGAATAACAGTGAAATCCTAGGGACGCCCTTTCCGTCCTATTTTGGTTTCATCATTTGGATGCATCTGCATCCCAGAATTGATATTTACTCAAGGGACTTAGTACCGTTTGCTTCGAACGCCGCTGCATTATCCATTTAGCTACATAAGTACATTCATCGGACAAGTCATAAATAGGAAAAAAAATGTGCGTCTCTAGGATTTCACTGCTGACCGCTAACAATCTCTGCTTATATATGTGTATATGAATAAGCATATTTGAATTCATTTAAAGATAAATATCGAAAACATGTAAATGATTGATGATTGTGTGATTCCAACAGGCTTGTAAATAGCTGAATAGAAAGTACAAAATAAGATGAATGTATATTCTCCTGCCCCAATTACTGTAGTTGTCGTTGGTGTAGTTTTATTCTTGCATTTGTAATGCATTTAAACTTCCGTTTTATATTTTCTTTAAAAAAGTATGACTATTTAAGTAATCTGTGTGATGAATTAGTTTAACATTTGAATAAGTGAGTAGTAGTATAATGATGATGACGACTTACATACACCGTTCATTCTATTTATAAAGTAAAGCACAGTACAGTAATCTATATCGATATTAGAACATTCCAATTAAAATTTATGTATTTGTTCAGGTTTTCTGATGTATTTAGCTTTTTCCTGGAAAACAAATTTATAGAATTAGAACTATGGAATTAGTATGACAATGATAATACTTATTGTAAGCAAAGATGGATAGTGACTAGCAGTGGAATCAAGGACTCACGTTTCGTCCTATTTGGGACTTGTCAGCTGGATGTACCTGCATCTCAGAATTTATGTTCACCCTGGGACTGAAACCCGGTACCTTTCGCTTCAAACGCCATCACGTTATCCACTCGGCCAATGAGTCCTGATAGCCACTTAATATTATATTAATTAATAATAAATATTTTATACTATTACAAACGAAAGGAATATATTATTCTCAGAAGGGGATTTTGTGAAGATTCTAGTAATTTTATGTAGCGCGACTGGTTGGTCCTAGGTTCGGATTTCGTGGGGCGGGATCGTGAACGCACACTGGTGAGGAGTCCCACAATAGGATGAAACGACCGTCCAGTGCTTCCAGGTTTTCTATGGTAGTCTAGCTTCAATTGACTCATGATCTCCACTATATAGAATATATATTATTCATCAAAAGTTAGTGTTGGACAATCTAATTACAATTGTCATTTTTACTTATTCATTTTACTTCATTGTGAGTTGCAGAAAAATAAAAACTAATCGCAATAGTTTTCGCCATCAAACAAGTCACTGGTCAACATCTCAAACAAACATCTTAACTGATATTTATATTATAATTCGTAACAATTTGAATTTTCTTGTCGTTCATATTCAGGGCTGATTTCTTGGTCTTATATGTATGGCATATGGGTACTTTGAGAGAATGAACTGATTTTACTTGTAATTAAAAGTCAATGATATTTTTAGACAGTAAGATTCAGGACAAATGTTTAGGTTTGTTTAAGACCAATAAGCTGAATGTACTTGGATTCATGACTGATATTCTAACCCAATGCCTAACATTTCAAATTCTAATGCATTTACCTACTAAGCTACTGGGTTATGATAACCACCATCTTGTTTAATAGACATAATTTCTATTTTTATTCGTGAAGGTTGGTCTGTTTTCCTGATGTTGATATTCAGAACCGAGCTTGGCTATTTTAGTTTGCATAAATGTGTCATCAAACAGCTTAAATTTTTTAAACAACTACTTAACAAAATTGTAATCTACTGAGTGTATCAACCATTTCACTTATCTTGGAAATCACATCGGTGTTGGAAGGTTAGTGTCTGACGAAATCTTAGTATGAATTCAGAAAGATCTCTTGGCCTTTGTCGACTTACATCACTTTTGCTGAAGGAGAGATGTCCGTTTGTCAACCAAAAGGTGAGTATTCTGCACGACAGTCCGCCATCTATAACTCTGGTTGTGTGAATAACCTATGAAGATAGATGACTTGTGTACATTGCTGGATATTGATCATAAGTGTCTTCGATGCATCTCTCACCTACTGTGGAATGAACGGATGGACATTGTCGAGGTTAAGTGTAAGATATTAAGTGAAAATAGTAAATCCTCTGGTGAGGTAGTAAACTTTCATCGACTGAGGTGGTTAGAATATATATCAAATTTCCCCAACTGCCGTTTGCTTTGACGCATGATGTTTAGTCTTTCTTTTATCATTGCCTCTACATTATTTCGGTCTCCTTTTTTGTCTTCATCTCGTCGTGAGGATCGGGAACGGGAGTATAAGAAACCTATTTAATTTTTTAACACTCACCGGGTGTCATTTCGACAATTAACCCACTGTGTAAAATATGCGTGAATCTGAGTGAATGAATGTCTACACCTCCATCTCTATCTATCTTGCCATCAGTTGTAAACACAAACAATCAATAACTTACCCACAACTGATAAGCTTACATACTCACTCTCTTCCCAGTGTGATTTTCCTCTTGCGTGCTTGCAGATTTTATTATTTATTAACAATATACTCTTCTAACAACTAGTGTTATGACTTTTGAATAAATTCATAGCACTACTTGAAGAATTGGCCTGCCTAAATATTCAGTTAACGGGATTTCATCAATTGGAATCAAATGGGGAGGAATTAACGTTAACGGGAACTTGTACAAACATACATTTATGCTAAGGCTCTAGATTGATGAGATTATAGAATTGCACTGCATAATAAACTGATGATTTGCACAGTTATATACTTTGCAAATCGGTTTGGAAGTTCATTTATTCATCTATAGTTCATCATGATATGTTAACAATCACAGTGACAGTTAAAGAAAGTGAGAAATACTTATACAAACAGACATATGTAATAACTATAGAGCCTAGTACAAATGTGTAAGCACAAGTTGCCACACCTGATTAGCAGAACGAAATGCAAGCAACAAAAGATATCGAAATGATGTAGTAGTTATGATAAAAAGAAATATTACACATTAGGAATATGGTTTGGCAAGACAGAGTGAAAAATATACATGAAGGGATACTGGAGTTCAAGATCTAGAGGGAGATAAAGAGTGAATATATCTGGTTTACTGACAGATTTCGACTCATCACCCAAAATGTCCAACTACTAATCGTGTTTTTCATCCGGACCCGAACCAAATAGTCTGCACCTGTCAATATTGACTCAGACTGTTAGTCAACGACTTTATGGACTGATGCCACGCTTTTGTTTGCCCTTCTCTAATTTTCCTTAATCTACTTTTAAGCTAACAAGCACCGCTCGTCGGGATAGGCAGTGGTTAGGCGTTCGTAAAATATGTCAATAAAGATTTACAACCTCATTAACGGATCTGGTACCATTACCAAGTAGCCTACGCCTAGCTTCAATATATTCATTTAGTCGTTCCAAAAAAATATTTGGAAGTTGACTGGAAAAAATTATCCATCTGTATTATTATTTTCTCGATAAATGATCTTGTTATATGTGAAAATGTGTATTTAAACCGATATTTCTATATAATTAGCAGATGGACTCACTCTTTCTTGATAACGACGTTCATAATAGTCTAATTCTGATTCTCCTGGACGACGCATCTGTGACTCAACTTCATGACGCTCAAGTTCAGCGCCTACAATTTAATAATGTAAAATGACTATTTTACTATTTATTAAAATGACCAGACTTTTAAGACAATCATCATCAATTTTTTATTATATCATTGAAAAATAAAATTCAATAAGAGTGTTACCAATTAAACGATAACAGAATAAAGTTGATGACCAACATACATGTTCGATGTTTACTGTACTCTAATATATGATAGTTATAAGCTACCGAGAAGAAACATCGGACTCTAAAATATTTTGTTGGTTGGAACTCATCAACAAGGGATACAGATTGAATAACTATCAACATACCTATGCTTGAGACAATGATTGATAGTAGGTCGAGTTTCATGAAGGACATCAGTCCCATCAAGATTATAAACACATCTTGTTAATGAATATCAATTAAGACAAAGGCCATGTCTATGACATCCTATCGACTGCCTTTACCTACCTAAGCTCTAAGAAAAGTGCATTCCAATGTTAAATCACTCTTTATCTTCCCTTAAACCTCGAAATTGAAATTGTTTCATATCTGTCTTTCTTCCTGTACTATATCCTTCTATACAACCTTTCTTTTATATAATACCACCACTAAATTAACTACTTCTATGAATTTGTTGTTCATCTTGTTGTGCTAACGAAGTATGGCAACTTGGACCGATGCATAAATGTGCCTGGTCCTACGTTGTAGATGACTGACTGAATGTAAAATCAATTGGACTAAATAACATATTGCAACTTCATGAATGAAATTTTATCAGGATTGAAGACTAAATAACATACTATTGATTATTATTGAATGATCAGTTAGTGCATACTCCGAAGTACTTATACCGTTCTATATTGTTCATTGCCTAGCTTTTAACGTTTCTTCTATTGTGCTTTTCTGTAATATATATTTTACTTACAAACACAAAACTTAGAAGATAACCGTGTTCTGAGATCAGAATACCTAATAATCACTAAGGTTCTTAAAATCAACAGTTCAAAACGGAAAGTTTGCAGGCCAAAATCCTTATAGAATGTTGTTTTTGGTGCTCATTCAATAATTTAAAATCAATGATGGTCACACGCGATTATGCCTGTTTCTTCGAAAGTAATTGGTTTTAACTCTAAAATAACTAAACACTTATAGTTGAAATCGTGAGCCAATTGAAGCTAAACCACCATCAAAAACCTGGAAACACTGGACGGCCGTTTCGCCCTATTACGGGACTCCTCAGCAGTGCGTATCCACGATCTCGCACTCGCGAGATTCGAACCGAGGACCAACCAGTCTCGAGCCAGAGCCCTTAACCGATAAACAACTGAGCTGGCATCCAACGATGTTAATGTCTAACTTCAACTGATCCACTTATATTTTGTTTATGTCCTTTTGTTTGTCTACTACATGTCATTGTTTAGAGTACAGCTATACTCTACATATAACTCATTAGGTATATCGATTTTAAACAGTTGCTTGGTTATATAGATGAAAAAGTATTTGAGAAGTCTTTAGGTTAGACCATTTTTTTATGACAAGATCCTGGACATTAGTGATCAAAACGGTATTGGATTTCATAGTCAGTTTTGTCGAATAATCCAATTGGTTTGATGTAAGTGAGTAAAATATACTTTACCTCAAAAAAAAACACACAACTAAATTACCTTTCATATCGTTAACTGCCAACTTGTAATTAAATACTACTTGTGTATGACTACGGAGAAATGGATTATCTACAGATGTAATTGATTTATTCATTTCTTCCTCTGATAATAATTTGTCTGCACCACTTGTATCCATATGTATTATACCAGGTGCAAGTGAACTAAATCCAGTTAGTCCGCCCATAGCTTGATATGGTGAAGTTTGACCTATGGGTTTACCTCTACTATGACGTTCTTCGGCAGTTTCCATCTGATTGTAACAAAGTAAGACATAAAGAAATTATTTTAAAAAAAGTTAGACATTTTAAAATAACTTTTGCAAACATTCGCTTATCCTGTGTTTAAAGAAGTTTTCCAAATGTTGTTCGCCAATTTTGTGCATGTTAGGATTCACGTACAAAACACATTTAAAGCTTTAATGATACGCATTACATATCTGGATGTGTCTCTTGGGACTGTACTAGAAACAGATTGAGTTTTTAAGATATTTCAGCTTTTTGGTTCTTCTTCATCTTATATCAGAAGGATATGAAATTAAAGTATTTGAATATAAAGTGATCAGTGAAAGCATAAAAGTTTTCAAGAGTCTTCTATAATATCGATTACTACCTCAACACACAACAAGGAGATGCTCTTATGTATTAACAGCAATCTTCAGTATGATATCACGTGTCGAAATTAGTTTCAAGTTAGAGATTGTTACCTTTCAGCGTACAGTATTTTTCTGTATAAATAACCGAAGTTAGTGATGTAGAACAGGTGAACTGCAAATGGTAATGATAACTGCACGGGTATAACAAAATACTATACTCACTGTCGTTTTCTTGAACTGTTCAAAATTACTGGATTCTGCAATAATGAAGTTTATTAAATGTTTAGTAATTTATTTTCTAGAATACCAAGTTTGAGAAAACTCAACATACACTATTATATCCATAATCCTGATGAAGCTTTCATGATCTGTGTCTATTGCATAAACGAATCAAAAGTAATAGGGATCAAAATTTCCCAGCTAAATTGATGTTTCAGTAAATCATTTGCTCACTTCTTATTAACGTTTAACTTTCATTGGATAATAATAATCGTTTACTTTCTTCTCGAATTGGATGTAAATTTGATATACTGTGATGTGGGCTACTCATATCGACATAAGTACTATATATCGTGAGTAAGGAATAGGATATCTGACAACAGAAGATTGAGAAGATCAACAAAGAGAAGAACAGAAATAGAAAGCAGTTAGTGTGGAAATTCAGGAACAATAAAGCCTGAGACAATTAACAAACATTGTTGGTTGTTCTCACCTGTGTTCTCATTCACTACAATACCTTCATTGTTATTATCAATCTCAAGTTAAGTTGAAATTCTTGTCTTCTTTATAGGTATCAAAATAGAAATGCTAAACAACACTAAACTAAATTAAAATTCAAACTCACAATCATTTCATGTTTATGAAACTCGATACCACAGTCACATCGCATACTTGTTCTGAAACCATTACAATTACAATTGGACTTTGAACAAAAATAAGGTGTTGCCTAAAATTAAATAGAAGATAACTCGATAAAATATTTTGAAAGAGTAGCTTAATTCAACCACAGAATATCCCTGAAGCAATCGATGCTTATTTTAAAATCCATATACAGCTCACTCTATGCTAAAACTAGATCTTGAGGCTCAGCAGGAAGGCATCACTGAAAATACAAGGAAAATTCTACTACTTCTGTAATTGTTCTTAATATCCTGGTGTTGCATCCGGAGAACATTGAACCCACGATCCTCAGTATCATTAGACAATTGAGCCGCCGTCCAACGGTGAAAAATTGGACGCAATAATTAATTATTTTAACCAGAATTATATCAATCTCTAGTTTGACTTTATTTATCCCATAGTGATAGGCCTTGATCAAAAAGTGATTAATCATTGTTTATTAAAACTTTACCAAATATTAGTATGGTAGATTTTTATCACAGAATCATTCAAAATATGATTTTACCAATTCATCTATTTATAATTATGATTACCATAATAGTAAATCGACTAAAAACAGTGGTGGCTTAAAAAGGAAACTTATTTAATGTAAAGTCAATATTAGAAAATTTGTAACATCAGTCAAACAGTAAACATCATTGGAAATAACTTCATCACTCTTTAAAATAACTTTGTATAACTTTTAATTCATACGTTTGTACTATTTGTTTGCACGCGTATAATGTAAGCCGTGCTTCGCTAATTGTTCACCTCGATAACCGTTATAATACCAATCTTAACGGTGTGCAAAGTCAGAAAGCAAAGGGTAACGGCAACTACAGTATTATTGACTAATGACGCAGGCCAGAAAGTTATAGGCATATGAGCAAATATCAGCGAGTGAAGTATAAATGACACTCATTGGAGATGGCGGGTAAGCCAACTCGCTTTAATCAAGCGTTAGTCAATATTTATAGTCAGACAAGAATAAATAGGATAAAAAGGGTACACACACCTATGCTCATATGAAAATGGTCAGGGTCAATAAGTGAATAATGAACAAGGTAAAAACATGACTCATGATGGATAGGTGAATTGACTTGTCCAGAAGTAAGAATAAGGTATATGGGCTCAACATAAAACCGATACTACAATACTACTCACAGGATGCTTATATTATATATATATATATATATATATATATATATATATTCCACAAATCATTGAGTTCTTAAAAGAATTACCCAGTATTTACAATATTTCATCCTGCAGATGGTAAGACACTCTAAACTGCTTATATGGAAACAGTGCCGCTTTAGCAATAATAATATTAAACGCAGAAACATTTGTACTCTGAAGCTATTTTTCTACGTTGTATGCTCACAAATAATAATGAATACTCTAATAGTCTATAGATTCTTTAGAAAAACGTTTAGGGCTATTTATTGCTAGCTTGTTATTTGTAACTAAGAAAAGTTTATAAAACTGACCACACTGTGATCGGTTGCATAATGTTTACAATGGCATCGTGCAACTTGACTTCCAAATTTTGGCATCACATGAAAACTTAAACATTTACAATGTTTACATGGTAACTGTATGGGACGTTGTGTAGGTACTATCTCAAAATCTGTCTTATGTTGTATAAGGCTATGAAAAAAAGAGAAAAGAAGAATGGACACAAAGTTTACAACATAAACTAAGTCAAACTGTATGCATTTATGATACGACCTGTAGTTCACAAAACAAATGTAGAAAAAAACAACTAACCCAGCGGTGCGCGTCCTAAAAAGAGCAGTGATTTAGTACTTGTTAAGAATTAACTTTGCTTTTGTGTATTTATTGCACCCAAAGCATATTTCACCGACTGTCACTTGAATTATTGTGGTTAGGGTTTGGATTTTTTTCAAACCCGTATTGTAGTACTCTTTTTGGATGATTATTACGCTAGTGATTACTCTATGTATTTCTGTCAATTTTCCCCTTTTAATCTGTTTATAATGGTTGACCATAGCTATAATTGTGGACAGTCAAATTGTTTCTTACCTAGGAACGAAGGAATGCAATGTGATGAGTGTAAAACATAGTTCCTCAAACAAAAGATGATCGAAGCATAACTCGCATTAGCTTTGTACGTTTTGATGTTTGAGTAAGACGTTATTAATCCAGGAGGCAATGAGCCTTTTGGAGTCGGCCAGCAAGAAAGCTTCTGGTGGCTGCACTGATAACATCAGTACTGATAGCAAAGAATGTTTCAGTGTAGTATGTGCTGCTACTGAATGAGCCAAACGCCAGACTACAAAACATGGAAAAGCCAAGTTTCTTAAAAAAAGGGTGAAATACCACTGGATATTGGTGGTCGCCATTCTACAAAAGTACCTGAAGATTCAGATAAAACCATCACCATCCCAAGTAGTCCTGATGTGACTGTCTTGAGTGACGGGGAGAGGAGAATATTACGGAAACGAAGAAGAGAAAGGAAATAGTCACAAACAGCACCTATTTGAATTACAAGTCTTAGGTAGACTCATACTCTGAGTCACACAAGACGCTGCAAAAGTCCCCAAGTAAGATAACTTAGCCCTAGAGTGACTGGAAAAAGCCTAATTCAGTCGAATATTGTTTCGGGTAATTCGCTAAAAGCAAACGATCCTGATCTAAAAACTAGACACATGATTTGGAAAAGGCCTGAGCACTTATTCGTAGCATCTTACTGGATAACGACGCATTTCACATGAAAAAATGATAGGAATTGGTAAGAGAACCGACAAAAATGTTGAACTCCGAACATTTGGACTCCTTAAGGTAATCCTAGTGTTAGGGAAACTACGATAACACCTACATTCAAGATCTGACATGTCTCTATGAGATAGAATAAGAAGTAAGGCTGCACTATCTGAACTATAAACGTCTGGACAAAATGGAGAGAAGATCTCCGCTTAGTGGGTATTTGAGTAGTCAGGTTTTGGAAGCGAATGTTATCAAAGCCTGTACAGATAGATCGTTCCTTTTAGGAGTTTTATTTGAAAATGTTCATATTCTAGGAAATCAATTCCATGAACTAGATGTATTAATGAACGGATTAAAGTCACTCATCGTAGCTGTAATCAAAACTTGACTAGTCCATGACTTTGACGTCACTCTAGAATTGCCGGGACACAATTACCTAAGAAGTGTTAAGAACAGATACAGGAAAAGGATGGGATTCTTATATACATAGCCAATCATATAAATATTCGTTCCTTTGTTTGTGAATTATATGATAGTAGAACATGTGAAGTTACTAGTTGTGAGCTCACTCTTGAAGGTTGTACATTTATATTCGGTGAAATCTACGGTAGCCCAATCTGCCTAGCTGACGAATTTATTTCAGAGTACATTCAGCTATGGAGTATAAATAATAGATGTATGATATTAGATTTCAATGCACACGATATTATGTGGACAGAGATGTTCACCGTAGTGTCTGAAAACTCTTTCGATAGTAGGCTCCTAATTACGGTAATGGAGCATGCTTTGGTCCACCACGTATCCAAATCCAAACGATTAGGCCCAAACCAATAATTTTTTTGTCAGAATAAGTAATCACTTGTGAGACGGAGGATCTTGCCTATCTTAATATTCCATCACCGTTAGCTAATAACAAACATACCACTTCATCATTTGTGTTTGAGGCTTGTAACAATATATGATTGAGCGAGACTTCGCCCAAATGTGTGGGGAGAAAACATAATAGCCATGCAGCGATGTGCTACAATGACGGACCGGTCAATAAATAACATCTCATCAATTGAAGAAGCATGGTCTTTATTTAAAGGTACACTCAGCTTAGTTCCGTCCCCGTTTATATCTTGCTTAGTACCGCGTAGACCAAATAACTTTCCACTATGAATAACTAAAGAGATCAAGAAACTTCTTGGACGTAGGGTAAAGGAATGGAGTAAGTTTATCTCTACAGGATCTGAACAGTACAGATCGACCGATTGTCAGACTAGGAAAGTATGCAAAGCACTGGTAAGTGAAGCTAGATTCTCGGAGGAAAAACAACTTGTTAGGGATTGCAAAAATAGTCCAAAAACGTTGTTGTCGTATGTAAACACGTTAACTCATAGAACTGTTGAGTTCCTACCACTTCTGGTACTAGAAAATCCATTGATTTTGATAAGAAATAATATTGTGAATGCTAAAGCTGTATCAAAATATTTTAGGAATATGTTTTTACAGACTATGGCAAAAAGATCAACAATTAGTTATAATAATAGAGACCTGTCAATGAGCCCTCTGGTTATTGAGAAAGGAACTGTTTTTACAACTACTCATCCCAGGATTATGAAAGCCCTAGAAAATATAATTGCTAAACCTCTGGCAATACTGTTTGGTATGTCTTCGAAGCGCTCTATACTGTCAAGAAACTAGAAAGATTTAATAATCAGTTAGGTGTATAAGGTATGGGGCAGAAATTTGGTCAGTAACTATCCATCCGTTAGTATAACCAGGCTAGTTATCAAACTAATGGAAAAATTTGTTCGGATGACCATTCTAAACTATGTGGAGGGGCATAGTGTTCTATTCAGAGAACAACACGGTTTTAGTAAACGCCTGTCATAGTTGAAAAATTTGCTCATTAAAAGAGAGAATTGAGTTGCAAAGAAAGGTAATAATATTCCAGCACATTTAATTTTCACGGATCTAAGTAACGCTTTTGACAAGGTCTCTCATCCGGGTCTTAGATTAAAACTAGTTTTTGGGATCCCTTATGATATTATAAACCGAATAATTAGCTTTCTTAGTGATCGGAGACAACGGGTAAGGGCAAGTGGAGCTATCTCAACGTGTGAATCCGTGGAAAGTGGAGCTGTCCAAGGTACCATTCACTCCCCTCTTCTTTTTTTACTTTATGTAGATGTCTTACCAATTGTAGAAACGTCATCTGTTCTACTCTTTGTCGATGACATAAAGATCTAGAGACCCGAAGACAGTATTTCAGATAGAATATTACAAGATGACCTTAATTTATTGGTTGCATGGATGAACAGGTGGTCTTTAGAAGTAAGTTTTAACAAGAGAATAGTGGTGCAACTAAATAATTGAGAAAATCTATATCACTACACAATATGAGGAGTAGTGTTACATAAAGCAATGGACTATAAAGATTTGAGAGTCATAATAATTAAATATCTTACATTGAAGAATAAATGTAAGACTATCGTTGTCAAAAGCTTCAGGATTTTGAAAGCAATTCATAAGTCATTTCATTAATTTGACAAAGAAATGTTCAGGGTATTATAGCCGACTTTCGTGAGGCAGTATTTGGAATATATGATTCAAGCAGCGAGTCCTTGTTTCAAGTATTAGGCGGATATGTTCGGACGAGCCCAACGACGGAGGGTCAAAATGGTGGAAGTTCTCGTTAACTTATATTGTGAAGGAAGACTGAGGTGCCTCAACTTATTTCCGTTATCTTACCAAAAATTATGGGTGATCTAATATTGGCTTATCATATAGTAAATAATGACCTTTGTATTATTATTTCTAATCTCTTCCTTTCGTCTAGAACTGATCATTTGAGAGGACATTCGAAGAAAGTTTAAAAACATAGACCGAATCGTCTATGTCTGGAGTTTCATTTTTCGCACCGAGTAGTGAACTACTGGGATTATCTACTCAAACATGTAATATCAGCACTTTCTGTTGATATATTCAAAACGAGATTGAACCTTCACAGTGTTACGAATTGTAAGGGTAAATATAAATCGGTTGATCTCTATCCTTACTACTGAAGACTGATGTGTTGGGTTTCGAAGAAGGGGTTGGTTAATTTAAATACTCGGTGTTCGGCCGTTTCGCTTATTGAAACTTAGCGAACCAGGTAGCATAACTAACGCTCCATAAAACGTGCTGATGATAATTCAGAAAAATGATTGGTGAATTAATATTTAGTGTTGGTAAGGAAGAACAAAAATACAGCAATTAACAACAGCCAAACAAGAAGAAAGTAAAGGCAGAAGCTGAATACACTGAAGCAATCGATCAAGTGAAGGGGAGTATTGGAGCCGACATGCAGAAATATGTGGGCGAACAAGCAAGGACGGCGAAAAAAGCTGCAAGAGAAGGGAATATGAAACAACTATATGATACAACGAAGAAACTGGCAGGGAGATATAGTAAACTGAAGAGACCAGTCAAGGACAAAGAGGGAAAGACAATCACAGAGATTCAAGAGCCGTGGAAAAGATGAGTAGAATACTTCGAGAAACTGCTGAGCAGATCAGCCCCATTGAATCCACGGGACATCGAAGCAGCGCACACAGACCTACCTATAGATGTCACTCCACAAACGATCGAAGAAATCAGGATGACGATCAGACAAATCAATAATGGGAAAGTAGCAGGATCTGACAGTATACTAGCCGAAACACTGAAGTCAGACATAAAGGTAATTGAAAACATGCTCCACGTCCTATTCAAGATGATTTGGGATGGAGAACAAGTGCCAATGAACTGAATAGAAGGGTGCCTCACCGAGATACCAAAGAAAGGAAATCTGAGCAAATATTGAGAACTAAATTGGAGTTACACTCCTGTCAGTATCAGGAAAAGTTTTCAACGGTGCTGCCCAACTTTGAGGTCTACAGGTCGGATTCTATATTGGTCGGTCGTGTACAGACCAAATTGCGAAACTACGGATCATCGTTGAACAATCATTTGAATGGAACTCGTCACTTTACATCAACTTCCTTGATTAAGAGAAAGCGTTCGACAGTGTGAACAGAACATTATAAACAGTTGTATATGCAAGATACTGAATGTTCATTAGCCAGATATCATCAGCAACAACCAGGTTCCATCTCAAGAGGAAATCAGGAAAAGGTGTTGAAGGTGGATAGGACATGCACTACGAAAACCACCAAACTACATCACGAGGCGAGCCCTAACTTGGAATCCTGAAGGACGACGTAAAAAAGGAAGGTCGAAAAACTCGCTGCGTCGAGAATTGGAAGCATACGTGAAAAGGATGAATAGCAAGTGGAAGGGACTGAACAAAATTGCCCAGGACAGAGTTGGATAGAGATAGCTCGTGGGTAGCCTTTGTTCCTCTACGAGGAGTAACAGGTGTAAGTAAATAAGTGAATAAGTATTGTTGTATATTCTCATTATATTAGCATACATACCACTAAAATTGCGGCGAGATTATAATCATAATTATAATTATAGTCTCACCAAAATTGCTTAGCAGTGTAAACCATGGAAGGATAAAAAAAACCATGGAATTTTGTCTGATAAAAACAGTGAATGTAAATTTAATAACAAAAAAGAGTTTAACCTAAGTCTGTCCGAAAGTTTTATGATACCTTACCGGTGCTGGCAAAAGCATTCACTTTGTGGGCCAGCAAGTATGCAATCTACTCCATTTGGATTCATCCACGACACAAAAATTCTATTTTGCCGTCTCTTAACTCAATACAATTAATCAGTTTTGTTTACCATTGGTAAGTATTTTTTCTTGTAAGCTTCATATTGCTTGGGTGTGAAAAGTTTTCCACCATCATCTTCGCCCACAATTCTGCTCTAGATTATAAATGACATCGTATAAAAAGCTACCGTCTGTACTCTTCATACGCATCGATGGATTTAAGATCTTCGCTATCAACTTTAATGGGACTTCCTCCAGAATTCATGTTTGTTCCATACTATCATCATAACAACTAAAGTCGATTGACTGATAGAAACAAATCTGTGAAACCATGGATACATTGTGCATTAGTATAGTTGTTTGATTCATTGACTCCAAAACGTTGGTATTAAAGAACTCAAACTGATCTCTGGAAGCGTTTGAAGTAAGTAAAGTGATTGCAGATGACTTCAGATTCGGATTTGTGTAGTAAGGACATGAAGTCCACTACCAAGTTATTCCTCTTCTAGTTTGCTTCTGTGAGTGTCTAGTCTTCTCTTTGACGAGTCAGTTACAGGTAAGGACATAACTATTTCGAGTAACAGGTTCCAGGGATTGATGACTCAATGTGAAAAGCTATATGCCATGAGTATTTCGATCGTTCTTGGTTTTCATTCTGAGACATCCCGATCTAGTTGTAGAAAAAGAGCGGATTCATTAGATCCGAGATCGTTTCTTAGTTTTCTATAGGTCAAAATCAGACTAACTATTTATCTGCGATAGCTTAGAGTAAATAAGGTTTAGCCTTTTAAGCCTCCCTTTGTATGGTAAACCTCGAAGTTCTGGAATTTGACGAGTTGCAGTCCTCTGTACTTTTTCAGGATATCGGAGTCACCTTTTAAACAGGGTTTTGTGATCTGAACTCAGTTTTCGAGCTTAATTCTTGCTAAGGTTGTGTATATAGTAGTGAAATAGGTAGTATCTAACTTGGTGAATGTCCATCTTAAAACCTAGAGGGTTCTAAACTTCTTATCTGCAACCTCCTTACAGTGGGTTGTAGTCTTAAAATCATGACTCACTGTCACCTTAAGATCCTTGTGAGACCGGACCACGGGTATAAGCACTTCCCCTATGTTGTTCCTATCTGCGTTTGTATCCCCGAAGTGTATGTAGAGACACTTCTTCTAGTTGATAAGCATCAGTAACTCTTTAGACCAGCTAATCGAAATATTTGAGTCTGTCAGGAGTGCTCGTGCATCTGCGTCTCCTGATATTTATCCTCAGGCTCATACATTATCAACTTGTAGTAACATTGGGGACTCAACTATACTTGAGAGTTCATTTACATACAGTAGAAAAAGTAAAGGACCTAGGACAGAACTTTGTGGTTCTCCCCTACGTACTTGTTTCCAGATGGAACACTTGGAATTTACTCTCACTTTCTGTCTATGACCTACTAGGAAGTCTTGAAGTCATTTTAGGAGAAATCCGGCAATCTTAAGATTTCTCAGCTATAAGAGCAATCTATTTGTTTCCATCTTATCAAATGCCTTGCTGAAGTCTATGTATACAGCATCCACTGATTTTCCATTATCTAAAGCCTTTGTCCATTGCTCCCTTGCTATAAGGAGGTTTGTTTTGCAAGATAAACATTTTCTGAAGCCACGCTGTTCAGTATTTAACGAGTTGTTGGTTTTCACAAATGTCATTACGTTCTTTTTGACTATTCATCACAGTATTTTAACTACGATACTGGTGAGGTTGACAAATCTGTAATAATAATAATAATAATAATAATATTTCTGCAAGGGCAGGTACACGCCATTTTTACAGGCATGATCTACAAGTTACAACATATACTGGTCAACAGTATGCTTCCCAAGCATGGTTGTTTAGTAAACATAATCTATAAAAGTTGATAGCAGTTCATTCGTTCAGATACAATGTGTTTTCATCAACATATTTTCCGAAGGGGCATGTCGTCCACGTTACACACCAGATCAAATCTCGGCAAAGTTGTGTTAGGATTTTGGTAGAGTTGTACAGCGCCTGGTGCGAATTATGACCTTGGGGAAGCGCGTTCGTCGAGCTTGTTCCAGATGTCAGAAGTTACATAGCTTCACCCTCAGAGTAAGATTCTGAAGAGAGAAAAGAAAAGAAGAAAGTAACCGGGAAGCATCGAGGCATTTGGATATGAACGATAAGCAATGCTTAACATTTAGAAGTGGAACAGACGGAAGTATGATAAATTATAAGATCAAATTGATGCTAGCTCATGTTGTTACAGTGAAATGTGATCAGGGGCTTCAAATGAAGGAATGCGGTAATAAAGAGCAATGAGATTTGATATTTATAATGGTGGAGTAAGTCCTAATGAAGGAAGTGAAGTCAATATTGGAATGAGAAAGACTGTTTATTAGAATGGAGAGTGCATGTAGAGAGTATAGTGTTGAGTAAAATAGCAACCATATCCTTTACAGTCTGTTTTTTCATCATCCAATGCCTGTCACACAGTTTTCATGTAAAAATCCGAGTTATCATGTTATAGGTTGTCTTAGTAGAGTAGTTAATTCAGCATAGAAGTTAGAAACAAGATTCTGAATGGTGAGTGTAGGAGAACAACCTCAATATCACAGATTGATTGACTTGTTCTCATCCATAGAGAGCCTGATACAGACAAAATGTTCTGCCCCACAAACACGGGTGGATTGAAGTCATCACCCTCACCACCAATGCTTGCTGGCCAGTAACTCCACCCTCCCTTCTTTTGTAGTGTAGATTCATATTATTTACAGATAAGGTAAGATAACGAGTGGTGAAATAATAATAATGGCAAGGCAATATAGTATACAGAAAGGTAAAAATCTGACAAAGAAAGAACTCACATTAAATTCGCACTGATGTTCTTTTGTCCCATCCTAACCTGTTGATGGGCAGCAGGTTCAATAGATGTACGACCACTAGTAGAATGTAGTCAATTGTGTGTTTCTTTGGACGTTTTAGGGTATTTATAATCGTCGTTTAGCGACCGAGTATTGATAGCTCCGGTGAGTTGCCTGTCTACTTCAATTTAAAAAAGTAAGGGAGTGGAAAGTATCTAATTTAACTACAAAGTAGGGAAATAAGGCAATTTAGTCTATATATGTGGAGAGTCTATGATGTCTGTGTGGGACGCGGATGTGTTCGTTTGCGCGAGGTTTGTGCAGGTGAGGGCTTGATCGATAAGTCTTACAAACGTATTTGATTTATCTGCCATGCGTATTTCAGAAGGAAGACTGTTCCATATTAATGAGTACTTGATAAGAAAGAATTTTCCCCGAGATTTGACTTATATTTTTCTATTTTGACTGTGTATATTTTGTCTCGAAGGTTGTATCGATGTGAGTCTTGGTAGAGTGCTAAATTACATATGGAATAAGTAAGGTTTTTAAGAAGTTTGAAATAAAGAATCAAGTTAGACCTAGGCCTTCTTTTCCAAAGAGGTTCCAGTCCTAAGATATGGCATCTGGATCTGTAGTCAATGGGTTGGTCGTTCTTAAGTATTTTGCGAGTGAAGTCTCGCTGTATTCCTTCCACCTTAATTATATCGGATAGGCGTAGGTTGGAAAATAAGAACGAGCAGTATTCTGTAGTTTGATGGAAGTTGTCTTCATCCTGTTTTGTGTATTGCAGTGACGTTTGAATCCTTCCAGTACGTAAGTAACACACTCTGACCAATTGACATATTAAATATTACTGTTATTGGGGCTGCAATATATTGCCCAATTTGTCTCGGGATTTTGCACTTTAGTTAAACCAGGTCTTGTCGAACTTTCACAGTCTGAGGTGCTATAATGCCTTAAGTACTTTGACTTGATCAAAGTCTATGGAGAGCGGACAGTTTGTTGACTTTCAATTTCGGTCTAGTTCTTAGTCTAGAAGGGGATTTTGAGTGAAAACTGCCCCGAATTAATTTGCCGTGGCCCATGCTTTGTCCAAGCTGAAGAGGCCACACGTATTTGGAGTTTGACAACATCTTAACCAGTAACACTTGTAATCAAAACGTACCTACCCAGTGAAATCGGAAATCAGAAGCGATGACGTTCGAAGATATATTTGATAGGTCATCGATATATCGAGAAGTGACTGAACTAACCTGACTAGTGGTCACAGGAGAAGTTGAGAACAGAGCTCTCACTCGTGATCTGGTGGGGATGCGTGCTCGAGCAGCTTCATCTAGGTGAATCTGTTAAAACTAATGTGGTCAGTATCAAATGTCGAAGAATTATGGAGCTATTGGTTTTGGGGCTTTAATTACTGCTACACAATCTTCTTCAATGATTTGATATTCATTCCCCTCCATAATTAGTTTGAAATCTAATGCCGTGTCCTTGTTCTGTAATTTATGTATGAGAACAAGCTCTTAGGCTGCTTGATTACATATTGTGCCAACTGCATTCCATATTTTCACTGAGCTGCCCAAGTTGTAATTACACACATTTTTTTCTGCCGATCTGTATCTTTTTAGTTTCAGTTTCGAACAGATAGGAGGCTTGATGGCCTGTGTTAGTTCTAGGCAATGATGGTCTCTCAGTTGATCCAACTTTCTTTTGAAAAGGTAGATGGATGGAACTTCAATCACGTGTCAAGGTAATGGATTTCACTAGTTGATAATTCAATGAGAAAGTCAACATTTCCTTAACAAGTAATTTGTTCTAGGCCTGTAAACATTTTCAGATTGTCCTAGTAAATTCTTTGTTTTGAAAGACAAGAAAAATGAGAACACATCAGGTGCACGTACATCACTAAGTGATTTGAAAACTGTAGCCAATTCACTTCTAGCCTCTCGATATGATAATGGGAATAGGCTTGGCTTAGAAAGTCGAATTTCGTGCGTGAGCCTTGCTATTCCGGAAAACAGCTTGGTTGCTGTTCTCTGAACCCTTATCAATAGCTTGTTGTCTTTTTTAAACAGTTTCTAGCCGCTTGTATACAGTACTCAGGTTCAGGATGCACGAACACTGTATAGAAATTCAAAAACATTCTAGCGTCGAAATGGCATGGCGACCTGCTTGGACATCTGGGTTACCTGTTCCAGTCATCTCGATATTTCAACGACTTATCTAACTTTGTTTGTTTTAATACATCATTATGGCTATTACTAACACAACCTATTCAGGTTTGTAGTGACCTACTTTTATGGCGAAAACGCGATTAGTATGATGGAAACAATTATTATTATGACTGATTGTATCAGTGATTGTCTTACCGTACTTGTTTGTTTAACTGCACCAAAAGCACTTTTCCTTCCGCTGTCTATTTTGCTTGTACGAACGCGCTTACGCTTTGCCTGTAATCTTTTGCACGTCTCAGTATTCTTTCGATACAACGAAATCGCCAACAAATCTGCACCATTAACAGCTTTCTGGTTTCGGCATACCGAGAGATCCAAGTCGATATCTGGCACGCAATCTTATTGTAGTGGTGACTGTAGTCAATCGCGACTGGACCCCATTTATAAGTGTGGCAAGTCCTTACGGACGTTCTGTCCGTCCATTCTGTAAAATTAAGTCCTGTTCATTAGGAGATTTAAATAATACTTTAAGAAGCCTGGTTTGATTTTGTTTTAAGTTTGCTTGGCAACCTAGTTTATAAACTTTTAGCAAGGTGACCCTGACGATATCCTGAAGCACAAGCTGATTTAGTAGCTGTATTATTAACTTAATGCCATGTTCAAAACGAGTTTTAGGTTCTGAGCTCCCATTTTCTCTGATTCCATGAAACATTACTGACTTGTCACTGTGATCAGTCTTCAATTTCTCGACTATAATTTGAGGGTCGGATTTTTGTTATATCGTCATGCCGTTTCATGATCATGACCTGTACCCATTGCATTTGCCATGCCGAGGCTAGTGGCGATGTTCCAACATTTCTTTTCTTGTCTTAGTGAACGTTGAATATCCCCGTTTACCAAAGGATGGAAACACTTTTTCTTCTTTCTGACTGTTCAGGGTATATATGGTTGAGTTACATAATTACACGATCACTTCTTCCTACAGGTGGAGGTTATTTAGCTGTTATCATTATCGTGTGTGGAGATTATGTCCAAGAGAGGATTTTTGTGAGTCATATCTGGCGGTATCTCTAATGTGCTGGAAATAAGCTAGGGCCATTATGGTCTCTGAAAATTTGCAACCAAATAATGTTGCTAATGACATCTCACGCGCGCTATTTAAAAAGGGCAGTGGTAAATGACCTCCCTCGTCTACTATCGTCATCGGTCTTGTTCTATGCTGACGATGTCAAAATATGGAGAGCGATGCAAAGTAAGGGTGATAGCTTTGAACTCCAAAATGACCTGGAGAAATTATCTGAATGTTCCCAAACCTGGCAATTGCTGATAAATACTTCCAAGTGTATTATGATGCATATTGCCACCAGGTTACAGATACATACATGATGAATAACACTGAGTTACCTATTGTTCAGGCACACAATGACTTAGGAGTCATTGTTAGTCAAGACTTAAAGACTACTGCACACTGCCGTGCAATAACCAAAGGTTTTAGGACTTTATGGTCAATATGCAGAACTTTTAGTTATCACGATGCTAATACGTTTTAGACTTTGTATATAGTGTTCGTGTGTCCTAAACCTGAGTACTGCATGCAAGCCCCTGCTTAAAAAAGACAGTGAACTATTGGTATGGATTCAGAGAACAGTAAATAAGCTGATTCCCGGAATAGCAAAGCTCCCGTACAATACTACACTGACCAAGCTAAACCTATTCCCGCTGTCATATCGAAGAATCAGAGGCGACTTGATTACTGTTTTCAAATCGCTTAGTGATAAATTTGCACCTGATCCGCCCTCATTTTTCTTGTCTCCCAAAACAGAAGGTTTATGAGGACACTCCAAAACAGTTCACAAGCCCAGAACGAATTACTTGTCGGCTGACTACCGACTTTCCCATCGAATAATCAACGAGTGGAATTCATTACCTCAGCACGTGGTTAAGGCTCCATCCGTTGACTCTTTTAAAAGAAAGCTGGATCAACTGAGAGACCATCATTGCCAGAACTAACACAGGTCATCAAGCCTCCCGTCCTTTCGAAACTGAAACTGAAGCTCGTGGGCCTCTCCAGTTAATATACGTCATATCAGCATCTTGTCCTGAAACACCCAAAATGAAATCGCGTTACCATTGTGTTACAAATTGCAAAGATTAATATTAGTTGATTGACCTCGATCCTTACTTCTGAAGATTGATCGAGAATCCCGGCAAGTACAACCTTTGCGGTACGGGACTTGCACGTTGCGATGTTGTCATCAACAAACGGAGATGAGTATGATTTCGACTCTTCAGATGAAGAAGTAAGGTTGGAAGTGTCCATTAATATAAATTAGGACGTGAGAAATACCGTTGGAAACATACCATTACAATGGTATGATTCCCTAGCGCACATTGGTTATGATACCTCTGGAAGACCTATAATGAAACCAGATATTTGTAATGGAAAACCTGATGCTATTGACGAATTTTTACGTAACACAAATATCGAAGATGGGGGATCAAGTATAGAGTGGCGTTGTATACGTGACCCACAGACTGGCCAGCTAGTGTTGTTAAGTGATGGTGATTTGGAGATTGTCAACAAGGCTATGAAGGGTGAGGGTATTACTGCTGATTCGAAAGAAGGATCTTTTGAGGTAAACCTTATTGCAAATCCATTACTTTCAGACGTGGGAAGAGTGGTTCACCAAGGATGTTATGCAAATGCCACTTACTGCCCATCCCCCTCAGAAAAGAAGTTTCATCCCATCCCTGCTAGATAAAAGACGAGTAAGTAGTCGTTTATTCAGATTGGACTTCTTATTAGGTGTTGTACGTATAAATGTGTCTTTTAAATAGTTTTCTACAATCTACTTTTAAGCTAATTCTGAAAAAGCATGTCATTATTTTTACGAATTGGTTGTATCTTTACTTGTGTAGATCACTTGATAGTTTACTTATTTTCAATGTTGCGTTTCATTTAAGGCCACTGTTTCAACATGAACAACCTAGATTGGTGTACAAAGTAATGGCACCATTGAAATAATAGCACATAAACTCAATATATGTAGTCTATTACATGGTACTGCTTCCCACCTATCGTCAACTTCATATTACTAATTTTCTTACTACTTTATCGGTAAAAGATAAACACTTTACGACAACGTTAAGTCTGAGTATTAGGCGCATTTGCTGTAAAGGGAAGTGATCCTATAAATCATCGATACATGAGAAAAAAGTTCAAGGTAGGCTCAGTAAATGAAGGATGAAGATTTAAAAATTGTCAAACAACTTCGCCTGCATGGTATATTTCAACAGTTACGTACATATACTAATAATTGTAGGCAGTATACTAATAGATCATACGTAGCTCACCACTTAGCACTTTAACTGGCTACTGTTTGGCGTTTAAGCGATAAACCTCAGGAGTAACAGTAAAAGAAAACAGTCAGTTAGCTACAACGTAGTACCAGGCACATATATGCATCGGTCCAAGTTGCCATACCTCGTTAGCACAACAAGATGAACACTTGATTCATAGAAGTAAAAGAAAATAGTGGAAATAGTATCTCTACCGCATAAAGATTTTGTTAATAGTATGATCATCTGTCCCATAAACTCAAGGTCTTTGACTGTTGAGAAGAAATTCGCTTGTTAGGAATGTTTGGATCTTCTCATTATCGATATTAAGGACTGTAATTGACCAGTCTCTTTTGGCATACGTTCATTCTCTGTGGATTGCCTTGATATTGTCATTAAATCAGAAGTATTTTAACCAAAGTTGGTGGAGGTCATGCTTCAGTCTCACTAGAAATCATAATTCAGAAATTAACCGCTAACTGGCCATTTAACAATCTACTGGTATTTATAGGTAGTTTTCTAAGGCAATACCATTCGAACACCGACATTATAAAAAATGTTTACTAGCCTTATTCCGTTGCTTCCATAATCGTAACAACCAGAATATCATGTAGTAAACTCATTCGTCCCAAAGTTGTCCAGTGTTTTATACTATCTGTTCATAAATATTGATCATAATCCTTTACTTGCCTAATATATTTCTGTCCTACTGCATGTGGTTAAAGATCTGTTTAACAAATATCACCAACGTTTGCTAGTGTATCTGCAAGAAACAATGAAAAGAAATTCATTTCGTAAAAATTCTCATCTGTATATCCTATATCTAATGGGATAGTTACTAGTGTTCTAGAGAAAAAGGCAATAAAAATAGTGATTGTCAAATTCCACTCCATAATGAGTTACGTGGAGACTTTGGGGATATGCTTATAACTGGTAAATAAGTTGTCATTCTAAGTGTTTTTATCTGATGAGGTTGTGTACAAATTTTAGAACTTATTGTATTAAGCTTGCATCTCGATCAGACACTAGTTCATTCTCCTTATACAATAAGAAAATGACGTTGTGTCCTTTTTTCGTAATCGATGACTGAGGAGAAATAAGTTGAGTAAAAACTAGAATAAGAATGTCCCTGAATATATATTTCAGTAATTAAACTCACTAGCATATGCAATAGTAATACTCAGTCGAATAGTTGGATTAAATGGATACAACTAGACTGGAATCATAGTAGTATTGAATTTAGAACAAAATTAGACTTCTTTGTAATTCAATTGGATTTGTATTGACGGTGGCACCTAGAATCACCAGCAGTTGTATTAGAATAGAAGTAACACTGGTAATGGTATCGTGATGAAATAAATCCAGGACTGATTAAGACTGACCTAGTTTGCATTGTACCAAAATAAATATAAACTTTCCTCTGTTAATTAGTCAATATGTCTCAAGTATCTGTACATCACTATAACAATAGAATACGATCAACAGGCAGATAGATAGGCAGACAACCGAATGAAGGATTATCAGGTTTCATGCATAAGGCTTTCAAATTAATCACACGAGTGAGCACAAGTTAACCAATAAAATTGAACTGATGCATCTGACAGTCACAAGCCCAGTTAGATATCGTATTCCAAAAGGAATATACGATAATGTTATTTTAACATGTGTGTATTATGTCATACTGGATAAATAAAGAGACTTCTACCCGAAGTTTGTGCTGATGATGTCGTTCAGAAGGACGATGAAAGCTCCACGACCAAACTATCCAGCTCAGAGAACAAACCTACATCAAAATAAAGAGTTCTGTAAATCGTACTGTCTATGTAATTTTTGCAAAGCATCTCATCTATTCATGTATTTCAGGTTGGTAGAATGGTTCATGCTATTAAAAGTGGTTGGCTTGTTCCAAAGTTACCATCTTGGGCATTAAGCGACCGAGATAATCTAGATGAACTCCGGAGATACGGTGCATATATGGCTTCTGGAAATCCGGATGTTCTGGATGCAGATTACGATGAAGAACCGTTGAGTTTTAGTGCATTTGATGTATCGACATATGTATTTCCTGATGTCTGGAATAATCAAGATAATGAAAATGACCTTGTGAATAGTACGACATCTTCATGGCAGTCAAAATTGCCAATGCTTGCTTCTGATTACCGGCCACCACGTCCACGTCCTTACCAAAAAGCTCCTGAAGAGCCTTTACCTGGACATATAGCCTCCTATAACCCGCCTCCAGAATTTTTACTTTCTAAAGACGAAGTAAGTTTCGTATCCTTTGTTGTCGATAATATATTGATGTGGTAATTTCACCATTCATTATTTATTCTTAGACTGCATAATGTGGTATGGATTAAGTGTTATAGTATAAAATGATAACTTTATAAAAGTCAAAGTGAACAACGAGATATCATCAAAACATAGTGAAAACAATACTTCATTTATTTTGTTGCTTGCTTTTCTCTGTGGCATGATAATCAATGATTTCTGTTCCAAGCATTATCTAGTAGCATTTCCAACCAGCAAATCTTATGATTAGTGGTGTATTTTCTAATGAGTTGAAATGAATTTAGAATACTATCATGTTCATATGGATAAGCGGTATTGTATTAACCGAATTACTATGCAATCTAGTTTTTACCTCCACAAAACAGTGGTAACGGCATCAAAGTTTACGTGTTCCAATATCTGTCACACAACTAACCAGATAGTGGAACCTGATCATTTTGGACGACTGACCATCAAGGGTGTGAAATCAGGTTCTTAATCCTGAAGGGTATTATTTGCCTGGCATGCTCGATGCTACTAATAACCTCTGAATTGTTAAAGGTTAGAGTAACCTGAACAATAATCCTAGCAAAATAGTATAAATTTACTTGTTTCATGGATTCTCTTTAGTTGCTTAAGCTTAGAAAAAATAGTAACGGTTGTTTTAAGATACTATCATCTATAGTATTCACATTTTTTTAGAATAATCGACTATATGTAAATGACTTATAGCCTTTCTACGTTTTTTCCCCGCGTTATATTACTTTTCATTAAAGAACATTCGTCTTTTAACTAGTTGGTACCAATACTTTTTATTTTGCAAACAGCTGAAGAAAATCTACAAGATAGGTAAATTCACATTATCTTGTTACAGCTGCTGTTCTTACTCGATTCAAATTTGTAGAGATGGAAAATTATATGAAATTTTCTCACTTCACTAGACGTTTAGGATAGATTTCCGTATTCACCATCAGAAAGTCATTTGTGTACATGGCTTTCGGAGTGTTGAAAAGTCCCAAGCATTCGCTTATTTTTAGTAGTTTAATTTGTAGTGCCATCTTTTTTGGCAAATCTATTCCACCTACGTGTAGCCAATAAAAGAATATTAGTGTAGTGAAAGTATAACACTAACTTGCTGAACTTTAACTAGATATCACAGTGGATAATGGTTGTCGTAGGTTTAAACAATAAAGTAGCAGCATCAACGCTCATATTCAAAGTTTACATTGAAGCTATGTATAAAAACCAAAAGCCATATATGTGCTATCCTACCTTTTAGGCTGCTTTGAGACAATGGCTCAGTGGTTAAAGACTTTTGACTGTCAATCACTTAGTTACTGGTTTGAATCCCTACTTTACGTACATCGGTTCTGGGAAACAGGTTGTTAGTGTTATTTGCCCTCATACTCAAAATATGTCTTGAAGTCAAATATCTGGTAGGTGAATTGTTAACTGGAACTACTAATAGCAAGTAGTTGTCAAATTGCATGTATACCAATCTTAATTTTCAATTGCGCTGTTTTCATACTTGCCTGGAATGATAGGTCTCCAATTATTATTGTCCCAAATTAGTGTAAGTTTGGCTAGTTATCTTAATACAGTAACACTGATTCTGTTTATCAGTTTCCTTTTTCTCGTCAAAATATAGGAAAAGAAAGTTATGAAGGCTTGGCGGGAACGTGTACGTGATGGGCACGTTTCACGTGTTCCACCACAAATGCCTCGAAAATTTTCATGTTTAAGGCATGTCCCATTTTCCGAACGTTATTTGCATGAACGTGAAGAGCGTGTTAAAGATTTGATCATGGCTACGCGTTTTGAAAAACAGCGTGTTGCAACTACTCCAGAAGCTATGTTGCCACCCATTCCAAGTCTTTCACAATTGAGACCTTATCCGAGTCATATGGGATTACAATACAAGTGAGTTCTCAAAAGTTTAAATGTTACTACTCTCACAAACGTAATCAACCATATGTTCATGAAATAATTCATTTTATCGCTGATATTAGCGTTATTCCCATAACAACCAAGTGGATACCTGAGTCACATCTATACTACGAGGGGTGGTGATAGCAACAGGTTAACTAAATTTTAGTCAAGATAGCGGAATGTGTTCTCACACTCCAATGCTCAAAGTTTCAGGGTTTAAACCAGTGGAAATGTGATAATGTTTCCGTTTTATATAGTTAAAATGGAATCTTCGTATTTCAGGTGTATGTATGGCTTGTCATTGTTCTTAAATAATCATATTTTTAAATGGATCGGATTTATAATTCCTCTTTTCCAGTTGTAGTCTGATGAGTTACTGGATGTCATATTTATTATTATCACTTGTCGAAACTTTGGGATCAAATTGTGATCCAAATGCATTCACCCTTTATCTTTCCTTAAATATTGAATTTCAATATTACCTGGTATTTTTATTGAGCGGATTTATTCGTTCTTTTCGTGCCATATTTTTTGCGTTTAGTATATTTAATATAGTAGATGCTACTTTTATTCGAAGTCATTTGTCACTTAATGTGCATCAATTCAATTTGCCACAACACAGCTAGATAAACTTATCAAGACAAATTTCAGAGTGGAGGTAGTAACAGCATCAGTTTTTATTTTTTTATTTAAACACATAAATGTTGGTATAAGGAAGCACCAGACAAATATGCGCCTCACAAATCTCATTCGATTTGTGTGAGGGCTGTGATACTGCCCAGATGCCCAAACTGAAGCAGGTGGTTTTCTTAGAGGGCCACACCCGGAGCCTTCGACCTAAAGGTCTAGTCCACAAGGCAGTGGAGCATCGTGAGGAGATGCAGTCCCATGGTAGCGGGTGACCAACAGTTGGTTCATACGCCATTTATTCCTTCAGGATTCTGGAGCCCATGTGCACCACTGGTTTGGTATCAGGGTTTTCCAACTCCCCTAGGTGGACTCGCCGTGTCCACCAACCCGGTTAAAGCGCCGGACATTCGCTTTTCGTCTTCTCAATTTCGTAAACAACAGTGGTGCCACGAGAAGGCAGTGAGTAGGACTTCCCTGTCAGAGACTATATACGCGTGGCCATGTGAGAGCATTTGGAGAGGGAGAGTGGACTCTCCCCACTCTCGGCCGTACCAGGGCATTTGGGGGCAACAGCATCAGTAGTGGTAGAAAGATTAAGTATAAGAAGAAGAAAGATTTTAAGACTTATGACCTAAGGAAATACAAAGAGTGAACGCTGTGCACCATTGTGAGTGATTTTAAGCCATGTCATCCAACTTTCTCAACTACTGGCTACAACAATCGGACGGACTTGAACCAGACAGCCCCTAGTTTTCTTCCAACCTTTTACACCAGACAACATTACCTGCCAAGGTTGGCAATCGTTAGTCGTAACGGATGACTGATATTCGTAGTAACGAAAGACAGTACATGTACGTAATGAATGATCTTGCGAAATGCTCACGAATAAAATGCTAGTAATGAAAAGTCAATTTATGACTGAGATCTTGCCGTCATTAAAAAAGCATTACTATGTTTGAGGCAATTAGTCCTTTTGATAAATTTGGATGGTATAATAAGATTATCAGAACCGTGTTATATTAGCACAATACTTTTCAAACAATCTGACCACACATATACTTGTTGAGAAAACTTATATATAAAAATAAAAGGTTAACTAGGTAAGTGGAGGGTTGAAGCAAAGAAAGATAATGAAGAAAAACAATTTAAAACTTATCATTCTGGATAATAAACAAATATCACCAGGGTAGATTTAAGGTGAGAACAAACTGTTGCTGCCACCGAAACATAGTGGTCGGGCTTGTCTATCGTAATGAACCAATTGAGCTATACTGGCTGGAACAATCGTTCCTCAAGGTTCTACCATTCCAGAAAGGTTGGTTGTAGAGCGGTAAGACTAAAATCAGCGAAACTAAGGTCAGAGAGCGAGGTCGTACTGCTGACTGTACAGGGGTGTGACGGCAATAAGGTGTTTCCTTCAGACAACCAGCATAACAGTGATGTTGCCGTCCCACAATGAGGGGTGAGGTTAGGAAAGACCGACCTTAAAAATGCATACCTCGCCTTACCCCACGGATTTCCGTCTCCGGTGGTAAGGTCCCAACAAGTACAGAGCTGGCACGCGAATTACTCACAAAAAGGTCGTGTGCGACCAACCTCAAGCAGTTGTCCCTTGGGCACTGTGATCACGCTCTCAGATCACTAAGACCACCTCTAACCCAATATCCTTTTCACGTACCTCTAGAAGAGTTTTTGTATGATGTGGGCAATCGAGAAGTGTTAAGTGTCATCATACCTCTAACAACACTCGAGATCACTGTATTCATAATCAATCTCCTTCTTCAATTCCTATTATTCCTCCCACCGCAACTTTTAACTCTAAATTTCCTCCTTCGACTTCTTCCTCACGTGTCACTATGGCCAACGATTCTAGTGCTCGAAGCACTGTCCTAGGTCCACTAAAACCTCGCTCCAAACTACACATTGAAGCCTTCAACGTACGCACCCTATGTCAAATCGGCCAGCAGGCCTCCTTGACTAATACCCTAGAACTTCGTACCATTGATGTATGCAGTGTCTCCGAAACACACATACAGGTTTTTGGTGTGGTCATTCACTTAATCTCACGTCGTCAAAATGGAGAGCCGACGAGATACACCATCCGTGTATATGGCGACTCGATTACCAGTTCTCGTGTACTGGAGGGTGGCTCAGAATCGTTCACAATGGCGTAGGTGTATACACTTTGTCTTCCCTTAAACCTTGAGATTAAAATTGCTTTATATCTTTCTTTTTACGAACTAATTCTTTCTTCTTGTATTATATCCTTATATGCAATCTTTCTTTTGTACATTGCCACCATTGAAGTAACTACTTCTATGAATTTGGTGTCTATCTTGTGGTGTTAATGAGGTGTGGCAACTTGGACTGATGCAAATATGTGCCTGGTCCTACGTTGTAGTTGACTGACAGGATGTTGGTTTTAAATTTTCGTATGGCCAAGGCTTCAATAAACTTAAGTATACCCCCTTTATCACCTTTGTACATCAACACCAAAGCCGTGTTAAGATAAATATTATGACGTGTTTCAACTATGTTTGCGGTAGAGGCCGATAGTTGTGTATCATCTACTTTAATTGAGTCATTTGATTTTATTTGTTTTTGTAACTATTTAAGCAAATGTCTAGACACCCTAATTTGCAGTTCACGGTTATTCCTCCTTATGTGTATGTGGCCACACACAAATGCAAACTGGTAAACACAGTCGAATGTGACGCAATCATATATATGTCATTTAGGTTTTCACTAACGCACGGACCTTTGTTACATAGAACGTTTACTTACAACTGATTTGAGTCCTCGTTTCAGTACAAGGCCATTTGACTAACCTCTGAATGTTAGAGTTATGTAATAAGGGTTTTTTTGGTGCCAAAGTGTAGTAGGTCTCACTAGCGTTTTTTGACTGAACTGATATCAATTGATGACAAGAAGTGTCATAATTAGAAAGCATAAAGGAAAGTATCCATACAGAAACTGCTGAACAGATAACTACTTTAGCATGGTTTAATACTCCACAGTAATGAGCACACACCAACTTCGCTATAGATGGCCAGTTAATAGAGTTTAATAACTACAAACCACGTATTGCACCAATATAACATAGTTCTGATAATATTCGTCTTATTACATTATCCAGATTGCTATGTTGTTTTATTCACACTAATATCTAATTTATAGGTGATAACTAAGTAGTGAATTTTCGATTAGTGTGATGATATTTTGGTCTTGATAATTTAACGTGTCCTTTTCTTCGAAAAAGACGTTAATGATTTTACATTGATCCACGGAATTCACTTTTCTGTTTGCTTATCTGCTTTTTTACAACTAAGTGGTCATTCAGGCCGTGTAACCTCGTTATCAGTTTCTCCGTGTGGACAATGGCTTGCTAGTATTTCCCCATCTGATGGTTATTTACGCATATGGGAAACTTCTACAAACTATTGTTTCCGCGTATATCGTCTTTGTAATCCATGTGCAAAAGAAAAAGTTAAATTAAAACAATATAACAAAACAGGAGAGGTAAATCATGAAGATTTACAATTGAATAGTAATAATGATAATGATGAAGAGGAATTAAATCATCAGCCGAGTGACGATGAAGAAAACTGGTCTCCATCTTCTCCTTCCGCTAGTGTCTCATGGAATCCTAATCCGGAATTACATCTTTTAGCTGCAGCTATGTAAGTAGTGTTTATCATTATTAGTAAGAATTTGAAATAACTGGTTGTTGGTATTAAGAGCTGAATTTTCATGAATCTCTGTATATATGCATTCCTTATGTATTGTCTCGATTTAACCATTTTGTCACAACTTTTATTGAAAAGATGAATAGTGGCTAAAGGTGGAACCCAGGATGTGATTTTCATCCTACCAACAAGTCCTAAATAGAATAAAACTCGGCTACCCGAAGTTCATCTATTCTATCTACATTTGAATTATTATAATTTTCTTCTCTCGCTACTTTGGTACTTTAACTTTGTCTCTTATGTTTATTACTTTCAACTCGTTTCTAGAAATGAAGGTATTGAATCACTTTCATGATTATTCTCTGTCTAGGTTTTTATTAGTATAATAACTCGAACTAGAGACTTGAAAGCGGAATCAGATATAACAATAAATGAAAATTGTAATATGACAAGGACTAGAACTCTCTGTCAGAATTGTAATATAACTGTCATGGATCAATAAATACAAGATAGTGAACACTTTTGGAGTGGAATTCAGGACTTCCATTTTGTTCTATTTGTGACTCGTCAGTTGGACTTACCTACATCCCAGAGCTGATGTTCACTCCAGGACTTAAACCAAGCATTGTTCACTCCAAATACTATTGTGCTATCCACTTAGCTACCGAGTCCAGACAACCATCGACTCGTACGATAAGGTGAAGTCCCGGAATGAACATCGACTCTCAGACGCAGGTACATTCAGCTGATGGTTCACAAAACGAAACGGGCGTCTTGCACAACAATTCTAGCCACTGTATATTTCTACCTACAATGCTTATGACTTAACGGCGGTATCGGGGCAATCTGAAAAAATGCACATATACCAAAAAGAGACTAATCAATTGCAGTCCTAAGCATCGACCGTAAGATTCAAACAATCAATGTAAATTAATTAGAAATCTACTTTTTTCATCCAAAACTCAAAGGGTTTCTTGGACTATACACTTACATGCGTTAATTATTAGCAAGTTAAGTATGACACTGCACTGATATAAATTAATGTCACACAAAATTTGGTGATTATAAAAAAGGGTTATAATAAATTTAATAGAAGATTTGAATGTTGGGGATGCTAGTTCTCCATGAATCACTTGGTAAAGTTTTTATTGTTTTATAAGTTAATTGTGGGAATTTTGATTTCTCATCTTCATACGTAATGCGCCGATTATTACCATCCGTTTGTATTTTCCACCTGAAAGGACCTTAACGTCATTGGTACGTTTTTTTCTTAGTGCTCTATTTTGTAACGCTTTTCAGGGACATTTTTGTATTGTATATATCACTAATAAACTGAGTGCCGAGTATTCGTTCTTCCGGGCTGTTTGTGGAATTAGATATTCTCCCAGCTGAACCTAATCTTCCTCTGGTTAGCACGTCCTTGCTCTCATAGAATAACCTAACTTTATCCTATTATTGCATTTCCAGTTTTCTTTCCATTCTCCGGTCCAAGTTAATATCATAATATCGCGAACATAGCGACGAAACAGTAAATTAATGCACAATGAAATCCGATACAAAGTATGGAAAGGTGGTGCTATTCTGAACAAAAATGACTCGTTGAATTCCTAACAATTAGAATGTGTAAATTGAAGTCCTATTGATAGTTTCTGTCATCGTGGACACCGGCACTAACTGAAGAATTAGTGAAATATAGTTGAAAATGCACTGTGGGTTTGCTTTCGTTTTCTAGCCCACTAGTGACTCGCCTCGGAAGTTTTGGTGTTTGGTTGTGTTGGGGATGCCAAATCCCCAGAACTTACTTGATAAGTGGCTCAATTTTGTAATTTTATTTTGGAAATTTGAATTTAGCTGTTTTCACGCCAAACGTGCTCTTATTACCTGCACATCATATTTCCCACTTATAACTATCTTAAACGCTATTGGTCCATTGTTTCTTTGTGTGCTATTTGTTAACGATGCCCCAGGGAAATTTTGTTGCTGTATAAATGCGCTTGACTTTTCCCCTTATTCGATTGCTTGTACTCGGCTGCTTACGGAATATATATATTCCCCTACTTGCATTGGACTTCTTCATCTAGTTAGCTGGGTCTGGGTCGCGTCAGTATAGCTAGTTACCGGTCTCTGGTCACCTGTCTTTGTTCCGTTCGCTACTAATGAATTCGTAACGCTTTTAGATATATCAGGTTGTAAGTGGTAAATTATATCTATGTTAGAAGAGAAACACTTGTCAGCAATTGCCTTAGATGGCTCGTATACATCATTGGACACCGACCCAGTAATTATAATAGCCGCTTGTTAGTAAATGCAAATTCTTTAGTTGGTATTAGTGCGATGACTGAAACCAAAGGTTGGAGACTATGGATGACATGGTCCGAATCCATTCACTTTGTCATCCTTTAGAATTTAAGTTTAGAAATTATCTTATACTGTTTATTCTGTGGATTTATTGTTTCTTGTCGAATATTATTGTCTAGTTTTAATATTTCCTACTATTATTACTTCTGTTACCTTGATATCTATCCTGATAATTTTACCTAGTTGTGATGATGTGCCGAGTTGATGATAAACATTTCACAACCACCGACTGCCCTGACGAGCGGTGTTTTATGGTGTAGGAGTATGTTGGAAGAAAGCTAGAGGCGGCCAGACCAAAACATGGCACAAATCCATGAAGTCACTGACTAGTGAACTAAGTCATGTTGGTAGGTGTAGACTACCTGGTTGGGATCCGCGAGATGATAGCAATCGATGGTTAGAGACCTTGAATGATATGGCTCAGAATCGTTTGCAGTGACGAAGGTGCATCCACTCTTTGTGTTCTACCAAATTTTAATCTTCCTAATTCTTCATGTCCCTATCCTTTTTCTCTTTCCAAATTTATTTCACTGTACTATACTCCTTCAATAACATCTTCAAACCCTAATCTTTCCGACTACTGCTTATACTCTTACTACTTCTACCACTATGGGATTTGAATGGACAACTGCATCTCTGTGCTAATTTGGTATGGAAGTCTAACTGATGTACGTACGTACGAAGTTCTACGTTGTGACTGACTGATTTCCTAGGTTCTACATTGCTTTCGATTGATTGGGTTCGGGATATCTTGGCTTCGCACAAAACCCAACTAAAATTGGAAATATAGTAACACTCTCGTACTCTTTGGTTCTACAACTCATGTTAATCCCTTGAGTAATAACATATTTATGAAAATCTCGTTAAAGAAATTTGTTAATCCTAAGTTCTCAATAATCTTATGTCGTTATTGCGTGAATTGAAAATCTCGTTTTTTTTGACAATACTACTTTTGTGTAACAATTATATTGACTTATTTTTTCTTAGTTGAAATCATTAGTCAATTAAAGCTAGACCGCCATGGAAAACCTGGAAGCACTGGACGGCCGTTTCGTCCTATTATGAAACTCCTCAGCAGTACGCATCAATTTATGCAATATTTACTATTTCATTCAGTTGTTGTTCACCATCAAAAATTCTCATTGAATCTAATGTAACTTAAAGTGTTATATGTGTTCTACAACTTAATTGTTATGTGAAAATGATTCAGTGGATCCATCAAACATTGAACAGATAATAAGTACACTCGATTGGCGAAAACTTGACTACCTTTTCTAAGGAATGAAATAATCAATTGATGAAAAATGTGGCCTAACTTTCTAAGGGACGAACACAAATATACACATAAAGAGCATGTGTACAGTAGTACTTCGATTTCGTTGGTCAGTAAAATGCTTCCTTATTCGGTAGCTGGTTGAGGACACATGTAGGAGGCTTGTTTAACAGTATCAAAATTGGGCACCACACGTCAAAACAATAAGTTATTATTTACTATTACTATTCTTATCATTCTTGAAAATAATTGCTGACTTTTTTGTTACTCTTTCCACAGTGGCACTCAACTATTCATCATTAATCCAGCTTTAGGAGATCGTGTTCGTGTGTCACACACTGAAACAAGTCTTTTAAAGTGGTGGTCAGATATGAATGACAATGTAGCCAATATATCTGTCCAGATACCAGATGACAAGTCTGAAGTAAGTGTCATTTTCTTCCTGTTAACTTATCCATGAATAATGCATCATCGTATAAATAATTAATTCATTTGTACTATTCCACTTAGGTGTCTGACAATAGCTAATATAAATAGTTAGTGATCTTGTGGACTAGTGCAATTATTTTCGTCTGATGACTACGCTTGCTTCTGCCACACAACTTACTCTTAACCTAGTAGTCAGTGGTTTAGACTGTATGTTACATACATTAGTCGTTGATTTACGAAAATATCCATTGATTTTATCCAAAATTTTCTCCTAAAGTTATTCTATCGTTAATAACTGGAAATATAGTTGGATGCCTGTACTAACTTTGTTAATACAGCTTGATTATTTCATTTTAAATATTATAAGATTCAGATCAGTAATGTGTTGGACTTTGTAAACGACTTCATGGAAAGATGATTACAACTTCTCATTACATCGTGCACAATAGTCATATGGATTTCTATCTTATAACCTGACGGGAAGAATAATGTGGACAAGACAGTTACATTCGGAAAAGGCATTATTAGCGTTTACATAGCAAATCAATAGATATACAGATTCTTTTTCAAAAGTAGCTTATAATTCAGTTCCTAAAGCGATACTAACGCAACTAACAAAGTCCCGGTTCATATATCCGATCTTGAGCAATTTGTCTATCTGGAAAACTGCAATAGATGGGGCCGGGTTCATATTCGCAACCTTATGGTTGAAAGACAAATACTGAAATCATCAAGTCATCCATTTAGTTGGTATGACCACTTTCTGTAGTGATTGTTAAGTCAGTGAAATCCCAATTATCGGTTTACAAGATTCACCATCACCTTACTTAATTCAATTTGATCAGTTTAGTAGTATAATTGAATGACTTTAAGTGACATATACATTTTCTTTGTAGGATATTGATGATACCGCTGAAACTATTCCAAGCAAACAGCTACGATTGGATAATCAAATGACTATCGATGATGAACAATCAGAAATTGAAATGAAAACAATGGCTAAATGGACTATTAAAATACCACCACAGACAGTGAATAAGGTGGCTAAATCCAAAACATTTGAACGTCATCGGATTATCATCACTGTGACTGATGTAATTTCATTTTTTTTTAAATACCATTTTATAACTTGATTACTATTATTTATCTCAAGGGATTTTGTGGAGATTTAGTATCTTCGTAGTTGAAAGCGTGAGTCAATTGAAGCTAGGCCACCATGGAAAACCTGGAAGCACTGGATGGTCATTTCGTCCTATTATGGGACTCCTCAGCAGCGCGCATCCACGACCCCGCACTCGCGAGATTCGAACCCAGAACCTACCAGTCTCGCGTCAGAGCCCTTAACCGATAGACCACTGAGCCGGCATTCAACGGTATTTATCTATTCATTCGAAAGTACAACTAAATTCTTAATCAAGCATATCAAACGATTCATTACCTATGTAAGATGTTACGTTTAAATTTGAACAAATGGTTACATAACAGTTGGGTACCAAATGTATGAAAGACACAAAATAGGAATTATTTCCCTGTATAGAAATTTCGACAATTAAGATAAGCAATAACTCCATTTCGCTTGGTATGGTAGTTAATTGAACAATAGTTTAGTGTACAATTGTGTTATAAACCCTCAGTCAGTCAGTCAACTACAACGTAGGACCAGGCACATATTTGCATCAGTCCAAGTTGCCACACTTCATTAACACCACAAGATAGACACCAAATTCATAGAAGTAGTTACTTCAATGGTGGCAATATACAAAAAAAAATTGCATATAAGGATATAATACAAGAAGAAAGAATTAGTTCGTAAAAAGAAAGATATAAAGCAATTTTAATCTCACGGTTGAGGGGAAGACCGAGAGTCTATACACCTACGCCATTGTGATCGATTCTGAGCCATGTCACACAGAGTCTCTAACGATTGGTTACGATAGTCACGCGGACCCCAACTAAGTAGTCTGCATCTACCAACATGGCTCAGATCCGAAGTTAGTGACTTCAAGCACTGATGCCACGTTTTGATTTGACAGTCCCTAACTTCCAACCATCTCCAACACTAGTAAGCATTGTGTGCCGTGGTAATCGGTGTTCAGGTATACGTAACACGCGACCCAACCATCTCAGTCGATATAGATTCACAACCTCATCAACTGATTTTCCATCATACCCTAATACCCTGTGTCTAACCTCACTATTACTTACCCGGTTATCCCAGCAGATGCGAGCAATATGTCTGTGATCAAATACTAGTAACTGACGAGTATCTTCTACTCTTAATGACCACGTTTCACAGCTGTAAAGTAGAACAGAGCGAACTGCTGCGCAGTATACTTGTCCCTTAATTGATAGATAAATATCTTACCTTCTCCACAGGTGATGTAAGTTGGCAGAAACCAAACAAGCTTTTTGAATCCGTGCTGAGATTTCGTCAGACACCAACCCATTAGGGTTGATCAGACTTCCAAGACAAGTGGAGTTGTCAACGCGTTCGACTACTTCACTCCCTACCCTTAGTTCAGTTGTTGACGCAAGCCAGTTCTGAAACAACAATTTTCATTTAAAATGGGAGTAATGCAGTTCAAACATCCTGGCATTTTTGTTCAATGCTATCAAAACTCTACATTTTATCAGCGTTTTCATCAAGTAGGACTATGTCATCTGCGTATTCTAAGTTGGGTGAGTGGGCCTCCTGGTAGGAGATCAATTCCTGAAAATTCAGTTGACGAGAACGTTATTTACAGAAGTATATGTCTATAATGAAATTAAACAGAAATGGGGATAGTGGACAACCTTGCTGGACACCACTTGATGTTACATAATCCAATGACAATTCGCTATAAGTTCTGACTTGGCTGGTAGTGTTCGATTAAAGAGTCTGCATAAGGTTTATGTACTTCTGAGGTACACCTTTCAATGACAGACACTGACACAGAACCTCTCGGTCTACATAGTTATATATAACTGTTTGATAACTTGATATAGAAATTCATGGGTTACTGCCCATAGATATAAGTTTTATCTGGGCGTTTATAATTCTCAGTCTTACGCTAAGCCCTGAATTCTCCTATGAAAAATAAAGTACACTATATATGTGTTCATTTTACTAAATATTGTCTGTGTTTTAATCTTCTATTTGTTTATAGCCTATAATTAGTTTAGATTGGCATCCAAAAGGTGATTATCTACTTACTTTATCTCGTCCAATTTTGTCTGCACATGTTCGTTCACGATCAGCTAAACGATTATTACTTCATCGTTTATCGAAAATGTCTAGTCAAGCTCCATTCTCTGATACTGGTAAGCCAGTAGAATGGAAACAAGCTGGATTTCATCCAACTGGCAAACCTCATTTATTTGTTGCTAGTCCACGTGCAGTACGTATATATGATTTAGTGGAACAAAAAGAATTACGTTGTTTACGATTGGAAAGTTCATCGAATATCATCAGTTGCATGGCACTTCATCCATCAGGTTATTTATCATTTAACAATGTTACTTTTTATTTTATCGGTTTTATCATTTTTTAAAATAATTATCTGTTAAGTCGGCTTCCAGCGAATCAAACAGAGCCTCCAGAGGCTCAAAAAGAGCCCCAACCAACCAGAGTACGACAGAACATTCTGGAGTTCCAACGTGGCATGCTACCATTGGTCAGTAGCAATTTATGTCGTTAATTGGATTGGCTGAATTAGGATGTTGATTTAACTTAAGCAAACATCTATAAATACCTACGATTTTCTGTACAAAGATGATCCTTGCAGTAAAGGTTTTTTCTGATACCCATGTCTTCTCTCTGGTCTTCAAGTTGCTGAATAGTGCTAGTCCTGGTGTTATCGGGATAGCTTAGGATCCGAATAAAGCGTTCAACCTACAAGACATATCATTATCAATCATTATATTCGTGAATGAGCTTGGATATTGCTCAGGCACCCAGAAACAAGCGATTTTCTTGTAGATTTACTCTCTGAATCTTTGGTCTAGAGGTCTAACCCACAAAACAATGGGCAACGTTAGATGTAGTCTTTTGGTAACTACTGATGTCCAAAATGGGTGCATACACTATTCGTTCCCACATGACCTTGGGGTCTATGAACACCATTGATTTATAATCAATGTTTCTCAACTTTTAAGTAAACCACCCGTGTCCATTAACCCGGTCCAAGATCCGGGCATTTGCTTTTCGTCCACAGACTACAAGCATGCCTCGCTTGACGCGTGTTAACTTACACAACACCTAGATTTACGGTTCCCTTCTATCTATCTTCAACTGTCTGACAACTGAAACACGACTTCTAAAAAAACAGCAGTTGCTTGATTCCTACGCTATAGCTATGTTTAATCCTTATTCAACGTTATTGTAACCTCCATACATGCTGAATTACTTTTTTTGTACTTATAGGAGATCATTTAGTTGTTGGTAGTTATGACAGTCGTTTCAATTGGTTCGATATCGAATTGGGTAATGTTCCATTCAAAAAGTTACAGTGAGTTTATTTATTGATTTAATCAAGTATAGATTTTATTTTAAATTTATTCCTTCACCAGGTAAACTTAGATTTGAGTCATGTCTCAATTATGGGGATCAGTGATACTACCCATCTGTTCAAATTAAATTACCTAGATCTGAGTTCCAACCAGGATCTTAAAGTCAAAAACCTTAACCACTAAACCATCGTTCCACAACTTAAGAATGTTATGTATATCATTACCAATTCCTTAATCAGTCGTTGTGAGGGAATCTATTTTTGGGTATATGTTGAACGGTTTCTAAAATTTAGAACATTCCTTAAAATATTCAGTATTGTCTGTTTGAATCTTCCCATCGATTTGTTAGGACTGCAACTGGTCAGTCTCTCTCCTTAAAATAATAGAACTCAACTGTACAATACGGATATATGTCTTCATCTTTAAATCAAATTTCTTATTTAGGTTACTGATACTATTAGTAGTTAGTAATGAGCTGTTGAACGTACAACTGAATGGTTTTAAGTTGAGTAAATTTAAAAACAGACCATCACTCCTAATTTTTTTACGTTCATTCCTAATGTCAACAAACGATGCTTTTGTGAAACCATGCATAAAATGCATTTAAATATTTTAAGTCGTTGCTTAGGCTGTCACCATTAATTAAACGCTGGTCTACACTGGATTTTAGTATTACATACATAGTGTTATTACTGATTAGAAATAATTTTTATAAGATATCAAAAATAAAATCGAATACTGATGTTACCATGATAATACGGATGAATCTTCCCGTCATTGACTATTATAAATAATCAATGTAAATAAATCTCTCTGATTTTAAACTTGAAAATGATGCTGATTGATCACTACACTAGGTGGTTTTATGCAGATTGTGAGATTCTCATGGTTTGAATCACTAAATTATCTTAGCTATTTGACCATTGAAAAATTGGAAGTACTAGACGGTCATTTCATCCTTGTATTGGACTACTTAGCAATACGCGTTCACGACCCTACAATGGGAAATCAGACCCCAAACTCTTGGTTTCGTGTGCGAACACTTGACTTCTAAACCATCAAGCCAGCGGTGTATATGCCTAACTTCAATCAATTCACGACATTTCACAACCCTCATATATTGCCTAAGATAGATTACTGTTATGTACTCAACATTGTTGAACTCCACTGGCCACAGCTTTCAACTTATAACTTCAGGGATTCCATCTTAATGATTAATTTTTTGTTTGTCATGGAGTCGGAATATCATGATGTGCTCTAAATTATCAACACAACCCATATCATTATTGAGTAGGCCTTATATTACCCGGTTGTTGATATCATTGTCTAAATCTCGGCTACTCCTTCCGCCACAATCATTTCAACTTTTTATCGTATGTGTGTACAAGTAGGATTTTGCGTAATTTATTCACTGGCCTATTAGAAAACGCCGTTTTTCCTCCTCAATCTAAATACTATTCATGTTAAGGTAACAAATTCTACGTCCATCACACATGTAGCACATTACGATTAAACATTAAGGTATACAGTTATTTTTAATATATAGTCGGTTACTCGTCCCGTATAAATCTAAGTCTAAATTGAAGCAAGAAATCTCCTATCGCTCACATGTTCAATAACTAAATCTATCCTACTGTAAACGTCATATTTATCCCGTAGTATTTGTTATCGCCAACTGGATGTTCTAAACCTTCACATTAGATGTTGCGCGATTCGCATACGGGCATTCACTGCATATTACTTTAATATAGATATCGTTGTTTTTCACTTATAATAGATTTCTCGAACCAATAAATTGTTTTTTAGGCTCAATCATGGCGCTGTTAGACAGTTAGCAGTCCATAACCGTCGTCCATTAGTTTCTGTAGCATTGAGTGATGGTACTATTCTCATAATTCATGGAAAAGTAATCGAGTAAGTAAAATCATTTACTTTGTTTTATAAATACTGTTTATATTTATTATTGCATGAATATTAAAAACATAGCATTTTCTATGATAAATGCTCTTCAGAAGCACCAATGATCGAACACAGAATCGCCGAACACTCAGCTCGGCGACGCTAGATATTACAAGCGTAACAGCGAAATCGCCCTCACCGACACTCCGGAAACTCGACTAACACCACGACGGTGCCAAACGTGACCTAGATTGGCGTAAGCTGTTTTGTCTTACACCCTACCAACAACACTAAAAAAGCCATCCAGAAAAACAAATGTTTCAGCTAGTAATGGCTCACCAGAAAGAGTGCAGTCACAAACTCCCACCAGTCTTTTAAAGGTACTTTGCATCTAAAAGATGCAAATTACATTTCATGCTTCCGGGAACTGAGTTTTAACTGATTAGTTGCGAACTGCATAACTTGAGCATCGCATAGTAAGACGATCCCATTTCACTATCAAGATTGCAAATTCGTTCTTCAAGTAACAGGTCTATAGCACCACCACTTCATTCAGAGCTGTTTCCAGAATGTCATCGATGACAAGGTTGAGGATGATTAGTAAAGTAATACAACCTTACGTAACACCACTGCTGAATTGGAACAATGCAGGGGTGGTTGGATAGCCTCATTGTCTCCAAGGTGTTTTTGTACAGAGCTTTCAAGATGTTGATAAACTCCTCAGGTACATTCTCCTTGAAGAAACAACCTCAAAGCTTATTCCTGTTCCAGAAGCGGCCGTAATATCAAGAAATACAATAATAGTTTGGGGGTAAATATTGTGATGCTTTAGTATTTGACCAAGAATGAATATCTGGTTTAAAATCATTATGTTTTTCAATGGTTCTGCATAATAAGCGAATACCAAGTATACCTAATCTAGATAAATGATATATGTAGATCACTGATGTATCATCAACCAAGTCTCATTTAATTACTTAGTTATGATTATATTGTTTTCCTTCTCATACATTGATAAACACTGATTGATTTGACCTGCTATTTCTCCCCTCTCCTCTTCTAAAAATACATTTCAGTGATTTATTATCAAAACCAGTTGTTATACCAGTTCAATTAATTCGTACTGGACAACCAGCAACTCATTCGAATGTATTTTCTACTGTGTTTCATCCACGTCAACCACATGTGTACAGTGGTGGAGAAGATGGCAGTGTTAAACAATTTGTTGCATGGAAATAACACTTTGATTGATTGAATCTATTAGGATGAGTTACTTTGTATTCTCATAGTTCGAATCTGTAATTTTTTTTCTTATTCTTGTATATATTATGTATAAATAGAGATATGTAAAAACAGAAGTGTGGATAAACACTTGGTTTTAAAGTGAATGGAAATAAAACAGTACTGACATAAAAATAAGATTTCTATGACCAATTTCCAAATAGGTATAGTGTAATTTTTAAATGTAAATTTCTGACAAATAGAAGCACCATATTGTGACTTTGTATCCCTAACCATCCAGCTACTTAATTTACTTAAGTTAGCACAACACGTTGAAAAAATTGATAATTGACTAGTTAGTAACTAAAGTTCTAAATGAAGATATCCAACCAGACACGGTTTTCCAACCAATCAGCGACTTTATAGACAAATGTCTTAATTTGCTAGCTAGCATATCAAGTCAGTCAGTCAGCTACGTAGGACCAGGCGCATATATCCATCGGTCCAAGTTGCCATACCTCGTTAGCACAACAAGATCAACACCGGATTCATAGAAGTAATTAATTTAGTGGTGGTAGTATATAAAGAAAGGATGTAGTATAGGAAGGAAAAAATTTATGAAGCAATTTTAATCTCAAAGTTTAAGGGAAGATAAAGAGTGTATACACCTACGCCATTGTGATCGATTCTGAGCCATGTCACCTAGAGTCTCCAACCATTGGTTACGATAGTCACGTGGACCCCGACCAGGTAGTCTGCATCTACCAACATGGCTCAGACTAGAAGTTAGTGATATTAAGGGCTGATGCCATGTTCTGGTTCGGCCGTCCCTAACTGTTTTCCAACCATCCCGTACACTAGTCAGCATAGCATGTCTTGGTATTCGGTGTTCAGGCATACGTAACACGTGGCCCAACCATTTCAGTCGATGAAGATTCATGACCTCATCAACTGATTTACCATCGTTCCCTAATACCCTGCGTCTAACCTCACTATTACTTACCCGGTGATCCCAGCAGATGCGAGCAATATTTCTAAGGCATCTGTGGTCAAATACTAGTAACCTACGAGTATCTTCTACTCTTAATAGCCATGTTTCACAACCGTAAAGTAGAACAGAGCGAACTGCTGCGCAGTATACTCGTCCCTTAATTGATAGACGGATATCTCGTCTTCGCCATAGGTGACGTAAGTTGGCAAAAGCCAAACGGGCTTTTTGAATCCGTGATGAGATTTCGTCAGACACCAACCCATTAAGACTGATCAGACTTCCAAGATAAGTGAAGTTGTCGACGCGTTCGACTACTTCACTCCCTATCCTTAGTTCGGGTGTTGACGCAGGCCAGTCCTGGAGTAACAATTTACATTTGGATGGGGAGAAACGCATCCTGTCATGTCATCTGCGTATTCTAAGACGATAAGTGAACCTCCTGGTAGAAGATCAATTCCTGAAAATGCAGTCGACGAGAGTGTTATTTCCAGCAACATGTCTATAATGAAGTTAAACAAAAATGGGGATAGTGGACAACCTTGACAGACACCACTTGAGGTTGTAAAATCATATGACAGTTCGCCATAAGCTCTCACTCGACTGGTAGTGTTCGAGTAAAGAGCCTTCACAAGGTTTATGTACTTCTCAGATACACCTTTCAATGACAGACATTGCCACAGAACCTTTCGATCCACAGAGTCAAATTCTGCTTTCAAGTCAAGAAAAACTATCATTGTCGGACGCCGATAAGCGTGTCTGTGCTCTAAAACTTGACGAATGGTGAATATGTGGTCGATACAGCCACGACCAGGTCTGAAGTCAGCCTGATTTTCTCGTGTTTGCAGTTCACGAGTCTTAGTTAGGCGCCCGATAATTATTGAGGCTAGTATTTTAGATGCTATGTTGGTCAGACTAATCCCTCTATGGTTATTACAGCATGATTTTGACCCCTTTTTATATATTGGGACGATCAGTGATTGTGACCAGTCGGATGGGATTACGTCCGTCTCCCAGATTTTAGCCAGAATATTAGTCAACCTAATCACTAAAATCGGACCACCATATTTAAAGACCTCTGGAGCCAATCCATCTGGACCAGCTGCTCTTCCTCGTTTCAGATTACCTATAGCCTTTTGAACTTCAAGTAGGGTCGGGGGGCCTACTTCAATGTTCCATTCAGGTTTTCTAGGAATAGTGGGTAGTTGTGCAGTAGCTGAAGGCCAGCTAAACTGCTCCTTAAAGTGTTCTACCCATCGTTCTAAACGTTTGGGTTGAGAGCAGATAAGGGTTCCGTCTTTTTCGGAGATTGTCTCACTTACACTTGACTTCTTAATTCCGGTTTCTTTTATTAGTCTGAATAGTTGCCTGGTGTTCCCTACAGCCGATGCCTTTTCCATCTCTTTTGCTTTCGTTGCCCACCACTACTAACGATCGTTCCTCAGGCTTTTAGTTAACCTAGATCTAATTTCTTTACGCTCTTCGTCATGTTCAGAGCCTGATGGGATGAGTTTACGCGAATCCATCAGTGAAATAGACTTAGGAGAAATCCATTGGTTTTCTGGAGCCCTATGGTTTAAATGACTAATAGATGTTACTGCTGTTTCCACAGCTGTTCGTGTGTCTTTTCAAACAGCATGTGGGTTAGTCTCATTTACAGAACTGCCTAGATGTGAACTCAGTTGTTTCTGGAATTCGCATTTGGCCTTTCTTGTCCTCCAGTTCAATCCTAATGGGTCTTCTTAGTGTAATTTTCCTGCGTCCATTGAGGCGCAGACAAATGCGTGCTCGTATTAAAGCGTGATCAGAGTCTAAACAAGTATTCCAATACGAGCGACAATCTTCTATTGAGCCTCTCCAACGATGACGGATGACAATATGGTCTATTTGAGTCCATCGTTGGTTTGGTGCATGTGGTCGCCATGTTAGACGATGTCTCTCCTTATGCTTAAAATTAGTGCTTGCTAAAAATAAACGATTGTCTGAGCATAGTTGCAACAGACGATCACCATTATCGGTTCGTTGAGCCGGAATACTAAAACACCCACCTGAATGTCCTTCTGTTTGATTTCAGCTGCCTACCTGAGCATTAAAGTCACTCGCTACGACTACTATGTCTGAGCGCTTAGCTTTCTGTAAAAGTCATCTTTCATCATGGCTGCAGTCGGTGGGAGCGTAGTCAGAAACGACGAAAAGGCAACGACGTGTGTCCCTATCCTTCCGAGTTCTTACGGAGCCATTCAGCCGGACAGCACACAGGCGACTGTTAACGGGGATCCATTCTAATAGTGCCTGTTCTGCCCTTGTACTTAGTGCTATGCCTACACCTGCAAGTCCGCAAGAACTAGCCAACGGGTCGCCAGATACACGGAGGGTGTGTTTCGTTGGCTGTCCATTTTGGCGAGGTGAGGTCAAGTGAATGACCACACTAGGATGCTGTATACGTGTTCCGGAAACACAGCATACATCAATGGTATGAGATTCTAGGGTTATAGCTAAGGAGGCCTGTTGACCGATTTGGCATAGGCTACGTACGTTGAAGGCTCCAATGTGTAGTTTGGAGCGAGGTTTTAGTAGACCTGGGACAGCGTTTCGCGCACTAGAATCGTTGAACATGGTGACACTTGAGGAGGAAACCGAAAGGGGAAGTTTAGTGTTGAAAGTCAAGGTAGAGGGAATAGTAGGAATTGAAGAAGAAGATTGATTATGAATACAGTGGTCTTGAGTGCTGTTAGAGGTATGAGGGCAGTTATCACTTCCCGGTTGCCCACACCCTGGAAGGGTTCTTCTAGAGGTACTTGGAAAGGAAATTGGATTAGAAGTGGTCTTAATGACCTGAGAGCGTGACCGCAGTGCCCAAGGGACAACTGCTTGAGGTCGGTCACACACGACCTTTTTGTGGGCAGGTTTTTTGTTAGCTCCGTTCTTAAAAGGACCTTACCGCAGGAGACGGATATCCGTGGGATAAGGCGAGGTGTGTATTTTTAGGGTCGACCTTTTCTAACCCCATCCCTCCTTGTGGGAAGGCAGCATCGCTGTCATGCTGGTTGTCTGAAGGAAACACCTTACTGCTGTCACACCTCTGTACAGTCAGCAGTACGACTTCGGACGCTGGGTTTGCTGCTTTTAGTCTTACCACTCTCCAACCGACTTAAGGAACGACTGTTCCAGCTAGTATAGCTCGATTGACTCATCACGATAGGCAAGCCCGACCACCACGTCAAGGTAGCAGCATATCAAAGCAAATGGTGATGAGTATCTCTAGTCAGCACCTCAGGGCCACGTCACATTTTGTGAGACAATGCACTATTAAATTATGATATTTTCATCGGAAAGCATACCATTTTATTTGTAAATCAACATGACAATATCGTATTCCTGATTTCTCAAACACAAGCTGTGAAAAAAAGGGATACTGTAGTAATGTTTCTTAACCACACGACCCTTGGTGGCAAACGTACGATAACTGACATTTAAATTCAGTACTTAACACCATAGATGCCAGAAACGATGAATGTGTAAATGTCGTCATTCTACGTAACTTATTGCTTTTCATATTAGATATATTATCCTATCCCCAGCCCTAATGCGTTCTTCAGAAATGCTAAACATCATATTGCTGACCGTCACGATAGGACGAGTTAGTAACGACAAAGATATGATTTCCACGTAAGATCGTATAGACTGAGTGGTCACTTCATTATAAACCTAAAATTTTGGGATTACGTCCACTATTATGGAAGCAAAGATGATAGATGCACTGACCTAGACGATATCACCCACCGTTCCAATCAAAATGAGATTTTACCTGTATGACAGATCATTTGAATGATATATTAAAAAGATTATTACAACTTGTTAATATCACAGCCACATACACGTTTGCACTTTTTTTGTTGAAAAAATGCGAAAAAACAAAAAAAGCATTACAATATATAAAGAAATAATCAAAATAAGGAACGAGCACAACGACTGATGTAATGATGAAATCAAGAAAATAATAGTAAAAAGTCCATACTTTATCCTAAATAGGATGAAAAAGGCAAAATAAAGCATATAGAGAAATCAAAGACACAAAAGTAACAAGTGGAAAAATGTACAATAACTCCAGAAAATTCGTCTCTGAAGTGTGTGTCACTGTGTATGAGGAGAGAGCGACAAGAAAGGGTTGGTTAGTAGTGAGGAAAGCGCCTGTTGTAATGGAGAGTTCCCGATATCATCTTGCCAGTTTCACTTCATTCCATAGCGGTGCGAATAGTCCATGTCTAAAATTAAATAAACATTGCATAAGAACAATACATTTTAAAGAGAGTAATCACACAACTGTGTTTTCTTTGACTGATTTGTTTTAAGCATCATACGCAAAGAGAGTGCTGACAACAAACTTTTGTTCAATGATAAATAACAACGGGAAATACCAACTTCCCAATTGAAAGCCTTAAATATATGAAATACACGCAAATTTGCACATACGAAAAATATCAATCCATAGGATTTGAAGTAAATAAAGATTTTGACAGGAAACGTATTTCCACTATAACACAAAAACCATATAACCGTGCATGATTTAACTTACATTTCAAAACAGATCATTATTAATAGTAATAATAATAGAGATAAATGATGCGGTGGATTGATTGATGTTAGACATAAACACCATCGGATGTCGGCTCAGTGGTCTATCGATTAAGTGCTCTGGTAAGTCCTGGGTTTTAGTCTAGCGAGGCGAGGTCGTGGATGCGCACAGCTGTCCATGTTTTCCCTGGTGGTCTAGCTTCCATTGACTCACGCTTTCAACTATGCAAATGGTTTTACTTTATCAAATTAGGTTTACAATAATTAGTTCGGGTTATTGAAGTGAACATTTAAGTTATCTATTTAAATCAGTGTATTGTATTATAGTTAAGGAAAACAGTGAAGTGATATTATTATTATTTGATTAGGACACACATTTTTACAACTTACCTTATATTAATTTGTGCTGTAGTTAAACGATATTGAAATTATGTTTAAAACAAATTTTCAACCGAGTAAGTTCATTAACTACTAGTCGGTACCAATGCAACGTTTTTATATACCAAGAACAAAGATTATTGCAGTCGACCTTAAAACAAGTGATCCCAACTGAAGTAGTAGATGAAGTTTCGTCAAAATCTATGTTCTAATGTTTTCAAGGTTAACTGTCTTAATTAGGCCACTATTTCATTCACACATATAATTTTAGATTGACATTTTGAAGGGAATGACTTGATTTCTTTTTTATATTATGTTGATAGATGAAGGTTGTCTGGTTAGTGTTGGAATGATTACCACGATTAGTGGTTGAAGAACTTGGGTGACATGATTCAGAATCGTTCACAATGGTACAAATAATATGTGAACTATTTATCTACCACTCTATCTTGAGTTCTGGTATTCTTTCATACATACCTTTATAGTTTGCCTTTTCGAGCTATGTTTTCAATGTTTAATCTTTTTTATCTTTATCAACATTAAATTATTTAGATCTATTTTGCCATTCACCATATTACTTTCATCTCGTCATGCTAATGTGGTATGGCAATTCGAACCAACGTACATCTGTACGAGGTTCTATGTTGATTATGTCTGTCTGTAATAATTGATCATTTATGTCACCACAAGTTTCCCTATCACTGATTGGTACCATCTTCCTGACAACTCTACACATGAGAGGTTTACAGTTTCATGCATACAACATTAGATTGGTATCCAATGTCTTTTAGGATTAATGTCACCAATTGATATATTAATCCTTAGTTTTCTTCACATTTAACTCTATTTTACCCATTTATCCCTCAGGATACTGGAGTCCATGTGCACCATTGGTTTGGAATCACGGTTTTCCAACTTCCCTAGGTGGACTTTCCGTGTTCACCAACCCGGTTAAAGCACCGGAAATTCACTTTTCGTCCTCTCAATTTCGTAAACAACAGTAATGTCACGAGAAGGCAGTTAGTAGGACTTCCCTGTCAGAGGCTAAATATGCGTGGCCGTGTAAGAGCATTTGGAGAGGGAGAGCGGACTCTCCCTACTCTCGACCGCACCAGGGTAAATTAAACGTTGACTAGTATTATTCTTTTTATTATTAAGATTAAAAAAACACCACTGAATTCCACTTCACTGGTCTAGAGATCAAGCATTTGTGTGAGACAGAAGGTCCTGGGTTCGATTCCCGGTTGGGAGTTCGTTGATAAGAAGTCCCATACAACGACACGGCTTGCCGTTGCTTCTAGGTGTTTAATAGTTGTCTAACTCAGGTCAAATCGTGATCTCGATACAATTCAACAACCTCCACAACCCGGTACTGATGAAAACAGCTTCAGTCACAGAACATACACCTTTGAAAGTCCCATATGTTAGTCAATACAGGTCTTCAAATCTAGCCTGAACTGCTACAAAACACTTAACCTCAACATCATTCAATTATTCATATCAGAAGCATTTATATGATACAAAATGAGTATATATGATAATAATGGTATACCATAATGCTTTTATATATAGAATACATAGATTATTAATGATTACAGTCAAGGTATAGAGAGGGAAGACGATCATATACAGTTAGTTGTTAAATACTAACTCATATCTTTTCCCCACTGTCTTTACATGCTACTATTCGGTTTCATACTAGTTTTAATGTCGATATTTCTGTAAGAAAATTTCAGGTTCAGTTGGTGACCAATTCACTGCTACGCGATCTAAATAGTTTTATTGGATAATTTATTTTGTTATTGAACTAATCGGCACCATCTATTCAGTTACTTTTTTTTCATTCTAACTTTCGACTGCCTAGAATTGTATGTATGAAGAGTTGGACCTACACAAGAAACTAGAGATCACTAGGATTATTTAAGTGACAAAGTTTCAGTGAAAATGGAAAGCGTGAGTCAGTCTGCGATCCCGTGGATGCGCACTGCTGAGGAGCCCCACAATAGGACGAAACGACCGTCCAGTGCTTCCACGTTTTCCATGGTGGTCTAGTTCCAATTGACTCACGCTTTCAACCATGAAAATCACGATTAGGTGTCTATTCAGTCAGTCAGTCAGGATTTGAAAGCGACCAACTTGGTCTTGTGTGCAGTTAAGGGTATGAGGGCTAGTATCACTTCCCGGCTGCCCACACCGTGGAAGGGAAGGTGTCTATTCGTTTCGTATATAAGGATAAGATACAAGATAAAACCGAGACTGACCTTGGATTTTTGATCTTCATAGGTTAGTACTTTACGTGTTTGATCTGCATTGAAACGCATCAGCGAGCACAAAACTTTTGACAATGTCTACATTTGAAAAGAAATTTGAAAAAAACATCACTAAGACAAAGTTATTATTAAGAATATGAAAACACAAACAAATGCTTGGTCAATATGACACAACAAGAAAATATACACACTACATAAGCACACCAATAGAATTACACTTGACGGAGAAGCTTTGGAGGATGTGGAAACTTTTACATATCTGGGCAGCATCATTGATGAACACAGTGGATCAGATGCAGATGTGAGGGCGTGAATCGACAAAGCAAGAACAACATATCTACAATTGAAAAACATCTGGAACTCAAAACAATTGTCTGTTAACCAACACCAAGATAAGAATTTTCAATACAAATGTCAAGACAGTTCCACTGTATGTGGCGGAGACGTGGAGAACTACAAAAGCCATCATTCAGAAGATACAAGTGTTTATTAACAATTTTCTACGCAAGATACTTCGGATCTGTTGGCCAGACATTATCAGCAACAAGTTACTGTGAGAGAGAACAAACCAGATTCCAGCGGAAGAAGTGTTGGAAGTGAATAGGACACATTGAGAAAATCATCCAACTGCGTCACGAGACAAGCCCTCACATGGAATCCTGAAGGCCAAATGAGAAGAGGAAGATCAAAGAACAAATTACTTCGGGAACTGGAGACAGACATGAGAAAAATGAACAAAAACTGAATAGAACTAGGAAGTCAAGCCGAGGACAGAGTGGGTTGGAGAATGCTGGTCGGTGGCATATGCTCCACTGGGAGTAACAGCCGTAAGTAAGTAAGTAATAAGCACACAAGAGAGAATTTTGTGACGAACAATAAAATTAAAAATAACATAGTGCATAAAAAACAATAAGATAGGAATACAACCGAAATGGGTTCTACTCCTCTTAAGAAGGAAAACCTCAGTTCTTAAAAAATACCCAGAAAGTAAACTACAACTCAATCCGAACGATGGTGTGTGTGAACATCTTGAACCAGTGGAGTTGCGTAAACTCAGAATTTAGGTAGTTTCTATGGATAAATAGATAATAACCTAGTGATACAAATAACTTTTAGTTTAGTATATGAATCCACACAAAAACTGACATTTCAGTGTTTTAATAATTAATGTTAAAAATCAAACACCTTCACAAATTTCTACATACACTTGGATATAATAATGATGACAAAATTGTTCACTTTCAAGTAAACCGTAGGAATTACTGACAGATTTTGTTTTTACAGCTGGACCTAACTGTCTTTAAATTCATTTAGTATTATTTGTTTGAATCTTAACATTGATGTTTAAGACTGCAACTGGTCAGTCTCTAATTGGCATATGTGCATACTGTGCATATTGCCTCGATATAGCCTTAATTCACAAGCATTATAAGCAAAGATGGATAGTGGCTAGCAGTGGAATCCAGTTTGGCGCGCGTTTCGTCTTATTTGGGACTTGTCAGCTCGACTCTGAGATGGAGGTACATCCAGCTGACGAGTCCCAAATAGGATGAAACGTGTGCCAAACTGGATTCCACTGCTAGCCACTATCCATCTTTGCTTACTAACTATCTTTAGTGTAGAGTCGTAAAGATTGTTGAATTTCGTTGGAATCATGAACCCATACTAGGAAAGAATGGTCGTCCGATGCTTCTAGGTTTTCAATGGAAATTCAACTTAGATTGGTCTATGATTTTAATGAAAATAAATATACTAGCAGTTAAGTTTCGTTGGGAAATATCAAGTGAACAACTCTTTTAATAGATATGTTGACACTGTCTGATAAACACATTACAGTACTAACTGACGCTAAATAAATAATCCATATTAAACGGATTAGCCAAGTAGTAAAAAATGACTTGTTTTAGAAAGAAGAGGTTGTTTCATCGACCCTCATGCAACAACTTGGAGAAATTAAACAAAGAATTGTAAAAAAGACCTCATTAATATATATATGTATATAGCAATAAATAACTTCACAAACTTGAGTTTCACGTCCTTGCATATATTCGAAGAGAACATTTTTCAAATACTGGAAAGTAAACATGAAAAACAATAAGTAATTGAATAAATAAACACTCGTTAAGACAAATTTCCTAGAATAGTTTTAATGAGAGAAAAAACACAACTATTTACAATAACTGAAGTATGATGATATTAAGTTTGAATTAATGATTTAACAGAAATTAGCGGTTCAGCGTATTAAATTTCAATTATAGAGCTAACTTAACTTACGCCTGTTACTCCCAGTGGAGCATAGGCCGCCGATCAGCGGCCTATGCTAATAATGAATTAACAAAGTCAACTGTTTACTAGAAATTATCTGTTCAGGATACAATAGTTTAGCATCATGAGCTCTTAAAACATTACATAAAATACTGAAAACAGCCACTCATTAACCACTGAGTAATAACTCATGTTATTCTTATCTGGTTCTTATTACTGGTTGAATCTGATCGATCGAGTTAAAATATGATTGGATGTTAAATGAATGCCATTGATAGGAAAGCATGGAACTGCAGTTTATACCAGTTGTTACTTGAACAATTTGCCCCCAAATGCCCTGATACGGCCAAGAGTGGGGAGAGTCCACTCTCCCTATCCAAATGTTCTCACATGGCCACGCGTATATAGCCTCTGACAGGGAAGTCCTACTAACTGCCTTCTCGTGGCACTACTGTTGTTTAGGAAATTGAGAGAACGAAGAGCGAATGTCCAGCGCTTTAACCGGGTTGGTGGATATGGAGGGTCCACCTAGGGGAGTTGGAAAACCCTGATTCCAAACCAATGGTGCACAAGGACTCCAGTATTCTGAGGGAACAAATAGCGCATGAATCAATCGTTAGTCACTGGCTTCTTCTGGACTGCAGCTCTTCACGATGCTCCACTGCCTTTTGGGTCAGACCTTTAGGTCAAAAGCTCCCAGTGTGGCTCCTTAAGTAAACCACCTCCTTCGATTTGGGCACCTGGGCAGTATCACGGCCCTCACACAAATCAAATGTGATTTGTGTGGCACATATATATTTGGTGTCCCCTTCGTACCAATATTTATGTGTTTAAATAAATAAATAAATACATGGACAAGTGTCACAGTAGCATAGATATTGTTGAATATACATCTTGCTGTTGAGTGTTAATTAGTACGAAACCCGGGTCGAGGGTTTATCGCTAACTGGTTCCAACCACTTACTAGTCGATAACAAGAAGTACTCACAATGTTTAATTATGTCACTCTGATCAGTAGGATGAGACATATAAGACAATAATAGAAAGAGAAAATAATGATGAAAAATAGAAACAGAAATGCTCTATTGCTTTAGTCAGTCACTCTGAATTCATTCGCACCGCCATCGATCTTCAAGTTCGAAACCCTTTCTACTTCAGTCAGTTGCCATCATTTGTCATCGCATAAACAAGAATGGTGCTCAAAGCTAAAAAAATGAATTCGAGCTTACATTTTATTCCAAAATATCATTATTATGTGATAGGTATTTTAAGACATCTTAGACACGTGTTACAGCAAGCGACTTTGACCCTATCTATTGCTTTGATACTGTGACCAGGGATGACTATTTTGATAGTTCAATATAGCCACGATGATTGGAGGTTTTTTCATGCCACACATTTTCGTTACAGACTGGTACAATTAAAAGCAATGCACGAAAATCTCAAAAGCGGTCATATTGAGGTGTGATGACGGTAAAGAAGTTTCTCATGTGCCTGGTCCTACATTGTAGCTGACTGACTTCTCAAGATAATTAGGACCTCTAGAAATGCTATCATCTTACAACGTAAAGAAATTGGGAAGAAAGTCGACCTTAAGAATGACAGCCTAATCTGATCTAGTGATTTTAACCACTAGTAATAAGGTCTAAGAATTAAAAGGTCAAACATCAACTGTGACTGGAGGTTTTCTACTCCCTTAGATGATAAGACCACTAGTAACCGAGATTTGTTTTCAGGTACCACGTGAAGAAATATCCTTCCAACTGGGTAATTAACAGGGAAGTATCAACTGTTTACACAACGTTAACAACACTAGAGATCACTTGACCAGTCTAAATAATTAATTGTAAAAATGATTTTTAAAAAAACAAATTACAACTTCTAGTGACAATTGAACGAGAAGATATGGCGATTCCTGAAGTGGTTTAAACAAAAAGTAACCTGTTAAAAGGTTAGTAGTAAATGAATAAGTGAATCAATGAAACTTATACGAAGAAAAACCAATACACTTACTTCATATTCAACTAATTCATGTAGACGATTATCACTTGGACTAGTCAACAAGACATGTTGATAATCAGGTGGAATTGAATTAAACGATAAACTATAATTATTTGATCTAACTGTATTATCCACTGTATGAATATGTAATGATTCAGATAGGGAATGTTTATTACTGGCACTACTGCAAGCAGCTGTACATTTGGATCGTAATGCCTCAAAATCGGCAGAAAGTTGTTGTAATTGATTCTAGATAGAAAATGAAGAGAGAGTAAAAAATAAAAAAAATTATTGTCTTTGAGCAGGTAATTGTTTTTTGTTGCAAAACCAGTATTTACTGATGGTACTTGAAAATCAATGAGCACTGAATACATCTGTTATTTATGTTGTTTCCTAAATTTGGAACATAGCAACTACAACAACCATATGAAATCGATACTTTCAGGTCTCACGAAGAACATAACTAATTTAGTTCAAAAAATCCACAACAAATAGTTCATATATTCCAAGTTCAATCATCCTATGATACCAAATGATCCCATCACCAAAGTAATAATAATAAAAGACATGTTATTCATTGTTGGATGTTTGCTTTCAACCAGGAAATTTTACCACAACAATGGGATGATTGTGATATATTCCGCTTTAACATTTTTTTAAAAATTGTAAATACATTCAACCACTGATTAAGCTGCTATTTATCTTTATCTACAAAATTTTTTAACAAGTCTCTCCCCCTATGCTAAAACAAAAAAAAAAAACAAGTCTCTCCCCCCCCTATGCCCGACCGTTGCTGCTACCTTGACGTGGTGGTCGGGCTTGCCTATCGTGATGATCCAATCGAGCTATGCTGGCTGGAACAATCGTTCCTCAAGGTCCTACCATGCCAGACAGGTCGACTGAAGAGCGGTGAGACTAAAAGCAGCAATCCCAAGGTCCGAAGGCGAAGTCGTACTGCTGACTGTACAGAGGTGTGAAAGCAGTAAGGTGTTTCCTTCAGACAACCAGCATGACAGCGATGCTGCCTTCCCACAAGGAGGGGTGGGGTTAGAAAAGGTCGACCCTAAAAATGCACACCTCGCCTTATCCCACGGATTTCCGTCTCCGGCGGTAAGGACTTTTGAAGAACGGAGCTAACACGTCAAAAATCCCCCACAAAAAGGCCGTGCGTGACCGGCCTCAAGCAGATGTCCCTTGGGCACTGCGGTCACGCACCCAGGTCGTTAAGACCAACACTAATCCAACTTCTTTTTCAGGTCCCTCAAGAAATACCCTTCCACGGTGTGGGCAGCTGGGAAGTGATACTAGCCCTCATACCCTTAGCTGCACACAAGACCAAGTTGGTCGCTTTCAAATCCTTCCTACACCTCCTAATAACTCTGTTATCTCCACGACTAACCCTTCCCACGTCCTTTTATCACCTCGCACCGCTAGGGCAAACGATTCGAGTACACAGAACGTTATTTCTGGTCTCCTGAAACCACGCTCTAAACTACATATAGGAACTTTTAATGCCAAATAGGACAACAGGCTTCCTTAGCTAGGACTCTAGAATCTTACACCATCGATGTGTGCTGCGTCTCCGAAACGCGCATACAAGATCCGAGTAGTGTCATTCATTTGACCTCACCTAATCAAAATAAAGTTTCATCTCGATACACGCTTCGTGTATCTGGAAGCCCTGACGCTGCTTCCCGTGGCCTCGCTGGAGTAGGTATAGCATTAAGTCCTAGGGCAGAACTAGCTCTTTTAGACTGGATCCCAGTAGACAGTCGTCTATGCGCTGTCCGACTAAACGGATCAGTAAGGACCCGGAAAGATAGGGAAACTCGTCGTTGCCTCTTCGTCGTCTCTGCCTACTCTCCCACTGACTGCAGCTCAGACGATATAAAAGATGAGTTCTACAGGAAACTTTCTGACCTTCTCCGAGAAGCTAGGCGTTCTGATGTTGTAATAGTAGCAGGTGACTTTAATGCTCAAGTAGGTAAACTAAGTGAAAGGGAAAGACACCTGGGTGGATCTTATGGTGTCATGGCGAAAAGAACAGATAATGGCGACCGTCTGTTGCAGCTGTGCTCAGATAACCGCCTATTTCTTGCAAATACTAACTTTAAGCATAAGGAAAAACATCTTTTGACATAGCGACCCCCGAATTCGTCCCAACGTTGGACCCAATTAGATCACATCGCTATCAGCCACCGATGGAGGGGCTCGATTGAAGACTGTCGCTCATTATGGGGCACATGTCTAGATTCAGATCATGCTCTAGTGCGAGCACGTATCTGTCTGCGTCTAACTGGTCGTAGGAAAGACACTGCAGGGAAGCCTCTAAGGGTTCTACTTAATGATAGGCAAGCTAAGAATATATATCAGGAACAACTAGAAAAACAGTTAGGCAGCCATGTAAGTTGTGTCCACCCCGAGGCAGCGTGGAATGACATCCGAAAAGCTGTGGAAACAGCAGTGATGTCCGCTAGTAAGGTAAACCATAACGTTAGGGAGAAACAATGGATCTCGGCAGCATCTTCCGCACTGATAGATGCTCGTAAACTCATCCCACCTGGCTCTGAGCATAACGAAGAGCGGAGTCAACTTAAGCGCAGGCTTATAAGAAGCCTACGTAATGATCGTGAACAGTGGTGGGTAGGGAAAGCAAGAGAGATGGAAAAGGCAGCGGCAATAGGTAACAGTAGGCAGCTATTCAGACTCGTTAAAGAAACCGGCATTAGGAACCCGAATATCAGTGAAACCATCTCAGATAGAGATGGGCATATTATTCATTCTCAATCCAGGAGATTGGATCGATGGGCAGAACACTTTAGGGATCAGTTCAACTGGCCTTCAGCCACGCTTCAATTACCCACGATCCCCAGTCGTCCTGAATGGCAAATTGACGTAAGTCCTCTAACCGTCTGTGAGGTTGAAAAAGCTATAGGAAATCTGAAGCGAGGGAGAGCAGCAGGCCCTGACAGGTTGACCCCTGAGATTTTTAAGGATGGTGGTCCAGTACTAGCAGTGAGATTGACTGAGGTCTTAGGTAGAATCTGGGAACTGGACGTAATTCCATCTGACTGGTCCCAATCACTGATTGTGCCAGTCTATAAGAAAGGACAAAAGTCCTCCTGTGACAATCACAGAGGGATCAGTTTGACTAATATAGTGTCTAAAATATTAGCTTCAATAATACTAGGTCGCCTAACCAAAGCTCGTGAAGAGCAGACTAGAGAAAACCAGGCTGGTTTTCGACCTGGACGTGGTTGCATAGACCAGATATTCACCCTACGTCAGGTTCTAGAACATAGACACAAATTCAGACGTCCCACAATAGTAGTATTTCTTGACCTTAAGGCGGCATTTGACTCTGTTGATCGTGAGGTTCTATGGCAATGTTTGTCACTGAAAGGAGTACCAAAGAAGTACATTAACCTCATAAAGGCTCTCTACTCGAACACAACTGGTCGAGTTAGAGCCTATGGCGAACTGTCATCAGAACTGATTACCACAAGTGGAGTTCGTCAGGGCTGTCCACTCTCCCCATTCTTGTTTAACTTTGTCATTGACATACTTTTAGAGACAGCACTTTCATCAGCTAAGCCTCCAGGAGTTGAACTCTTACCGGGAGGCTCACTTGTTGACTTAGAATACGCCGATGACATAGTTTTACTCGGTGAAGACGCTGACAAAATGCAGAGTCTTCTGACCACCATAAGCAACAATGCAGGCATGTTCGGGATGCGATTCTCTCCCTCGAAGTGCAAAATGTTACTTCAGGATTGGGTTGCAGCGACACCTGAACTAATGATAGGGAGTGAAGTAGTTGAGCGTGTAGACCACTTCACTTATCTTGGGAGTCTCATCAGCCCTTGTGGTCTGGTGTTTGACGAAATCTCAGCACGGATACAGAAGGCTCGTCTAGCTTTTGCCAACTTGCATCATTTGTGGCGTAGGCGAGATATCCGTCTAGCAACCAAAGGACGGGTTTACTGTGCAGCAGTTCGTTCCGTCCTACTTTATGGAAGTGAAACATGGCCGGTAAGAGTAGAGGATATTCGTAGGCTACTAGTGTTCGATCATAGGTGTCTTTGAAGCATTGCTCGTATATCCTGGGACCACCGGGTAAGTAATGCAGTTGTTAGGAAACGAGTACTAGGTAGGGATGGCAAATCGATTGATGAAGTAGTGAAACTTCATCAGTTGAGATGGCTGGGACACTTGTTACGTATGCCCGACCACCGACTGCCCCGACGTGCAATGTTTCATGGTGTAGGAGTAGGTTGGAAGAAAGCTAGGGGTGGCCAGACCAAAACGTGGCACAAATCAATGAAGTCACTGACAAGTGGACTGGGCCATGTTGGTAAGTGTAGACTACCTGGTTGGGATTCGCGAGATGATAGCAACCGATGGTTAGAGACCTTGAATGACATGGCTCAAAATCGTTTGCAATGGCGAAGATGCATCCACTCTTTGTGTTCTACCAAATTCTAATCTTCTGAATTTCTCATGTCTTTATGTTTTTCTCCTTCAAAATATATTTCACTGTACTATACTCCTTCAATAACATCTTCAAACTCTAATCTTTCCGATTACTGCTTATACTCTTACTAATTCTTCCACTATGGGATTTGAATCGACAACTGCATCTGTGTGCTAATGTGGTATGGCAACTCGAACTGATGTACGTACGTACGAAGTTCTACGTTGTGACTGACTGACTGACTCCCCCTATGCATTTTTATCGCATAAATGATAAATCTGGTTACTGGTTGCTTAGGCATTGGGATTGCTAACGATTTGTTCCTAGTCCGAAGAAATTTACTTTGAACGCTGAACAGAGAACAAACAAAAATATTTATGAAAGGAGCTTTACTTCAAAAGTTATCTGTTCATGGACAGAAAATAGGGGTATTTATATTGTTTCATGTGACTCCAGAAGCTTCTGAAAAATATGCTACAGTTGATAACAAAAACGGCAAACATCTAGTTGGATAATGACAAAATTCGTTGTCTCTTAAAATTATTTTGGCGACTTCCAAAAAGCGCTGATTATTCGAAGTTTTCTATGAATTATCAAGGGTTCCTAATAACAAATATATCTGATGTACGAATTTCAGTGTCATCGTCACTTGTTTTATTGAAGGGAAGGAAAATATACCAATAGTCATGGTGTTTTCGGCTGAATTTCAAAATATTCAACTTCGCAAAGAGCAAAGTTCTATTCGATTACATAATCAGTGGAAAAAACAAAACGGCAACATTGTAAAACAAATTAACAAATCAAAATCATCCTTCTGGATCATGCAGATACCTTGTACAAATGCATATATACGTTATACCCACTATTTAGCACCCAAATAGTATTGACTAAATAAAACTATCATTTGTATTTATACAATAAGTTGGAGATATACATATTTTCATCACTATAATTCAATACTATATCAGAATAAAAAATAAACTTACTTGAAGATCCGTATTGTGTAATTGAAGCGCTTCATAATCACGTATAGGAACCGAAGTAGGATATCGAGATTGACGCAATGCTGGGTGTCTGTAAGAAAAAAAAGAGGTGAGTAAAATGAAACGAATGTCATAACACTATTTGCTGTTATCTTCCCAGCTTTACCTTATGTGTGGAAAGGTTTTCTCATGGACTGAAATCGGCTAGACAAAAATTTAACACTAAGAAGCAGTGGATGATAACTGAGTAGACGTGTTTAAGCAATACATTAACAAAGTATACACTCTACATATCAAGGAATGGGAACTCAGAATCTTCAAATAACTCATGCCACCTACCATTTAAACCACTGAGTTAGTCATCCAATCACAAACAACGCAGAACCAGATAAATATGCGTATCGCCACAAAATGTCACACCATATAATCGACAGTAACAGAGATAGTAGGAAACATTCAGCGTAAACAATACGAGTCGATTTATGCTAGACCACCACTGAAAACCTGGATGGGCGTTTCATCTTAATACTAGACTCCTTAGTACTGTGTACCCACGAACCTGCAAGCGAAACTTGAAGCCAGGACCTTCGGCCTCGCGCGCGAACCCTTAACCTCTAAACCAACCTACGTATTAAATACAACAAAGACGATAACAACAAAATTCAGCTTTTTCCAACTTACAAGGAATCAATAGAATCTGACTGAAGTATTTCTTGACGTACTTTTTCAATCCAATCATCATGCTCATCATTTGACTGTAGATGAGTGTTATTATTTACTTCAGAACACAATTTAGTTGATGAAGCAGTTCCATTCTCATGATTACAAATCTAAAGAACAAATATAAAAAGAAATTAGTTGGAGTAACATTGGACACCAAATACCACTTTACAGTTTCTCTTTATCCTGGTCTCAAGTTCCTCAACGGTACTCATCTACAACCTCATCAGTAATGGAACTCAGGACAGAACGCTTAAGTAATAGAACCAAAGTGAATATCTGCATCTAATCGTATATTTCAAACTTCAATCAATTAACAACATAGAATAATGATCATTCAACGACACTAGTGATGACCATTCCACTACCGACATGTCAAACACCAATCAAAATTTCTCACTTAGAACTTTAGAGACATCTTGAAATAAGTCATTAGTGAGCTGACTACCCATTGGTTACTTGAAGGAATAGTACTACTGATCAGTGAAATTATTAGTTCTCAAAAATAGATATTAGAAAAAAATAAAAATCTTAACAAAACCTACATTAGTATTGGTAGTAGTGTTATTAAGTGAATTGTTTTCATTGAGTTTTATATCACATTGTACATCGACATCATGACGAGAAACCATTGATTGGGTTGATGTTGTAAGAGGTGTATCGACCACTTTATTAAGTTCATGTCTAACTTCAACTGTATTATTATTATCTGTTAAACGCTTGAATTATAAGTAGAAGATAACATGTGACAATTTAAGTTTTTTTAAATAGAAATAATGCAATACATAAAAAGAATACGAAAAGGACTGCTTTTTTAAAAAAGTACAAGTTAGATAGGAGATGAAGATGACATCGAAAAAAGCACATCCACTATCTCGCCTCGCTGAGGAGTCCCACAATAAGACGAGACGGCCGTCCAGTGCTTCCAGGTTTTCCATGGTGGTCTAGCTTCAGTTGACTCATGATTTCAACTATAAAAACAAATGCCCTAGTATGGTCGAGGGTGAGAAGAGTCCGCTCTCCCTCTCAAAATGCTTACATATAGCAACACTTATACAGCCACTCATAAGGTGGTCCGATTTTAGCGATTAGGTTGACTAATATTCTGGCTAAAATCTGGGAGACGGATGTAATCCCATCCGACTGGACACAATCACTGATTGTCCCAATATATAAAAAGGGGTCAAAATCATCCTGTAATAACCATTGAGGGATTAGTCTGACCAACATAGCATCTAAAATACTAGCCTCAATAATTATCGGGCGCCTAACTAAGACTCGTGAACTGCAAACACGAGAAAATCAGGCTGGCTTCAGACCTGGTCGTGGCTGTATCGACCACATATTCACCATTCGTCAAGTTTTAGAGCACAGACACGCTTATCGGCGTCCGACAATGATAGTTTTTCTTGACTTGAAAGCAGAATTTGACTCTGTGGATCGAAAGGTTCTGTGGCAATGTCTGTCATTGCAACGTGTACCTGAGAAGCACATAAACCTTGTGAAGGCTCTTTACTCGAACACTACCAGTCGAGTGAGAGCTTATGGCGAACTGTCATGATTTTACAACCTCAAGTGGTGTCCGTCAAGGCTGTCCACTATCCCCATTTTTGTTTAACTTCATTATAGACATGTTGCTGGAAATAACACTCTCTTCGACTGAATTTTCAGGAATTGATCTCCTACCAGGGGGACCACTAAGCGACTTAGAATACGCAGATGACATAGTCCTGTTTGGTGAAGACGCTGGCAAAATGCAGAGTCTTCTGTTGGAACTCAATAATAATGCCAGGATGTTTGGGATGCGATTCTCCCCATCCAAATGTAAATTGTTACTCCAGGACTGGCCTGCATCAACACCTGAACTAAGGATAGGGAGTGAAGTAGTCGAACGCGTTGACAACTTCACTTATCTTGGAAGTCTGATCAGTCCTAATGGGTTGGTGTCTGACGAAATCTCAGCACGGATTCGAAAAGCTCGTTTGGCTTTTGCCAACTTACGTCACCTATGGCGAAGACGAGATATCCGTCTATCAATTAAAGGACGAGTATACTGCGCAGCAGTTCGCTCTGTTCTACTTTACGGTTGTGAAACATGGCTATTAAGAGTAGAAGATACTCGTAGGTTACTAGTATTTGACCACAGATGCCTTAGAAATATTGCTCGCATCTGCTGGGATAACCGGGTAAGTAATAGTGAGGTTAGACGCAGGGTATTAGGGAACGATGGTAAATCAGTTGATGAGGTGATAAATCTTCATCGACTGAGATGGTTGGGCCACGTGTTACGTATGCCTGAACACCGATTACCACGACGCGCAATGCTGAATAGTGTAGGAGATTGTTGGAAGAGAGTTAGGGGTGGCCAAGCAAAAACGTGGCATCAGTGCTTGAAGTCATTAACTTATAGTCTGAGCCATGTTGGCAGATGCAGACTACCTGGTTGGGGTCCGCGTGACTATCGTAACCAATGGTTGGAGACTCTAGGTGACATGGCTCAGAATCGATCACAATGGAGTAGGTGTATACACTCTTTATCTTCCTTTAAACCTTGAGACTAAAATTGCTTCATATCTCTCCTCCTTCCTGTACTATATCCTTATATACAACCTATAATTTATATACTACTACCACCACTAAATTAATTACTTCTATGAACCCGGTGTTCATCTTGTTGTGCTAACGAGGTATGGCAACTTGGACCGATGCATAAATGTGCCTGGTCCTACGTTGTAGCTGACTTTGTGGGTACGGAGCATCCACCTACGAGAGTTGGAAAACCCTGATTCAAAACCAACGATGCATGTGAGTTAAAGGGCCTGAAGAGGACAAATGGCTTATGAACATATTTCTGATCATTGGCCAACATGGGACCGCATCTGATAACACTGCTCCACCTCCTAATGGATTAGATGCCTAGGTCAAAAGCTCAGGGGGTAAAACCCTCAGAAAAGCACCTGCTTTGGCTTGGGCACATGAGCAGTTTCCTAGCCCACACGCAAATCAAGTGACGAATACTGCTAGAAAATCTGGGTATCTTATGTGAGCCATACTCAAAATGGAGACCGTAGGTAACCCATTTGAAACTTTCTAGTAACATGACTCAAAATCGTTCAGTTGTGTGGATGCTTTTACCTTTCATCTTGAATTTACTTCACATATATATTTCCACTTTATTTTCACAAACTACATTCTCAATGTTTAGTCCTTCTTCTTGTCAATGCTACTGCACTATTTTGATCTCTTGTTATTTACAGCTGGTTGTGCTAATGTGGTACGGCGACTTGGATCAACGTATATCTGTATCAGACTTTATGTTGATAATATCTGTGTCTATCTGACAATCTATTTTCAACTAGTAACTATTGTGAACGTAGTAGTTATTAATGTATCCTTAAACTTGATGTTTTCTTCCACTCCTCAAGCTACAATGAACATAACATTTTATTTACTAAGGGCATAACTTTATTTTAACCCATCCTTCATGCATGTCAAACTTATTCCATAGATGTAGACGAATATTCACTACATTGACGATATAACAAAAATAGTGAGTACAAACGGAGAATGACAACACTGGATTATTACAAAACTCTTACAACTCTTTGATGTTCATCGATTCAATACATTGTATAATGAGTACAATATACGCATAGATATTTACAGTGTAAAATTTCATAATGATAATGCAAAGGTACTGTAATGCCTCGTTGACAAAATGTGAAACTACAGTAAAAGTATTGATTATGTATCTCTTTTGGAACGCAGATAAATGAAAAGTTGTTATCGAAACTAGTTAATACAAATCAATAGTGAATTATGTTATCGATTGTTCATATGATTCGAATTACAAATTACAACTAGGAGGATCAAGAGCATTCGACATTCAAGGAAACAACATTGAATCCTCATTTTTTAAAAATAGTTCACTTTTACTATAAACATTTCAATCACTAAACTTGATAATGATTAAAATGAAATACTACCAACTCACTTTTAACTCCAATTGTAATTCACTAATACGATTCTTAAGTCTTGTATTCTGACGATCATAGTCTGAGATAGTTTCCTCAAAATATGCTAATTTTTCAGAATGACTTTGTTCCATTTGTTTTAACTTTGTTAATGTTTGATCTATGAATTTTTGAAAAGAAATTACATGCAAGTAAAACTGCCTAGAGGGTAATTTACTAGACAGATGGCTAATCATTGTGTAAATAATCATAAGTCTGGTCTATCCTTACTCCCTTTTAGATCAACTATAAATTTTAGAATAAACAAAAGATATTGGATTGCGAAACATGATATTTCCCCCAAAAAAATCTCAACTAGAATCAATAAGAAAAGGAATTATTAAAACCATCAAAGAGGATTTGTAAACAGCGCGCAGAAAGTTGAATTTGACTCTTTGAAACTTGGATTCTCGTTGGTTTAATTTCAAGGAAACCATTGAATTTCTAATAAATCCAAACCAATGTTTTTACTATATCATTATCAGCTAGAGATGCAATGAAGTATCTTATGTTGTCTTTGTTTTTTAAATTGCCATAGGCTACTGTTATGGTGAATTGAACTGTAATGAAATAAATGAGGTTATCAAATAATCTTAAATGTTACCACACAATATTAATGCTGTTACTGGTAATTATTTGTCAGAGTTCCACGGTAACATTTTAACCAAAAAATGTATGTATTACGTATGTTCATCCAAAAAAACGTCAACGAGCGAAGTTGTCTGGTAAAAGAGTAGGTTGAGGGCAAGAGGGAGCCAAGCCTAAATATGGCATCAGCCCATTGAGACACTAATTGTAGGAACTGAGCCATGTAGGCAGGTTCAGACTACCTGGTTAGAGGCCGGGTCATTATCGTGGCTAATGGTTGGAGACTTTGGAATCACTCTTTAACTTCCCCTAGACCCTATGCTTATAAATCCCTTATAAAAAATTTTCAACTTTTTATTTCACTAAATAATGTTTTCGCGAATCCCACCATCGATGTTCTATCACTTCTATTACCAATAATACTGTTACTACATGTATTATTCTGCTAATAACCCTTACAATTTCATCACACTGTACTAATGGAGTTTAACAACTTGAAATGATGTACATATCCGTCAGGTTCTACGTTGTATATAACTGACTGACTGACTTAATATTTTCAAAAGCATTTATTACGATGGATTGTTCGGAACTCAACCATAAAGTTTACACAAATCACCAATGTAACGTAGTTCAAGAATTGATAACTTTATAGACCGATAGACCACTGAGCCGGCATTCAACGGTGTTAATGTCGAACTTCAAGCAATCCATGGTTAAGTGCTCCGGCGCGAGACTGGTAGGTCCTGGGTTCGAATCTTGCGAGGTGGGATCGTGGATGAGCACTGTTGAGGAGTCCCACAATGGGACGAGACGGCCGTCCAGTGCTTCCAGGTTTTCCATGGTGGTCTAGCTTCAATTGACCCATGATCTCAACTATATAATATAGAATATTTATTAAACATACAAGTCAATAAAAGTTCACAGACACATCCATCGAATTACCATTACTACTTAGTGTCATACACCCAACTCCCCTAGATAATAATAATAAATAATAGCTAGCGGTAAACAAACCATTTTCAATTTTTTGTTGTGCAATCACTTCACGTTCCTTAGTTGATAATTTCTGTTCAAATTCTCTTGTCATTTCTTGAATACAATTTGCTTGTTCAGTTTTTAATAATTCTATTTGCATTTGATAATCTTCGTGAATTTCTGATATGGAATCACTAAAAAAGAAATTATTCCAAAGGTAAGAAAAAAATCTTTTTATTCTCAACAGTACCAAAACGGTTTTCCGATTCCTTGAAGGGTGATACTTATGAAAAGATCTGAAAAAAACTGAATAAATAAAGACCTTGGCAACTTAAAGGCGTGACCGCATAGCTTAAGAGACAACTGTTTGAGGTCAGTCACCTACGGACATTTCGGGAGTAGTTTTTGATGTATTAGCTTCATATTTTGAAGGCCCTATAACTGGCGATGTAAATCTATAGGCAACTTTTGGTTTGTCATTTTTGTGATAATCTTTTATAACCTGCTCCTATTGCTGTGACGAGACAGTATCTCTGCGGATGCTACTTATCGGAGGAAGCTACTTTAAGGTAGTCACACCCATATACCGTCAGTAATAAGACCTACGACCAGAAGACGAGTTTATTGAGAGGCAGTTGGCTCCGTTCTACTTTATGAGTGCAAAACATGGCCATTAAGAACATGGGACATGTTTTACATATGCCCAGCCACCGCCTACCTTGACGGACGACGTTTGCCAGTGTAATAGTAGGCTGGAAGGGAGCTAGTGGTGGTCAAACCAAAATATGGCATCAGTCCATGGAGCCACAAACAGTTGGACCAAGCCATGTCAATAGGTGTCGACTACGTAGTTGAGGTTCATATAACTGTCGTAACCGATGGTTAGAAATTTGAAATGATATTGCTCGAAAATTATTTGGAATGGTGCAAGTGTATCTATTCTTCATCGACTGAGATGGTTGGGCCAAGTGTTGTTACGTATGCCTGAACACCGATTACCACGACACGCAATGCTGACTAGTGTAGGGAATAGTTGGAAAAGAATTAGGGGCGGCCAAACCAAAACGTGGCATTAGTGCTTGAAGTCATTAACTTATAGTCTGAGCCATGTTGGCAGATGCAGACTACCTGGTTGGGGTCCACGTGAATATCGTAACCAATGGTTGAAGACTCTAGGTGACATGGCTCAGAATCGATCACAATGGCGTAGGTGTATACACTCTTTATTTTCCCTTAAACCTTAAGATTAAAATTGCTTTATAACGTTCTTCCTTCCTATACTATATCCTTATATACAACCTATCTTTTATATACTACCACCACTAAATGAACTACTTTTATGAATCCGGTGTTCATCTTTCTGTGCTAACGAGGTATGGCAACTTGGAACGATGGATATATGCGCCTGGTCCTACGTTGTAGCTGACTGACTGACTTACCCCAAATTCTGAGATTGTAAATTCGCCATAATTCTTTTTTACTTTTATTCTACTAATTTACATCTTCTCAAATCGTATCTTTGGTGCCTAATCTTTCCTATTACCACTGATGTTACTATCTCTACTATTCTAAGATTTGGCCTGATGATTTCATTTGTCTGTGCTAATAGGGTATGTCAACCTGAACCGATGTACATACATACCAGGTTCTACATTGTGACCATCTAACAATGTCGGAACATAATAAATAAATGAATAACAACGGTATTTACTTTACTCACCAATTGTGATCCCACAAGTCTTGTTGATTCTTTTTAGAATTATCATTAATTTCCAGATTCATTGATTCTAATTCCTCAATTTTTATTTGTAATTCTTCAAGTGATTTACATTGATCTGCATACTCTAATTGTAATTGTTTTAATTTTTCTTCAGTTCCATGTAGTATATTTTGTAATTCAATTTCACGACGTGATGGAGTAGCTGATAATTTTTTACTAGTTTCTAACTCTTGTAAAACTTGTTTTAAACGATTTCTCAATTCCTATTATTATTTTACCCCAGAAAAAAACAGAAGTGTTTAGCGTATTGATGTAACTAGTAAAAGGGTAACAGTATAGTATATTTTACTTAAAGAATTGAATGTTATTTCATTGTTTAGACAATCACTAGGAAGGACAGGAAATTTTCAATTTATTCGAAAAATTGATAATTGACTATGCAGGGAGGTGTTTTGATGTAGGTTTGTTCTCTGAGCTGGATGATTTGGTCGTGGAGCTTTCATCGTCCTTCTGAACGACATCATCACCACACACTTCGAATAGAAGTGAAGTGTTGGAATTTCTCCACATGTGATTCACAGCTTGTCCTGTGCACCTCGATGTTGATTGGTTCTTATTGACCTTAAATCTGTCATTGTTTATTTCTTCGTTTTGGTTGTATCTCCTATTGGTTTGATTTTTGCTCCTATGTTTCTGCATAATTTTCTTGATTGGTTGATAAATTGGATTGATTTCAATGTGTTTGTTTTTTGCTGATTGACCTGAGTGCCAAGCTTCTAAAAATTCTCTGGTGTTTTTGGAATTGCCTCTGTCCAAAATCTGCACATTTTCCCAGTCGAATGTATGTCCGTAGTCGTCCACGTGTATTGATATGAGTGAAGAAATGTCGTGGCGTTTGACTGCCAATTGATATTTATGCAGGCAAGGTTTGTGCTGATGATATATATATATATATATATATATATATATATATATATATATATATCGCTTCGTTTCTCTGATTGTCCAGATCAATTGCTGTACAAAACATATGTATTTAAAAACCCATTCTGGTATTGGACTTATATAATTCCGTTATCCACCAACGCGACTCAAATCGATGATTATATACGAGGATTCGCGACATATGTTATTTCGACAGCAATCGTTCAACAACTATCATTCATGAGCCACTAAAAGAGTGCCCGTTATCTAGATATCAACGAAGAATCAATAAATCTCCGGATCTGCTCTTTTCACTATTGTAGTCAAGTGAACTTAAAAGAAACACAGTATCAAAAAGGGGAGGTGTTGGAGATATGGAGACCTAAAAAAAACTACATTTATGAAAAAATAAATTAAAGAATTCACAAATTGATTTAAAATGAACTTCGTTCATTGAATTGTTCAGTGTATTGCTACATATATCGATATATCCAGTATGAATCTCGTTATTTTATATTCAATGTATTTTCATTGCATTAATTAATACACTGCAATTTGTAATCACTGAAAAATACCCCATTTATAAATTATATTATTATCCTAATTAATAACTGATCAAGTTCAGTTTTGTCCTTTCAAACATATCATCATTACTCTAAAAAATATGTTTGATTTTAACACCGATCGAGTAAATAGTCTAGTAATGTTAGACCTACTGTACGGAGCTGAAACGTGGAGAATTACTACATTCATCATCAAGAAGGTAAAAGCATATATAAACAGTTGTCTACGCAAAATACTCAACATTCACTGGTCGGATACTATCAGCAACAGTGTTTTATGGGAGAGGATATACCAGCTTCCAGCTGAAGAGGAAATTAGGAAAAGATGTTGGAAGTGGATAGGACATACATTAAAGAAATCACCAATGTGCATTACAAAGCGATCCCTAACTTGGAATCCGGAAGGGAAGCGGAAAAGAGGAAGGCCAAAGAACACATTACGTCGGGAAATAGAAGCAGATATGAAAAGCATGAATAGCAACTGGAAAGAACTGGAAAGGAAGGCCCAGGACAGAGTTGGATGGAGAATGCTGATGAGCGGCCTATGCTCCTCGACGAGGGATAACAGGCGTAAATAAGTAAGTAATGTTAGACCGTAGAAAAAGACACATCATAATACTACTGTTTGTTTGAAATGAAAAAGAAAAGAGAAAACTTACTGAATTCTGTTGTTTCATTTGTTTTTCTTTAGTGAAAACAGCAGTATCAACAGCATTTTTTAAAGCTGTTTGATGTTCAACATTCAATTGTTCAATACATTGAGATTTTTCCATTTCATATTTTTGGTTTAGATCGTTCAATTCATTTGTATATTTAGTTTTGTAATTTTCCAACATATTTGCATGTTCTAATTGTACTTTCTGTAATTCACTTTGTAATTGTTCATACTTAGTATTTAGTGAAGATACAACTTTATCGGATTCTTCTAATGTATTATTAAGCTGAATTTAGTGGATCAAATAAAATAATGAATAAACTAAGAATGTTACGTATATTTTAAACTGAAAGGTAGTGTTTGATAGGAAAAATTCTATGAAAATCAAATCATCAATCAATTGCTATACTGACCGAATAACAAAACTGAGTGGTTAACCAGATTTAAATTTCGCAGTAGGTTAGAAATCAAACAGAGGTTCATGTAGTTGGCATTAAGTTGAACGATGTGAGTGTATGGGCTAGACAATAATACAGTTACATGGTTCAGTATCGATTGCAGTGATGCATATATATAGGCTTTTTTATCGCAAAATGCTTACATTTTTCATTCTGTGAATGTGTTCATTTTTCCCGAATCACATTGCGTCTTACATTTTCTACTACCACTGATATTTTTATCACCTCTAAGAATCCGACAATTGTTAATTTTATTTGGCTACCTCGGTATGATGTGGCAACTTGAGGCGGTGCACGTACGTCGTTTATGACTGACTGGTTGACTGAATGATTAAGTTAGACCACGTAGTTAGCTAAACTAAAGCATGAAAGTAATATGATGACCAAGAATTAGACCTAACAACCAGGTTATAAGTTATTGGAGAGTGAGTGATTAACATAAATGGTGTTCCTCTACTCATTTATATGATTTAATAATGTTTATTTTATAGGTATTATTACCAAGGTTCAACTTGATAATTTCTAATAAACTGATTGTTGGGTAGATTGTTAGTCCTCTAAATAAATAGCTTAAACTGGGTCATGGAATACCAGAAAATTTAATTTTCTACTCATTGGGATATTACAAATACATCATTATGTTTACTTTTGTAGTGATGATTCACACACGACCGTGTTATTTTACTAGATAAAAAAAAACTGTTCTTCCGGCTAGTGGTTACTTCATTTAAAGGTTTGAACTGAAAATCTGATTGCGTGAGTTTTCATCATTCGACTACATAATACAGCTTCATTAATCCATTGAAATAATCGAAATCTCATTCATGAAATCATAATTCACAACAGTAGGACCTAAGAATTGAAAGTTAACTCATTTAATCAATAAACAATTGGCCCATAGAACAGTTACAACCGGTTTAAAACCATACAAAGGTGTTCTTATTATTTAAGATCATTTCGTAAATGAACTATCTCGGTTCATGGTGACAGTTATTGATGAGACATTCACAGTGAGCTGTAGAACATCAGGCAACACAAAACTAACAGCATTTATTTTAAACTGTAAATCTAATATAATACCACAAAAATTAGTCTTTGGATTCAGTAAGTTCATAATTAGTAATAAAGGTTGTGAACAACAGATATGAATCAGTCTAAATTGCTACAATTTATATCGGCATAGCTTCCAAAGACATCTTTTTTTAACAGTTGGATTCACGAGTTGATCTAAGCTAGACAACCATTGAAAACCTGGAAGTACTGGACGGACGTTTCATGGATCGATTGAAGTTAGACATTGACACCGTTGGATGCCGGCTCAATGCTCTAGAGGTTAGGCGTTCGTGTGCGAGACCGAAGGTCCTGAGTTCAAGTCCCGCACGCGTGACCGCGGATGTGCACTGTTGAGGAGTCCCACGGCCGTCCACTGTCTCCAGGTTTTTATTGGTGGTTTAGCCTTAATCGACTCATGAATTCAACTATTAAATTACTACAATCTTCACAAACCCCTATTCTGATAAAAATCATACAGACAAAAGTTCTAATATTAATTGGACAGCCATTGACAACCATAAAAGGACTAGATAGCTGTTTCTTTCTATTAAGGGATTCATCAACACCCTTCATCCACAACCCCATTGAGGATCGAACTCAAAACTTTCAGGCCTCCTGGAGAATGTTTAGCTTTTTAACCACTGAAACCAAAAACCAATAGCTCATGAAACAAGTGTCCAGTGCTCTCCAGTTTTCAAAGGTTGTCCAACCAAGAACAACCTCTACAAAACCTCCAATAATAAAAAAACAAACTAACCACAGTTTCTTTTTCTGCTAATTCATTAGAAAGACGATTAGATTTTTCTGTAATCAACTCCAATTGTTTATTTAAATCACATATTGTTTGTTGACTTTCTTCAAATAATTTTAATTGATTAGTATAATTCTCTTTTAAAATGAATTCATTCTGTTTAAGCTCATCAATTGTTTGATTTGCTTTGATTAAGGATCCTTCACTTGAATTGAATTTTTCATCTGTCGATTTCTGATCGGCTGCCAATTTTTGATTATCTAATTGTGCTTGAATTAATTGACTATTTAATTCATTACAATGATTCTTTAATGAATCTAATTGAACATGAAGTTCATTTATATTTAATTGATGATTATGTACAATGGAATGTTTAAAATGATTTATGCATTCTTTATGTAACGTCTGTGAACGTATATCCAATATATCTAAATTATTAAGATTCTTGAAAAGATGATCTGTAGATGTTGTATAAGATTTTGAATTTAACCAATTACACAATAATTCAAAGGAGTTTACATTGGGTTCAGCATTGAAATCGGTAAATATTAAATGTTCAATTGTATTGAACGATTCATTTAAAGTTTTGGCATCTAATTCAATTTGGTTGTATTCATTGTATAGGTCTTGTTCATTATTAGTATTATTATTATTATTTTCGATGTCAGTGTTGTTCAGATTTTGTTTAGATTGATTCATTTCAGTTAGTATCCAAGTAATTTTAGATTGACATAGTTTGATTAAACTTTGATATAATTGACGATGATCATTACATATGAAATTATGAATTGTTTGATTGAATGAATTGTACTTATTCAATGTTAAATGTAAGTTATTTATCTGTTGTACCAAAAAATGTAATAGATGAAAAAAAACATGAATAAAGTTTGTCTGTTAAAATGAGAGAAATGTTTATGTAAACTCAGTCAGTCAGCCCGACTGTTGCCGCTACCTTGACGTGGTGGTCGGGCTTGCCTATCATGATGAACCGATCGAGCTATGCTGGTTGAAACAATCGTTCATCAAGGTCCTACTATGCCAGATAGGTCGGTTGAAGAGCGGTAAGACTAAAAGCAGCAATCCCAAGGTCCGAAGGCGAAGTCGTACTGCTGACTGTACAGAGGTGTGATGGCAGTAAGGTGTTTTGTTCAGACAACCAGCATAACAGCGATGCTGTCTTCCCACAATGAGGGGTGGGGTTAGGAAAGGTCGACCCTAAAAATGCACACCTCGCCTTATCCCACGGATTTCCGTCTCCGGCGGTCCTTTGAAGGTCCTTTGAAGAACGGAGCTAACACGTCATATATCGACGGCCTGTTTAAACATCTGGGCTACCTGTTCCTAACATCTAGATATTTCAACAAGTTATCTAGTTTCGTTTGTTTTAATACATTATTATGCCTATTAATCGCACAACCTATTCATGTGCGTTTCTGAAAAGTGTAAGACCTTTCGCTGTAAAGGTTACAGAAGGCCTAATCGGAGATATTGTGTTTGTTGGCAATATGCAGCGAGAAGAATGTACATTATCCAGATGTCGACTGACTGGGCTGCTAACTTCTAACTGGCGATCACTCAATATTTATCGTCAGGAAGGACGAAGAAGTAAGAAATGGAAACTTGTTGAAGTACTTAATGCTGAGAATTCTATATTGTACCAAAAATATAATATTGAATAAAGCCATTAATAATAATAAATCCCCCGCAAAAAGGCCGTGCGTGACCGGCCTCAAGCCGTTGTCCCTTAGGCACTGCGGTCACGCTCCCAGGTCGTTAAGACCAACACTGATCCAACTTCCTTCTCAGGTCCCTCAAGAAATACCCTTCTACGGTGTGAGCAGCCGGGAAGTGATATTAACCCTTATACCCGTTACTGCACACGAGACCAAGTTGGTCACATTCAAATCCTTCCTGCTTATGTAAACTAGGTGTAGATGAGTCGTTTATCGAGGAACATTTCTCGATGCATTATGAAACATTTCTCAGTATGACTTAATACATTACAATGAAGAAATAGGAAATGGAAGGGGTTTTGTGGAGATTTAGTATTTTCATAGTTGAAAGCGTGAGTCAGTTGAAGCTAGACCACCATGGAAAACCTGGAAACACTGGACGGCCGTTTCGTCCAATTATGGGACTCCTCAGCAGTGCGCATCCACGAACCCACTCTCGCGAGCGAGATTCGGTTAAGGGCTTCGGCACGAGACTGATAGGTCCTGGGTTCGAATCTCGCTCGCGAGAGTGGGTTCGTGGATGCGCACTGCTGAGGAGTCCCATAATAGGACGAAACGGGCGTCCAATGTTTCCAGGTTTTCCATGGTGGTCTAGTTTCACTTGACTCACGCTTTCAACTATAATAAATAGGAAATGGTCTAATATGTTGCATGTAGTAGGTTAACTTCGCCACATATAGTGTCAGATTTATAATCAAACCGTACCTACCGAGAAGTGTACGCAAACATTCTACTTTTCTATTGCAAATGTTTTGGTGAAAAGCAATATAAAGTCAGGTCCATGTTTACATTTATACCCCGAATAACTCAGTATACGCTTCTCGCACTGTGAAAATGGTTGACAAGAATTTTAATACCGTAAAGAGCGCCAATTCCCTCAGGACTACGAGTACAGCTTGCTGAAAAATGTCAACTAGCACAACATCAAGGTTGAACAGGGTCTCCTGCCGACTACCTTCAACCATCTAACGTGCGAAAACAGCTTGTTAAGTCACTTTTGGTGTTACGATTACTAGAACCCTTTATATCTTTGTATTCTTTCTCAAATTCTATTTTCTTTATTATCCTCGTCTTTCATCTTTCAGTTACTTATAATATGGTAATTTAGACCACCGTACTTTTTGCTAGACTCCACGTTGAAAATGACTGCCTGGTAATTATAAAGTTATGAAGATGTTTAAATTTTTAAAACTCTTTTTTCCTATAATTGACAATTTTGTTATTTTCCTTCTTTCTAACTTTTGAATGTTTATTTGTTAGCCGAAACTCCTCTCCCCTTCAATGAGAAACATCTTTCATTTCTGAAGTAGCATAATGTTAGTGGGACATAGATTGGATTAAAGCATGTTTCATGCATGATGGTGTTGCTGCGCGCTGATTGACTAATTCTAAACCGATCAGCCCGGGCATATTATTCAAGAAAAATCTATAACCTTCTTATGTATATACTATAAATATATGAACGTTATTTAAACTAGTGATTGCTATTCACTTATCATTATTATTTAGGAATAACTGGGTCGTTTATATAGCAAAATACAATTATAACAATAGATCTCGTCGGTGGTAACCTCCCCTCTTGGTTTTTTTAGAGCATTTTTGAACGTACCAACAAAACGTTCTACCTGACCATTCGATTGCGGATGGAATGGAGGTGTTCGGATGTGCCTGATTCTGTTCTGCTGACAAAATTCTGAAAAGTCTTTTCCGACTTCATCTGACGACATTGGAGTGTTTCGAATTGCCGCTGCTGCTACACTCCGTATTTCTGGAACCTTTTTACCTGTCCTTTTTGCATATGAGGTGGTGTCTAATGATGGACACGACACGTTACACACGCTGTTGATGGGCATATCCATTAATCCAAGCTTTTCTAACACATAATTATACATAATAATTGCTAGTTTGAATCAATCTCCTTCTTCAGTTTTTAATAAATCGTCTGACAAAGATTTATCTTTTGAGGGTAGGATCACCGCCAGAAAATTAACTAAAAAAATTACATAAACAATACACTATTAGAGATGAACACTTTTATAGAAAACAACTAACCTCATCTTGTTTCTTTTCTAATTCCATGTTTAAATCATTTACAACATCATTGCGCGTAACCAAATCACTTTTTAGAATTGTCAGCTCATTTTGTAACTGTTCAATAGAAGTTGCGTAGGTTTGAAAACGTTTACATGTTACCATAAGTACTGAATCAATATTGGTATTGATCAATGCAAGCCGCTGATCAGCAGTTTCAAGTATGTTCCAGATAGGATGTAATTTACTGCTAAGTTGTTCAGACTGCTTAAGAAGTAATTCACAAGCTTCATTTGACAATTTTATTAATTCGTATACATGTTGCTGATATTCAGATAAAGTATCAACATGTTCTTCTTCCATTGTCTTTGCAAGACGTGTATTTTGTTCAATTGATGAGTGCAACTGACATTGTAAATTCTCAATACGTTTATAAGCTTCCGTAAGTTCCGTTTGGATATTTTGTAGTTCCGTATTATGAGAAACTGATTCTGACTCACATTTATTAAGGAATTGAGTTTGTACACTTTCGAACTGATTTTTAGTGATATTCAAGGTTTGTTGAAGAGATTGAATCTAATTTTTACGGAAAAATATATATGGTACAGTTGGGTTAACACATAACCAGACCGATAATAAGATTATGAAAAACTAATGATAATTACACTTCAGAATACATCACTACTATGACATTTAGCATAGATACAGAGAAAGTAAATAACTAAAGAGGAAGCATTGCATCATCAAAAAGAACAAGTTCGTAAATTGTATTGAGGTCTATGTGATCGACACGTTATTTTAGGAGCGATTATATTGTCTAGTCTGATTACTGACTAAATTCGCTCTATGCCTGTAACACCAATGAGCCAGAGACTGATGCACCACGACAGAAAGATTAACCCCTATAAGTCCTCGAGCTATTTTCAAAACCAGTGTCCCATCAAAAGACAAAATGCACATCAAAATCACCCACCTGAGCTACAAATCTTCTTTACCATCTCAAAATCATACGAGCGTAGTACGCTTCTCGTTGTTCGAAAATGGGAGAATTTCGCCAAAAGGCAAGCTTCCACTCGAGAACAACTATAATTTCTCCACGAGTGCATTTGCCAGCATGTTCTACCAACAAGTGTAAGATACAGACCTCCAATCAACTGCCCATTAAGATGAAAAATAGCTGAGCAAAGTGGAAGAAAAATGGTACGTCTAATGATAACGGACGCACATTACAGGATCCGCAAATACCAACATGTCATAGAGGATCAAAAGATGAATCTACAACAAACACTCACATCAGAACACTTCGAAATCTTGACAACAGCCATCGAAATATTATGCAAACGACACAGAGAAAAAAGAAGAAACATCCTTAAAAAGAAAATAATCAAAATCTCAAAACCAACTATAGAAGAAAACACAAACAACTGCGTGGTCGATCTATCAAAACAACCACTAACAAACATAGAAGAACAGCTACTCCAAAAGGGATTAAACTACAATACAAGCGATGCCTCAAAACTAGAATTCTACGCAGCACTAGAGTCATCACTCAAAACTTCCGGAATAAGTGAGGAAACGCAACAGGAAATAAGACAATCTATAGTACCACTAACTCAACGGATGAAGGGCAACAACCAACTGACTTCACAAGAACAAACAGCTTTGAAGAAACTCAGAACCAGAAAAGATATTGTCATCGTTCCAGCAGACAAAGGACGCACCACGGTGATTATGGACAAAGAAGAATACATCAAGAAAGCCGAGGAAACACTCGAGGACAAAAGCACATACAAACCGATGGACATAAATCCAGTCAAAAAGCTAGACAATCGTATTTCAAAAACTTTAAACAAACTCGTCAAAGCAGGAGAAATAACGAAGCAAGATCAATGGAGAATGAAATCCAATGGACCAGTACTCCCTCGGTTATACGGCAGACCAAAGATACACAAACCAAACACCCCACTACGTCCAATTGTAGCACTACCAGGAACACCACTGTACAATTTATCAAAAGAAATCTCAAGAATACTGAAACATTTAATGGATTCGTCGAACCACTCCATCAAATCAGCCACACAATTTCTTGATCAGATTAAGAACATTCAAATCAACGACGACGAGCTAATGATATCCTTCGACGTAGCGGCACTATTCACTTCAATTGAACCAAGCTTAGCAAAAGAAACTCTGTCCTTGCTTCTAACCAACGACAAAAACCTCACGAAATACATGAAGCTTCAAGTCAAAGCCTACTTGAACTGATAGGTCTATGTCTAACAACATATTTCCAATTCAACAACAAAATCTACGAACAAACAAAATGGACGCCAATGGGATCACCAATATTAGGACTTATCGCAGAAGTGGTAATGCAAAGACTAGAAACCACGATTCTACCAGTGATCAAACCAAAAATTTGGATTCGTTATGTAGACGACATATTCGTCATCGTCAAAAAGGAGGAACCAGAAAACACCTACAGGCAGATCAACAACGTCTTCAGCGACATCAAGTTCACAATGGAACAACAGTCAAACAACAAGCTACCATTCTTAGATATATTAATCACCAGAACAGACACAGGAAAACTAGAGACTCAAGTGCACAGGAAGCAGACCCACACCGATCAAATTCTCAACTACAATAGTAACAACCCAAGAACTCACAAAATCAACTGTGTACAAACTTTTTTCAAGAGGGCGAGGACACACTGCAACACAATCACAGCACGAAAAAATGAAGAAAAACACCTGAAAACCATTCTTCAAAAGAAAGGCTATCCAATCAATTTCATCAAAAAGTACCAGTCGCACACATCATCAGAAACGAAATCAAGTACAGAAATCAACAAAAGGATCACCCTACCATACATAAAAGGCATATCGGAAACGACAACAAGGCTGGTGAAAACCTTCGGAATAGGTGTAGCCCACAAACCAACAAAGTCCCTCCACTCAATCTTATGCAAACCAAAAGATGAAATGGCAAAAGAAGACAAAACAAACATCATCTACAAGATAAATTGTACCAACTGCGATAAACATTACATCGGACAAAGAGGACGCCCCCTGCATCTTCGCCTACATGAACATCAATTAGCAGTCAAACGCCACGACATTTCTTCACTCATATCAATACACGTGGACAACTACGGACATACATTCGACTGGGAAAATGTGCAGATTTTGGACAGAGGCAATTCCAAAAACACCAGAGAATTTTTAGAAGCTTGGCACTCAGGTCAATCAGCAAAAAACAAGCACATTGAAATCAATCCAAATTATCAACCAATCAAGAAAATTATGCAGAAACATAGGAGCAAAAATCAAACCAATAGGAGATACAACCAAAACGAAGAAATAAGCAATGACAGATTTGAGGTCAATAAGAACCAATCAACATCGAGGTGCACAGGACAAGCTGTGAATCACATGTGGAGAAATTCAAACACTTCACTTCTACCCGAAGTTTGTGCTGATGATGTCGTTCAGAAGGACGATGAAAGCTCCACGACCAAACCATCCAGCTCAGAGAACAAACCCACATCAAAATTATAACGAATGCTAATCTTGAAAACAACGAATTCATTCAATAGACTTCAAAGTACCAACTTATAGTACTTAGAATGAAGTGAGTTTACCATTTGAATCTGTCACTTAATGAACTCTTAGTAATATTCATAGAAACATATTTTTAATCAGCATAATTACTAGCACAACTGGGCATTGAACTAAATATGCGTTATATAAATAGAAAAATAAGACCGTGAAGAGATAGGACTAGAAGAATGAGTACAATCGACCACAGTTCTATATCCAACGAATAGATTATAATTAACGTTAGGCTCCCAAATGCTCTGGTACGGCCGAGAGTGAGGAGAGTCCGCCCTCCCTCTCCAAATGCTCTTACATGGACACGCGTATATAGCCGCTGTCAGGGAAGTCCTACTCACTGCCTTCTCGTGGAATTACTGTTGTTTACGAAAGTGAGAGGACGAGAAGCGAATGTCCGGCGCTATAACCGGGTTGGCGGACACGGAAAGTCCACCTAGGGAGTTGGAAAACCCTCATTCTAAACCAATGGTGTACATGGGCTCCAGTATCCTGAAGGAACAAATGGCGTATGAACCAATCGTTGGTCACCGGCTACCATGGGACTGCATCTGCTTACGACGCTCCACTGCCTTGTGGACTAGACCTTCAGGTCAAAGGCTCTGGGTGTGGCCTCCTAAGAAAACCACCTCTTTCAGTCTGGGCACCTGGGCAGTATCACAGCCCTCACACAATTAAATGAAACTTTTTTGTATGACGCATATATATCTGATGTCCCCTTTGTACTAATATTTATGTGTTTAAATAAAATAAAATAAATATTGTATTTTGTAGATAGATAAGTCACATTCATAGTCAGATGTACATTTTCAAAATGAGAGTTTATGGAGAGTTTTATACTAGAACAAATAGAAGCAGATATGAAAAGGATGAATGAACAACTATAAAGAACTAGAAAGGATTCCCCAGGACAGGGTTGGATAAAGAATGCTGGTGAGGGGCGGCCTATACTCCTCCTCCATAAGGGGTAACAGGCATAAGTAACAACTTATAAAATGCAACTATTCAAACCCATATTTCCCATCTAAAAATTGTTCTTACTTCTTTAGATTGTTCATTTAATTCTATTTCATAATTATTTTGTAAATTATTCATTAATTCTTTTAATTGTTTTAATTCTTCATTAACAATGAATAATTCATTGGATTTATCCATTAATTTATTTTGTTCAATTTTCAATTGTTCATTATTATTTAATAATTGTTTATTTAAATTATTATATTCATTGAATAATTGTGAATATTTTTCATTTTGTTCATTTTGTTCATTTGTTAAATGTTCAATTAATTGTTTATTATTCGATACCATAGTTTCTAATTCTAATTTTACTTTTAATAAATCTGTTATTTTAACCTCTAATTCTTCTTTTGATACATTAGTTGATTCTAATTGATTTTGAACAGTATTTAATTGTAATTGAACTTCATTATATTTTAATTGTAAATCTGAATATTTTTTTACTTCTTTCGAATAATCATCATGGAGATTATTGATTTGTTGATTAAGTTGATCAATCAATAATTGTTGTTCTTGTTGTTGTTGGTGTTCCTCATTTGATTGTATTGTTGTCAATTGAGATTGTAAACATTCTATTACAGATTGTTTATTATTACAATTACATTTTAATTCCTGTATAGTTTTTAATGTATCATAAAGTAATAATTCAATGAATAATTTGAAATTTTCTAAATTTTGAATATTGAACAATGAATTTATTGAATCATTAAAAATAGGATATAATTCAATTAATTTTTCATTATTTAAATTAAATATATCTGATTTTAATTTATGAATTTGATTGAATAAATTTTGATAATACATTTTTAAATGTTCATTTTCTTGTTGAATATTTTGATAGGAATGTAATTCTGATTCCAGATGATCAATTTGTTTTAATTGTTCAATTTGATTAGATTCAAGGAGTTCAATTTTCAATTTGAATTCATTTAATTGTGTAGTTAGTTCATTGTTTATTGTTTGTAAATTGAGTAATTCTGAATTAGATGGTTCATTGTTTAATATGGTCGGATTGACTTGTGATTTACTTGAAGCTAATGTTGATTTCAATTTATTCACTTCATTATCTAGACGTAGTCTGATATCCTCGGAATCAGCTAGTTTTTTATTTAATTCTTCATTTTCTTGTTGAATATTTTCATAAGAATTGAATTTTGATTTCATATAATCAATTTGTTTTAATTGCTCAATTTGATTAGATTCAAGGTGTTCAATTTTCAATTTGGATTCATTTAATTGAGTAGTTAGCTTATCATTTAATGTTTGTAAATTGAGTAATTCTGGATTACATTGATTATTGTCAGATATTATTGTTGGATTAACTTCTGATTTACCTGATGCCAATGCTGATTTTAATTCATTCACTTCTTTATCTAAACGTATTCTGATATCTTCGGAATCAGTTAGTTTTTGATTTAATTCTTCTAGTTGACAAGATAATGACTTGATTTCATTAGACTGTTCATTAGTTTTGTTTATTATTTCATCGGAATGATGAATATAATTTGATTCTGTACGTACTAATAGTTTATTAGAAGACTCATTTTGTAGTATACCAGTCTCTTCGGTACTTGAATTACTGTAAAACTGTGCTTTTAAACATTGAACTTGTTCTTGTAATGCTGCTTGAGATAGTTTACTATCAGCTAATTCAGATCGTAATTTATTGATATTCTGTTGATCACACTGTAAAGAAAGAAAAAACAGACATTGAAAGAATATAGATTTCTAACAAAACATAGTGTATAAGATGTTAAATGAATTAAACATGTGTCTATATTGTAAGTTGATCGATAGGATTTAATCAGCGCTAAGGACTAGACAAACATTGACGTTGATAAATACTAATATTACTATTCATAGCGAAAGCCAGAGCGGCTTATGCCAATCTGGGCCATCTTTGGCGCCTTCGTGATGTTAGTTTGGTTGTAAAAGGTCGGATCTACAACGCATCGATGCTTGTGAAACCTGGCCTCTTCGAGTTGAGGATGTTAGACGAATCTCTGTGTTTGATCATCGTTGTCTCCGAAGGATTGCTGACATCCAGTGGCAACACCATGTTAGTAATGCAGAGGTTCGGCATCGTGTGCTCGGGCGCAGAGACGATAATTCAATTGGTGTCACCATCTTGAAATACCGACTTCGGTGGCTTGGACATGTTCCACGAATGTCGTCCCAGAGAATTCCACGTCGTGCATTATTTGGTATGAAAGAAAGCTGCAAAGGGCTAGCTTCTGTTGGTCGGTCACGACTCCCTGGCTGGGGTCCGAGAGATGGTACAACACAGTGGCTGGAGACGCTATCAGATATGGCTCAGAATAGAAGCCAGTGGCGAGCCTGCTGTAACCTTCTTTTACTTTCTTCATAAAGAGTGGTTCTAACTTTATTAACTGAAAGAGTCTTCTGGTTGTACATTTTAGTTCCCCCCATCATCACTCTTCGATTTTTTCGTTCTATTTTTTTCTTTTACATATATGCATCTTACCTCTTTCTCTTCCCATTCTCATTGTTTTTGTGTGGCGCATATATATCTGGCGCCCCTTTGTACCAATATGTATGTGTTTAAATAAAATAAAATAAACTGATTAATCAGTGTGAATAAAAATTTATTTACTTCAATAACAAATATTGGGATGTAATTTACAATAAATATCAAAAACTCTGACATACCTGCAATCGTAATGATTTGATAATTTCTTCTTTTTCAGATAAAAGTCGACGAAAATCTCGTTCCAATTCATCTTTGGTTTGTTTGTCTAGTTCAAGTTTCTTGTACATCTCATCTACAGATTTGGATGTTTTTGCTTGATGTGATGCTAATAATTGTTGTAGATTATTTCTTTCTGATTCCATAACTTTATATGCCTCTACAAGCTGAATCGCATATTTTAAAAATGTGAATCAAATCAACAGTGAATAAATAAATATATATCTCAAGATTCTAAACCAGAAAGCATAAATATACATTGGTTGGTGGTTAGATGATTGGAGGAGGCAGTCAGTAGAAAATCCTGGATCTAGGTTTCGTACTACTTAATACTAGTCAGCAAGAAACCTACGTGGTCCACGATATCCTGTCAACCACCTTCACCTCCTTAATATCTCAACATAGTGGACGCAGTGTTGAGGCACTCAAACTAGTGACCACATGTGACCTGGCTAACAGGATTTACTCAGTACTAAAGAACTAGACAAAAAAACATTGAGAACTATGGAGTGATCAATCAATAGTTCATTTACTAAACATTGCAACATGCATTATGGAAAACAAACCATCACCTAATTCGATACGCCAAGCTCGTGAATGTAGGAGTAAGTTAAAGAAACGATTAGATGGAATAGTGAAATAGCATTGCCTATTGAATTTAATAATAACTGGTCTATCACATTGATAGGTTTAGACTTTATGTGAGGTCTGTATGACAATTGTAGACTATATTTAGAGAAATAGGGTTACTTTACCACATAAAAACCCATTCTTCTAGTTAGTGGTTTTCTCTTTGAAGTCATTTCGTTCGCCAGGTTTGAGTCAATAATTTTGCCAAGTAAGAAGTCATCACTCGATCACATCACATCATTACACTCATCTACCGATTAGTATTCTGTGCATTTATTTTAAGAATTAAAAAATTGATTCATTAAATCCTCACCCATAACAAAAGGTTATAAGTCCTGAAAACGTTACATGAAGAAAGCGTAATTTTGAGGACATCGAAGACAAAACTAAGTAAAAAATGAGGAGATTGGGTGGTTCTGACAAATACTATTGGATGTTAACAACTCTGATGACTGTTCTTCATAAGCTCTCACTGAAACAATAATTTGAGTAAATAGCTGACACATGATCCATATACTTCTTCGTTACGCCTTTTAATGACAAATATTTCAATAACACTTTTCAGTAGACAGATTCGAATACGGCCTTAGGGTCAGGGAGTACAACTATAGTTGAGTATCTGTAAATATCCGTGCTCTAAAACCCTAAAAACGAAGGTTTGCTCGATACATAAATTTATTATTTATTTATTTAAACACATAAATATTGGTACAAGGAAGCACCAAATACATATGCGCCGCACAAATCTCTTTCGATTTGTGTGAGAGCTGTGATACTGCTCAGATGCCCAAACTGAAGCAGGCAGATTTCTTAGGGGGCCACACCACGAGCCTTTGACCTGAAGGTCTAATGCACAAGGCAGTGGAGCATCGTAAGGAAATGCAGTCCCACGGTAGTCGGTGACCAACAGTTGGTTCATACGCCATTCGTTCCTTCAGGATACTGGAGCCCATGTGCACGATTGGTTTGGAATGAGGGTTTTCCAACTCCCCTAGGTGGACTTTCCGTGTCCACATACATAAAGACCCAAGTCTAAAAGCATCATAACTAAATTGATGTTGAGTTGTCATATTAAAAACTATCCTCTTGTGCTTAAAATTGGTGGGACGATCACTATTATCTGTTCTCTGCGCTCGGATGCCAAAAGACCTGTACAGGTGTGTTTTAGCTTAATAATAATCCACTTAATTGGGCGTAGAAATCACAATCTATGATTAGTACATCAGAACATCTACGATTTTGAGGCAAGTCAGAAAGTCTTCCATAAAACTAATCTATATTTTCATCCGGAGGGTGCAAAAGAGACTATGAAAAGGAAACGGGGTGTCCCTGATTCCTATTGGCCACGCCGTAGAAGGATACTTCTTGAGGGGTCTGGAAAGGTGTGACCAAAGCACTCGAAGGATAATCACTTTAGACCAATCATACAGCTTTTTCGTGGGTAATTTTTGATACATTAAGTCCTTACTTTAAAGCCCTTATAATAGGCGATGGAAAACTGTAGGGTGAGGTGTGATATTTCAGATCAGGGCACTTTTTAACCCCTTCTTTTTTGGGAAGGAAGCATTACAGTAGATACCAGTTGTTTAAAGAAAACGCTTTACTCACATCATACCTCAGCGTGATCTGTAGTACAAATTTGAACCCAGACCTTAAGTTGATACTTTTAGTTTTCTCGTTCTCCAACCGACCTGTCTACCACACTAGGCATTCAAGGAACAAGCGTTTCACTTAATATAGCTTTATTGGTTCATCTCGATGAGTATTCCTAACCACTGCTTCAAGATAGCAGCTGTACCCGGTACCTAATTTAGCTACAATCTAAACATATAACAGGGTTTGAAATTGCAGTTTAACGATTAGAAAAGTCGATCACTTAAACCATTAGTCAACAACATCATTAAAATAAAATAACTATATTCCTTTTAAAATCAACTAACCTGTTGATATTTAATTTTATAATTACGTGCCATTTGATAAACACGTTGACAACGTGATTGAATATCAGATGTTTCTGTAGATAACCGAAAAGTTGACGACATAACAGAACCACAATCTGAATCATCCAGTTCCCCGAATGGACCAGTACACTTTAACAATTTAACATTATCTGTTTCTTTTGATGTTGATTTGTTTCGAAAGGCATTACTATCACTGTTACTCTCAGTGATGTCATTAATGCGCCCATGATTACTTGCAACTGATGGTGAAGTTGGTTTTAATTGTACGGATGATGTTCGTGTTTCAAAAGCAATATCAGCATCAGTTCTCTCTGACTCACCCTATTGTACATTAATTTAGAATAAGAGGAATAAAAGATGAAATAATTGGTAGGAATTGGTTATTGTTATCATTCTTAAAATTACCAAGTTTTCGTGCAATTTGCTGTCATTGTAATTGAGAAAGCGTTTGTTCATGTCCCTAACTCCTATTTAAATTTTAATTGTCCCTTTCAATTAATTATTTTATTATCTGTTATCCATTATCATGTAAATAGTAACTAATTAATAAAGTTTATCTCTATTATTGCTCTTTTCCGAGGCAGAATACACCTACAAACGCTAACCCTTCTTCCAATTCTGCATTTGTAGCTACATCTCGGTTTTCTAGTAATCACATTAGATCTGTACCCATGTTAACAACAATCATCAACCCGCAATACATCTCCAGTACATGCACCCTTGTTTAAAAGATCGAATACACATTAATGAACGAAAAAAGAATAATAATGTACAAATCATGAGAATTACTCCATGTTCACTTTAGAAAGTCTCATTTATTACCAAAATTAAAAGTGGTCACATAGATACAGATAAAGATTACACTTATCAGTAAACGTTTACAGGCTGTTTTCTTCATATTTAAAGAAATTGACTGATATATATGATTATAAATACTGATTAAGATAACTGCTTAAAATGGAATTTTGTAGAGACGATCAATGTTAACTAGGAATCATGCATATATATATGTATATATATATATATATATATATATATATATATATATATCGATTGTTGCCTTGACACGATTTTCTATGTAAACACTAATTTATTAAGAACCCTGGATTAACGATATCTTGTTCAAAATCCAAAACGTTTAGCTAATAGAATTGAGATGATAAACACGACAAACAGTTGATTCATTTATTGGAAGCAGAATTTATTGACGGCTTTTCATAAAAATGAAGTTACTTTTAAACATGTAAACTGTTTAAATTGTGTCAACTGATTGAGAAGATCCTCTACTTTATAACAGAGATGGATCGAGAAAAATTAGACTTGCAGAATTACTATACTTGAAATTGATGTGTGGGCGAGAATGACAGTGATTGGTTGTCTTGATGAGTCAGACATTAGATAGGATGACAGGTGTTATGTGTGTTATATATATTTCCCTATCCTTATTATGTATTGACTGTTCCTTGATGTTGGACACTTATTGATTGACTGTTCTTTGTGTCGGATTTTGGTGTGGAAATATATTGACGTTATAGTCAGGCTAATCTCGTGTTCTTGATCTGAGTTCTGTTGAAGTCCTGTAGAATAGACACTGAGTGGGAATCTAGTGTAGATATTCGTCTAAGATAAATTAACGTCCCACATACGTGTAAGAAGTAAAAGGGCTGTTATAACAAGAACCCCTACTGTTATAACCAGCATCCTCTCTTTTATGTTTATAACAATTGGCGACGGCATACTTTAAGTTTATAACAGAAATTATTTTTATTTCTACTGTATAACTATTAGATATTTGGATTGGTGTGTTTTCCTATGCTTTAATAATTATGAGCCCTTGTTTAATTTGTTTTTTGTGTTTTACTGTTCCGGAGTGTCATTTATTATTCTCCTATTATTCCGATTTTGTATCACTTATGACTTATTCATGTACACATTGTAATTTATTTTTTATGTATATCACCATATGAGTTTTCGAGTGAAAACAATGAGAGAACAGATGTATCCGTACCCTAACTTCGTCTTCTAATTAAACATTAGGTTAGGAGGAGCTCAAAGACTAAAAGACGTTAAGATCTCGGTCGTTGAGTGATTGGTTGGGAGGGGTTACTGGTTCTATATAAAATAGGTGAATCTATCAATAAATGGACTTTATAATTAACTACTTTTCTTATTAGTAACCTGACCATGCAAGTAACGAAAAAAACTTATTTTCCGAATATATAACAAACCCGCCATCTAAACAATGCTTGGTGGTTTCATCATACGCGAACAATTATTGAAGACACTTATTATTATGTTATGTACTGTTTAAACGCTGATTACTGATACTGGTATGACTGTTATTGTGGCTGAGAAGTAAGCCGCCATTTTATTCTTGTCTAATGGAACAAGGCTGAAATGCCTTGACGTTAAGAAGAATGACAGATGACTTATGTAATCAGTCAGCTACAACGTAGGACCAGGAACATATATGCATCGGTCCAAGTTACCATACCTCATTATCACAACAAGATGAACACCAAATGCATAGAAGTAATTGCTTCAATGATAGTAATATATAAAAGAAAAATTGTGTATAAGGATATAACACATGAAGAAGGAATTAGTTCATAGAAAGAAAGGTATGCACCAAACACTGATTCGCAAATAACCAAAATATCTAACGTTACATATCATTCTAAATGTCCGATCATTTAATACATTTCAATGTATTATGCTGTCAGTATAAAATATTAATTAGTCAATAATCTAATGTGAGTATGCAATTTGCAAAATCAATAGACTAGGTGCTTTAACTAACACAAATATCTAAATTACTGGGTAGTATATTTTACTTTTCATAATAGATTAAGTACTTGACGTACTTAAGTATGTTCCACTTTCCCAAACCACATCGCAATGTCGTAGATCGATGCAAAGCAGATTGTTATAAAGTATACTCACTTCTTAAACAGATAAACATTACGCCTATGTTGGATAAGGTACAAGTTAGGGAAAGCTGGACAGACTCTTGTATTGATTACAAGATCTCCCCCTAAGAAATCTACCTGCCTCAGTTTGGGCACCTGGGCAGTATCACAGCTCTCAAGCAAATCGAAAGAGATTTGTATGGCGCATATGTATTTGGTGTTTCCTTGTACCAATATTTATGTGTTTAAATAAATAAATAGAAATAGTTCGGTTGACAAATGTAGTGATTGGGTTGATTCGGTAGTATATTACGCTGTTTGATAATGTCTGTCAGTAGGATTACAAAAATAAGGGCGTCAACACTCCAGGTTATCTTGACGCGAAAGGGTGGTTATTTGTACAGAACTAATGTTTACTGATTTAATTCCGGGGTGCAATTTATCCCTATTGTCAGTATCTGGTAAAAATATAACCCTTCAATTTTCAAACAAAACTCACTAGGAAACGTGAATAAGAAACTCGACTATCAGTGCTTCCACAATCTGATCGACAGCTCTGAAAATCAGAAAAAAAATTAAATCAATCGAGCTGAAGGAGTGGTGTAGATGATATACTTCACGTTGGTGAAGTATGTGTTAGTCTGATTGCCTATACTTTGAAACACCACAGAAACTTATCACGTGAATTGAGGTAAGTCCGAAAAATATTGATGATTTTAAAAGTAGCAAATAAAGGATTTAAAGTAAAGTTTCATTTATTTATTTGTTTGAACACAAACATTGGAACAAGGGTGCAACAAATACACATGCACCACACAATAACAGTGAGGATGTAAAGTGCGTATAATAAAAAGAAGAACAACAACGAACAGAAACTAATATATGTGAGTGAAATAATAATAACAATAAGAAGAAGAAGACAAGCAGTTAAGTTAGGAGAAAGACGACCAGAAAGAATTCTCTCAGTCAAGGAAGTTATGTTCGTGTTTATGAAAGTAAAAGAAAGTTACAGCAGGATCGCTACTTCCTTCTATTCTGAGCCACATCTGACCACACCTTAAGCCATTGTATTGTACCATCTCTAGGAATCCAACCAGGGAGTCATGAAGGACCAACAGAAGCGAGTCCTGTACGGCTCTCTTTCATACCACGACACCATGTTATGCACTGACCACCTCTCAGTTTTTCCAACCCGTCCCAGAGTTGGAAAATAATGCACGATGTGGAGATCACTGGGATGACGTTCATAGGGCATGTTCAAGCCGCCGAAGTCAGTGTTTCAAGATGATAACACCAACTGAAGTATTGCCACTATGACCAAACACAAGTTGCTGAAACTCGGTATCACTAACAAAGTGTTGCCACTGGATGCCAACAATCCTTCGAAAACAACAATGATGAAACACGGAGAGTCGTCTAACATCCTATAGTTGAAGGCCATGTTTTACATCCATAGAGCAAAACTGCTTTCACCGACGAGTTGTAGAGCCGACCTCATGCAACCAGACTAACATCACGAAGGCTTCAAAGATGGCTCAGGTTTGCATAATCTTTTCTGGCTCTCGCTATACGTGAACTGATCTCATCACTCACGCCACTATCAGCACTTACGCAATCATTCAGATACTACTTTTATCTGCTCACTACCCGGAGTGAGCGTAGATTCAGAGTCCCGCCAGTCTTGTAAAAGTAGTTTGCACTTTGATGGTAGAAAGCACATTCCATAATTACGGACACTAATTGCCAGCTGATTAAGTGCGTATTGCATGACTTGGATATCATTCCATAGTATAACGACAGCATCCGCATATTCACGTATTAAGTCTCCAGGCGACAGATCTACACTGCTATTATCTACATCAACCAGAACTGTTTCCAGAAAGTTATTGATGGAGAAGTTGAAGATAAATGATGAGACTAGGCAATAATTCATTGCTGATCAATGCTGAAAAATGTGCAGGGGCCATGAATTAATGTATGCTCTAATTGTCTGTCTCAAACTGTATAAGAAGAATCTACTTAAATCTAACAATGAAAATTATTATGCAGATGGATAATACCCAGTATAAACAAAAATTCCGTCAAATGAAGGGTAAAAGCAAATTAGTCAAAAATATGATTGAAGGGATAATGTCAAGTGGAATTGCTTGTGTTAATAAAACATGGAGACTGGTATGATCATACTGGGTTAGGCAATACTAACAGTTTAGTAAGAGCTGAAAATGTCCCGGCATTAGGAATGCGAGTTATATTTAGGAGGTTTTAACTCATTCTTGTAGAGACCATGCACATTTCACCAACAATTTTTGACCACTTGATAGAATTAATCAAGTAGTCATCCTTAGATCCACTAATGCTACAGTCTTTCGTGCAAATAATTGAGCTCGTTTTAACGTTCAGAGCTTTAAAACTTTTAGCTACAGACAATGACCGGACGATTATGCGACAAATATGTCCAGCTTACTAATTCAGTTGCGTGGAGCGTCAAACAATAACTTCGAAGCTCGAAAATCCTTTAAAACAACAAATGAATCCAAAAAATGCGAGCTACATGAAAATGATTTAAGACAGAAAGTCCTGGACTTTGGCAATACATTTGCTCACCCATGTGGCTAAATAGCATCTCGGCATTAAATCTGGTGTTAGTTCATGATAAAAAAACTAACTTGAGTTCTTAACCCTAACTCCTAACTTTAAATCCTAGTAATATTTACAACCCTCTTTTTACCCTAAGAAGCAGGTGAATTTTCTCAGTCACTTTAGCATCGGTTAGCGGTCGTTTATGAATTATTAGTCAATCAGTTGCAACGCAAAACGTTGTACGTATATACATCCATCCAAGTTGCCACACGAGTAATAATCATACCCAATGGATCTAAAAGCCAGTACGATGAAACTAACGGAGCCACTGCAAATATTCAGTATTCTTCCGTCAGAATAAGAATAGCATTCCAGATTATGAACCACTTACTTCGATAGCACTTACAATAATTCAATAATCATAAGTATCCGACTACAAAAAAAGCATATTACACGGCATTAAGTACACGTGGAGCGGATGGCTTTAAGTAAATCTCTATATGTTATACAAAAATCCCCGGACCAATAAAATTCAGAGATTATGTTAGTATCAATTTAAGCAGAAAATCATAACGTCTCGTATTCAACATGGAATATGGTATTCAACAACTTTTATTCATACTTTGATGAATAGGTCAACCACATATGCGATAACCAAGAGTGAGATACTATTTACCTTGTTTGTTCCTTCCTTTTTAACAAGACCTTTGAGATTACTGAACATCACCAACTGAGTAACACAATTTACGAAATTGGCGGGTTCATGTTCAACAGGAGACCTGAAGCCTACGCTGGTCCTTTTCTAGTAAGCTTCTGAGAGTGTCCATCTTAATCTGCAGTAGGACAGAGTGAAGATGTCTAGATTTTCGAACCACTCTTTATATGGTAAACTCTGAAATTCTGGAATTGCATGGGCAACTGACCACTGTACTTTTCTCAAAATGTCTGAGTCACCTTTTAAACAGGAGGTTGAAACCCAAACCCAGTCTTCAATTTTGGACTTCATTCGCTCTGTGTATACTGTATTCAACATATTAGTGTTGTGGTGCCGGTGAAATGTCCCTGGGCCGTAGCCAAATCATCCGGCAGTTGGGTCATTGAATGTCGAGCAGTTCACTGATCGTCGTCCAGATAAAGAGCGACCAATAGGCACCAATTAAGAAAACGGATTTAAGATAACCATACGAAGTAGTAGCTAAATAATGCCAATTATGTTGAATGTAGATGTCGAGTGAATCACGTACCTTATGAACCTCGTAAATATTTAATCGAGTAATACACTGTTATTATTTGCTTGTGGATTAGTACAAAGCGGTGAAATGTATCCTTAAGTTTTAACAAGTTTTAACGACCTAAATGAACCTCAGTTAGAGGAAGTAACACCAAGATTATCGAATTTCGACACTGTGTTTATCAAGGAGTCTCCAACTTACCACACACGCCTGTTACCTCTCGTTAAGGAGTACAGGCCACCCACCAGCATTCTCCATTCAACCCTGTCCTGAGCAATCCTTTCCAGTTCGCTCCAGTTGTTATTCATCCTTTTCATTTCTCCTTCAATCTTCCGGCGTAATGTGTTCTTTGGACTTCCTCCTTTCCGCTTCTCGTTAGGATTCCAAGTTATGGCTTGCCTGGTGATGAAGTTTGGTAATTTCCTTAATGTATATCCGATCCATTTCCAACATCTTTTCCTAATTTCCTCTTCAGATGGATACTGATTTTGTCCAATGGCACAAGCATTATCAGATCCTCAAATAGTGTATTGGTATTGTCCAGGTCTCAGACTAAAGTTAACAGTTTGACATTTAGATGGATTAATTAAGAGACTATCACCAACAGACCACTATTCAATACGAGACAAAAACTCATTCATTTGCGCTAGATGTAACGAGGTAGAAGTCAGCTTACATACAGTGAGGTCGTCCGCATATTTCACGAAAGTGTTTCGTGTGAAAGATGGCAGATCATGTAGAAAAAAAGAGGAAAGAAGAGGTGAAAGAATAGCTCCTTGTGGCACACGTTCATTAGACAGTGGTGACGTTGAACATTTTCCTCCAAACACAGTGCACTATTCTCTTCCAGAAAGGTAGGAATATAGCCAATCGGTTATCCAGCCGTCAGTGTTGACGCTGATCAACTTGTTAAGTAAGAGGTGTCTCGGTAGAAAATCAAAAGCAGAAGTGTAGTCTAGAAAAGCTCATCAAACATACTCCTTACCCTTTCCCAAGCCGAACGCTATATTGCGATACAAAACAACAACGGAATCTAAGGTGCTTCTTTCTCATTTGTAAGCAAAGTGATACGGATCGCTGTATACTTTTATTGCAGGTGTGAGTGGGAGTATCAATAATTTTCCCATTATTTTGAGGGAAAATGAAGTTATTGCTATGGATCCAAATTTCACATTTTTATCACCATATACTTTCTTAGGTATAGGGATTATCTTTATCTTTCTCCATATTTTCGGTCTGAGATTAGTTGAGAGGGATTTGTTGAGGATACTTGTGAATCGATAACACGGAACATCAGCGCATTTCTAAGAGGGAGGTTTGGGCTTTCATTAGGTCCTAAACATTGGGATGAATTAAGTGACTGAAGACATTTTTAGACATCAGTTTCAGTGAAAATAGGAATGAAACTATTCTTCTAACCCGTGGATATAGGGAGCATGACATCAGATGAATGACGCACAAAAGACTTATTTAAGTGTCAAACATTCAGCTAGTTATCGCTTATGGTGTTCCCGTCACCTGTAAGTTCTTTAAAGTTTCCACATACATAGGGAGTTTTTACGAGATAGGAGTTTCTGAGTAAACATATAGTTGAGACATCTTATATGTAGGTTTGCTAGACCATTCAGCTTACGAACTTCAACAGAGTTTTTCTACCTGTGTATTCTTTGTTTTGCCCTTCGTAGTCGTTTTAGTTGTGGAGATCCAAGTCAATTAAAACCTAAAAAATGGTTTCAGTATAACAACGAATATCAAAACACAACTTACGATAACAGGTAATGACATCAGTAGTGTTCTCCAGTGAGTCATCTGTAAATAATACCCAGTTAGTAGTAAGAAACATGTTTTTCAGATTTTGCATATTTTCTTCTGAGTAATTTCTATGTGTGACTCTTATGGTCTGATGTAAGTGTGTACTCTTTCCACGATTTCAATATACTTTAGGTAGAACACCAATTATTCAGTGATCCGAGTTAGACAATCGAGCACGTTTGCGAGTCACATATATACCCACATCCCTAAAGAAAATCAAGTCTAAATGAGTATCCGAACGAGTAGGAAAATCTGCTACATTTTGGTGACATAGTGATGTAAGGAAGCTGCAGTCATATGGATTGAAGCCACCACATACAATTGAAAGTGAACCACTGAAGGCAGTAACGGCGAATTCAGTAAATTCATCGACAGAAACAGGTAGAGCATATGATGTGCAGTCTGGAGTCACGGCGATGTGGATAACAAACATTTTTCGTATTTACTCAAGTGTTTTGGACGTCACCTCAAAGTTAGACGGTCAATAAAGTCATTTGAAAACTTGAAACAGGCAAAGCAGATCGACACCAGTCCACGTTTAGAAACGTAGTTACACCGCCATCACACCTTTTTTATTGTTTGATCAATCCTGACGATGGATATTGAAATGACATAGTGATACTGAGCAATCGTTCTGTCCATCAATTGATCAAGATTCTTCAATTGTGATGACAGCACAATTACAATAAACATTTCGACTTGGTAGGAATTGAAGATAGTCCACCTTGTTAACTGGGGATCGGCAGTTAGAATTTAGCACTTCGAGAATCGGCATATGATTATTGTTCATTCTCTTCAACGCATAATGCCAACCAACAAGATGTCTCTAATTGTGCTTTTTTGTAACTTGCGCGGCGAAACGTCATAAACTTTTCATAAGCGAGCCTGTATAGTTTATGCGATTAATAGACATAATGAGATGTTTAAAAAATAAAAGACATAACTTGTTGAGACATTTTGATGGCCGTAACAGATAGCCCGGAAACTCAGGCAGGCCGCTGTCAAATGTCTTTTTATATCCAAGGAAGTTGGTGTATGAAGCCTAGTTCCATTCAATTGATTGTCCAACGACGATCCGTAATGTCCTTATTCGGTCTGTGCACGACCGCTCCCTATGGAATTCAGTCTATTGACCTCCAAGTCAGGTGTCTACAGAACATTTTATCCAGTTCAGTGCTTTTTCAGTCCCTTTGCAGTCGGTCTCCATGGAAGTTTCTTCTTCTTTGAGTAGGTCTGTAGAATGATGGTCTACTTTGTTATTAGTACTACTCTAATAACAGACTTGTCATGATGTGACTACCTAATGTGTAAGATCCTACGTAAAAGTCACAGCATTGTCTACACTGACTCGTCCTGTCGTAATCATCACCAGTATATGATGGAGAACACATTTAGACTGAGAGATAGAACAATATAGTTAATATGAACAGAAGGGATAGCTACTTGCAAGGCTGAGCCATGCCATCCGATCAATCGAATTAATTGAATTCCTTCTTCCCGCCCTCTCCATTGTTGGGTTTTTCTCCGAGTCAAATACTGAACATCTATCTTCCCAGTTGTCTCGCATTCATCTTTAAGGATTGTGTGGTTAGGTCCCAATGAATTGAGTTGAATTAGTATCAATGTTTTAGCGTCCTTCATTCTTGACCTTCTTACATAATCTTACATAATGAAAGTCTATTTTCTCAGTTGTCTCATGTCCAGCTTTTAGGATTGTGGCTAGGATCAATACAACTACAGATCCTGTAAGTCTTCGAACCTGTTGTTGAGAGTTACCTTGAATTCGTTGAGTTTGCCAGTATGTCGAAGGAAGGTTGTATTGAACCTTCGTAATTCTGCCTCTCCAGTTGTCTAGTATTTGCCTACCTTCAGTTTCATCTAGACCACAGCCACTAGGTGGTGATCTGAAGCTGTGTCAGCTCCTCTCCTGATTCTCACGCTCTCCACTGACCTGAAATTTTTAGTGTTGCGAATTTGACTGACCTGGTTCTCTTAAGTATATTTCAGGCGATACACACGTAGTTTTGTGTATGCGTTTGTAGGCTAACATAGGAGCGCTAACTGTTACCATTTTACTGAACGCGCATAATGTGCAAATTTGTCACCATTCTCGCCCTTTTCCCCCAGATACTCAATGTCGTCCCATGATATCATTATACCCGGTGTCGTCCATTCCGAGTATGGCATCCAGGTCCTCCATCGGGATGGTCAGATTCCTTTCCGGACACTTCTTAATAATTGGTTGCAGCTTTTCATAAAGCTAATCATAATCATCTTTATTGTTGTCATTGTTAGGTGCATAACACTGGATGACATTCATTGTGATTCCCTCCTTCTTCCTTTTCAAGGATGATTTGGCGTTTTTGGATTCATGAGATTTCCATCTCATTAGTGTATTATGTTCTTTTGGGACAGCATAAGTACAGCCCGTTGTGTGTGGAGCATTTTTTCTTCGTGACCAGAGCACAACAGCATCTCCCCCGAATCTGTTTTTTGTCCATCTTGTGTCCAATCTGTTTCACTGGCTCTGAGCACCATCAAGTTGTATGTCCTCTTTTCCTCAGCTATTTGATTGATCATCTTGGTCTCACACATTGTCCAGACATTCCGCGTACCTGGATAAGTTGTTACCCTGATTTCTAGAAAGGACACTGGCCTCCTAACTCCCAAAGGATCTCAGCTTTCACCACAGGGTGTCAAAATGGGGGTACTGACTCCATGTCCAACCCTTATTCGTTACCTGGGCTTGTGGCCGTAATAAACTCTAGAAGAGCTACAGGAAGTATTAGCTTCCAAAATAGAACAAATAAATAACTCTTTCTGCGATTTTTGAATGACGTGAACCAGTCACATTATTTTCCTTTAAACTCTAGAATCCTGGAAAATCTGGGAAGTGATCAGATGGAGACATAGCGGTAAATGAATCCTAAAGCCAAATAGTTTTTTAAGTCTTTAACATTGGTGCTGACCTCATTGCTTTTACTGGAAACGCCCTGGCTGAAGCGTTGACTCAAACGTTCGCGCATAGACGGCCACTCTGTACGTTGTGCTACACATCCCTTGCTTCAACTAGTCATCTTGAATCCCATAGCACCCGAAATATTCATCGTCTTCCAAATATATCTTCAAACTCCCCACTCCTGGTTTCTGGCTTGACTGAAGTTGTGATCCTCGATTAGAAATTTCCAAGGACAAAAGCATCATGAAGCCCTGAATATCCGTGACACTGACAAAAATGAAGTCTTGCATCAGGGACAACGTTGTTGAACGTAGTTGATGTTCAACACCATGCTATACACAACTTTTATGGTGGACGTAGCACAAAATAAAGTTATCTCCGACTTATACCTGTCCTAGCTCCAAAGCCAGCCATTAAGGTAATCAGGGTGCATTCCGACTGAACATATATCATACAGAAATATGAGACATGGTATTTTATCAAGGCTATGAAAAATTTAAATTTAGGTGTCATTACACTCTCCAAGAAGACTTATATAGGAGACACAATTGCAGTACCAGATAACGTTCACTTGATACGAATAAGTTCATAATGCTGATGCTGCCACACAGTACCGAAGACTGTTTTTATTGTCTACAAACAACGTTCATCCAAAAAACATCTGAGTTTTGTTTCGTGCTTTAAGAAGGATATTTCTGACCTAAAACGCATTCAAAGAAGGGAAACTACAAAACCGCTTGTATTAAATGACATTAATCAGCTCTCTTAAAAGTTTTCGACTTTCAGCCGATGCGAAAAATAGGGATTAAATGGAGTAAGACCACGAAGTTTCAATTCGTTTCTAATTCCCTTCATCATAAAAGGATACTAGTTCACTTCGTCAACAAATAAAACTTGAATATACATATGTTTAAAAATAACATGAAGAATCTGCATAAAGTTCTTTGCAAGTCTTCTGTGGTTAGAGTCACGAAACCATGGAACTTACAAAATACTCTACATGTTCCGCAAGTATTGAGATGGATACGCTAAATGTTGTCGCACTATTACTTCTGTTATTAGCCGATTTGTTTACACTTCAGTTTTTAGAATGAAAATAGATAGATTATCAATCACCAAAGTAAATCAACTGTGTGGATTATTGAGATAAACTCTAGTTGGTCGGGATTGTTGTGATCTCACAACCATCGGCTAACGAGTAACATGGACAACCCTCTCTTCATATTCAGGTACTGTGGCTACTTTGATGACTATGCAGAACAAACAAGACATTGTAGAAGGACTGTATTAATTAGAATAGATTAGAGATACAGAGCTCGATCACTGCCGTATGAGCCTGTCCATGACATGAGGTTGATTGATGAGTGTTGGTCGTCCTTGACTTCGACGAGGACTGATAAACTGTTGAACATCCAAAAATCTGTGACATTTTACTGGCCCTACATAAATAATCACAAGTCACTGTTTGCAAGGACGGTCCCTTTAAACCCAGATACGGATTTGAAGGGACAAACCGCTCCGTGATTTTGCTGAGTTCAATTAAAATGAAAGTTAAAATCATAATAGCTTGTTGTCATGAAATTGAATATTGGAAGTCTGCTTATTCTCTGGACGGTCTTCTTCAAATATTTGCGGTTCGTGCAGATGTGTGATGCTCGTACGTCAATTGGAAACTTCTTGGAAAGCGAATTCTTATGGACTCTCAGACTAAGCAAGCAGCGAGTTGTTCTTAATTTTTTCTTCACTTGGTTTGTAAAGTTACTTAATAACCATGTCGTACCTCATGGTTGCAGATGCTACTCATCAGTTGTAGACAGTGATGTATCACTGTTTATTGCAATAAACAGACAGTCCAGTATCTTAAACTCCTAATACCGTTTGAGGAACCATGTCAATTCAATATGTCACAAACGTGATTCAGTGACGTTATATATTTTTATAATCTAACAGCTTACTAAAGCAACCTATTTTTATTTATTTATTTAAACACATAAATATTAGTACAAGGAAACAACAAATACATATGCGCCATACAAATCTCTTTCGATTTGCTTGAGAGCTGTGATACTGCCCAGGTGCCCAAACTGAGGCAGGTAGATTTCTTAGGGGCCCACACCCGGAGCCTTTGACCTAAAGGTCTGATCCCCAAGACAGTGGAGCATCGTAAGGAAATGCAGTCCCATGGTAGTCGGTGACCAACAGTTGGTTCATACGCCATTCGTTCCTTCAGGATACTGGAGCCCATGTGCACGATTGGTTTGGAATGAGGGTTTTCCAACTCCCCTAGGTGGACTCGCCTTGTCCACCAACCCGGTTAAAGCTCCGGACATTCGCTTTTCGTCCTCTCACTTTTTTGAATAACACCCTACACCGCCACGAGAAGGCAGTGAGTAGGACTTCCCTGGCAGAGGCTATATACTCGCTGGCCATATGAGAGCATTTTGAGAGGGAGAGGTGACTCTCCCTACTCTCGGCCGTACCAGGGCATTTGGGGGCACTAAAGCAACTAGTCCACTACTTTCTAGTCCATCACCGTATAAGTGGTGTGATGAGATTTCACATCATCTATTCCAGCAATTACATTTAACAGAAATGTAAGACTGCTGAGTATTCATATTCAACTTAGGTTCATCTAGGTCGTTCATTGTCAAAACTTAAGGATACATTTAACCTCTTTGTACTAATCCACAAGCAAATAATAACAGTGTATTACTCGATTAGATATTTACGGTTCATAAGGTACGTAATTCACTTGACTTCTACATTCAACATAATTGGCATTATTTAGCTACTACTTCGTATGGTTATCTTATCTCTATTTGTCTAAAACAAGGTTCATCATGCTACGTACACACAATATAATTACTTTTTGAGGACGAATACTGTCAACTACCTAACCCAGTTAGTTCCTATCTAGTTTTCCATGTTTTATTTATTAATCCAAGAGAATTTTTGACCAAAACGTGCAGAACAGAAAGTATGGTGTGAATATATTCATTCAGCCTTTGCTGCATCTACCTCATTCATGTACTGTAGATTAAAGATTAGCCATTTACAATGGTATGACGACCTTATAAGTATGGTTCGCACTGTCGAGCTCACTGTTGTTACAAATCTCACTCTTAAATTCAAGTATTGACTGGTCGGGATCCAATGAAAAATATTAGGAGATATAAGAACTAAGACAGTAATTTCTAAGTCCAAATTTTGATACTATGCATCGTTATAGAAAGACTTTCCAAAAGTGACTGAGTTAACGAAAAGTAAGGTAAGTATAGGTTTAAGTGCGTACTAGGTTTGATTCACATTTAAGCCATCAATGCACGCTGCTGGGAAGTCTTATACTAGGACGAAACGATTGTTCATTGCTTCCTGGTTTTCAATGAGTATCTAAAATCAGTCTGCAATGTAAATTATGATATTCAAGTCTCGAGAAACCCCCTTTGGTATGATCATCCTCCTGATTATAAACGGCCACGTAGATTTAATTGTTTTATTTTTGACTGATCACAAGTTTTATGTTCACTGTTGTATTGTCCTAATTTTAGTTTGCTTTTGTGTTAAAAATGGTACAAAAGGTTCAATATTCTCATCACGCTTAACTTCGCTTTTGGGCGATAGTTATGGACGTCAGTGCCGATAAATCACCATTAATTCAACCTGAAGATACTTCGAACAAACCCAGTCTTCCTTCTATTACAGTTATCAAACCAAAACATCCAAGGCGCTATAAACTTTTACCAAAAGATAAACTCCGTTTCCCTAAAAATGATACTTCAAATCAACTTTGGCGTACAGGTGATTATACAAAACATATGCCTCTTATCAATGTAAATTGTGATGACGATAGGTTCGTTCTCTCATTTCCCTTACTAATTGTTCATTTATAATAGTAGGTACCACACAACCTGTTCATTTACATAGTCCGTGTATATTAGACTTGATGTATTGCACATTTAGTAGCAGTGTACATAAACCATCATAATAGATCTCTAGACAGTAATTCTATTCAGTTAGGAACATAGATTTTGTTTGATATGAATACACTTTCCGTGCCCAGACAACTCCACATGAATAATATGTTAGGTAACACTCCCTCAAATATTTCTCAATTTTGATCACTGAAATCACTAATGCTGTGTTTACTGAGATAAGAGAAGAAATTATGGATCATCGCGACCGGTGGAAACTTCCTTGATGGAAGTTTTCGGAAGAGCATTATCAACCCATGTAGTGCACATTTAAACAGCGATCATTAAAACCCCAGCTCTGGTGTGTTTTAACGGTTATCTGATGTATTTCATTTGACAACCGTGGCTCACAACCGGGTTCAAGTACTTTCATTTGGTCATTAATGTCTTTTATTGATTTATTTATTTGAACACTTAAATATAGGTACAAGGGGGGCACCGTATATATATATATATGCGCCTCACAAAATTTGTCTTTTTAATTGTGTGAGGGCTCGTGTGCCCAGATCGAAGCTGTATACGCGTGGTCGTGTGAGAGCATTTTGAGAGAGAGGGCGGGCTCTCTCCACTCTTGGCCGTACCAGGGCATTTATTTAGAAACTGCTAAGTTTATTTGTCTGGTAGAATCGATATTTGTTGATTGCACAAACAGACGTCTAATATTCCATATTATTAACTATTCGATAAATCTTAGTTAACATGACGTACACTAAGTATCTTAGCACAATAGCAACACAGTTTGCGCGATTTCTGGTTTCTATTATTCAATACGGGATTTTTGCTGCCCCTTGCTTCATTGACAGTCCAACTATTCTGATTAACCAAATAGAAAATAAATTATAAATCAATAAGATAATTTAAATGGCTTTGCCAAGAGCTAAAGCATAGACTGACCTTCACACTTATTTTAGCAATATCCAGTCCATAAAATTCACTTGTTTACATTTATACACATTCGAGGTCAATACATTACAGTGTTACAGTTAGTCTTTCATATAACACCTTTACTTATATATTGTGATAATTTTTATGAAGAATGATTTTGAGTTTCTCATGGGGACGTTCCGATTGTTAACCTGATGGTCATAATGGAGATCGATAGAAAAGGGATGTACAGTGAAACAATGTAGCCGACTAATAATTATTCATGAGACAATTATTGACTCAAGCAGAAATAAATAATGTTAAGCGATAACACAACTGGGCAACGAACAAATTTCAACATAACGTATTTATGTAAAAGTGCTTAACATAATAATAAACATGATTAAAATTCATCTTCTAATCTGAAGTATTGTTCAACGCAGATTTCATAGATCACTCCCTCCCTAATTAAGTATCTATATATACGTAATGTAGTTATCATATTCTTTCCGTTTTTACAGTGAAGAGTTTGATGGCGCATTATTTCAAAAAGTTGCCAATAAAGGCTTATGTGATTATTTGAAAAATGACCGACTGTCGTCTCATAATCGATCAAATTTAACAAATAGTCATACGTATGATGATTGGGATTTGCATCTTTCAACACCCGTTCAACGTAGAACACAAATTTGTTGTCCATTCAGTTGTACATTATCATGAATTTTTTTTTAGAAGTTAATGCTTTGGAGATTCCCCTCTTTCTTTAATTTATTAGTTTTTTCCTATTATTTTGTGTTAATCATAATGCATTTTTGTAACTTTTCCATTGTGCATTTCCACTCTGCCCATCTTTAATATATTTCTCGGGCTCTCTATTCTCAACTGCTTTAATGCTTTAGCATATTTTATCGGTCTTAACATTTTTTTATATCGACCAAATAACACTGATAATATATGAAATTATAGAGAATCAATGTATCATTTCTCTTCGTTGCATAATTAACTTGTAGAATTAAATTACCGGTATTTGATACTCAAAAATGTTTTGTGATTAGTGTCTTGTCTTTTGATATTCAACTAGTAAGTAGCTATAGATAACAAAGGCATAGAAAATTAGAAATGGCGATGATGATCGGTAACACTAGACAGTTGTTTAGAATTATTAAAAGAAACTTAATTTAGGAAGTCATTCATTAGTAAAGGTCATAGAAAGATTCTGCATAATCATTTTGTGGACTGTAAAACCCCTTGGGAAAGAGTTTAACTGACCTCCAGTTTATCTCTAATTCCTTTCGCATAAGCTAAAGGTTATATCAACATCTGGCTACAACAAAGTTGAAACATGATAGGGAAGAAAGATTTGATGGATTGATTCTTAGGTTCTTTATACATGATGACAGCATTATCAGTATTCTTGACGGAGATATTAAGTAAAACCTGGAAGTTGAATGTAATTCTGTCTGTCTAGCTGCAACCGTTGTCACTACGGTTAGCAAAAAAACGTCAGATATCCTTTTGTAGTAACCACAGGGGAACTAAATGGGTCAATACAATTTGTAAAATATTAGCTTCTCTACCTATCTGGTACCACTTTAAGTTTTTACTCGTCAATGGTCAAATATACTAGACAGATATCCCTCTTCCGTATTGTTTTATGGCTGTGAAACTTGACTTTTGAACGTTGAGGATATACATAAATTGTTAGTGTTCCATTGTCGATGTTTCCAAAGCATCACTAGTGTTTGGTGAAAACTTTGGGTAAGTGCCTCTGAAGTTAGATGACTTTTGAGAATATAAATCTTCACTGACTATTTTCCAAGTTGTTTTTTCTGCGTGTGAGAGGGTTAAGTATAGTCCATAAGTTTATTGAACTTAAGATTTTGCTATGTCAAATGGTTTATAATCCTTTGTTGAGGTCTATGAGATCATCATAATTTGTATAACTTGGAAAGTTATATCACATCTCTCTCAATTTCAGTGGACCAAATACGCTTATTTAATACACAAATAAGGAGGTGTAATTGTAAAGAAATGGAGAGAGAAATATAGTGAATAAACAAAAATGGGAGTAGTATATATTCGAAGAAACAGATAAGGTAAAACGCAACCAGAAATAATCCTTTTAGTTGGATGGATTACCTTCACTCTTATGGAGAATGTAAAAGAAAATTACTGTAGGGTCGCCATTGGCTTCTGTTCTGAGTTATATCTGATAACATCTCAGGTTACTGAGTTGTTCTACCTCTAGAACCCCAACCAAGGTGTCATGCGAGACCGATAGATGCTAGTCTAATACAACTTTCATACCACGGCCCCATGTCATAGACTGACCACTTCATCACTTTCTCCAACCAATCCCAGCGTCGGCAATTAATTCCTGACGTGGGACCTCTGGGATTACACTTGTAGTACATGTCCAGGCCAATTAAGCATATGTTTCAGGACGGTGACATTGAGTGATTGTCTCACTGTTTGAACACAACCAAATTTCAACGTTACTGACATGTCACTGACCGCCAGCAATTTTTTGAGGACATTGATGATCGGACACAGAGTTCCCGAACGTCCTCACCCCGTAGAAGCCAGATTTTGTAAGCATATGCCAAAACTGCCCTCACCAGTGCAAGACTTACGTCAAAAAGGAGCTAAAGATTGCTTAGATTGGCGTTGAGTACCCTAGATGTTCTCAGAATTATTTCATACTATTTATTCCTCGGGTTTAATCATTCTGATTTATATATTCTCCGTGTTCTTGTTTTCTTTAACAAACATTAATTTTATCCATTTCAACTCATTTGTATTCCAATTTATCAATGTTTTGTATCATTCAATGTACTGATATAAATTGTAGCAACTTGATGCATATATTTTTGCTAGTACCTATTTTATCTATTGCTAACTACATCATACAATTAGTCAATATCCGATTATGGATGTAAATTCATGATATTTACCATTATTTTCGTAATAATTTAGTCGAATTCCAGTTAAATCTGTCATTATGAGATTGTAAATGAAATGATATATAATTTAAATTTCAGATAAAGGTATCCATACTAGGCTTGAACTTGATAGTTTCAACTAAATTGAGCATTGGATAGAGAGTTAGTAATATATATTTTAATTATATCCCAATGAGTAGAAAAATTGTATTTCTGACGTTTTGTGACTTAATGTAACTACTGTTTAAACTTGCTGTTGATTTAATGTCAGTTATTTACTTCAGTCAGTCAGTCACAACATAGAACTTCGTACGTACGTACATCAGTTCAAGTTGCCATACCACATTAACACAGAGATGTAGTTTTCAATTCAAATCCCATAGTGGTAGAAGTAGTTAGATTATAAGCAGCAATCGGAAAGATTAGGGTTTGAAGATGTTATTCAAGGAGTATAATCCAGTGAAATAAATTTGAAAAAAGATAGAGACATAAGGAATTCAGAAGATTAGAATTTGGGAGAACACAAAGAGTGGATGCACTTGCGATATTGCAAACGATTTTGAGCCATGTCATTCAAGGTCTCTAACCATCGGTTGCTATCATCTCACGGATCCCAACCAGGTAGTCATAAGGTTTTGCAACTAAAGAGTCTGAAATGCCTTTTTGCGTATTTAAAAACACTACTCATAAGTAGCTTATGTGGTCTAGTCAAATTTCATCTAAGTATGATTGATAAACCATTGAACTTAAAGCCTTAATTAAGTGATCCACCATGCATATTTTATTCCCACTAGTTCACACTGGATGTTTTTGGAATATTTTTGTTAGGACTGAGGGTTTAGTTAAAAATGTGAAACTTTTAAATTTGTGGATTCGGTATACATATATGTATTGATGAAATACTGGGTTTGTGAGGACTATATATTTCTAAAATTAAAAGCTTATTTAGCTGACTGACTATTGCAACTTATTTTACAGTCCGTAAATTACAGTGAATTAGTCGTAAGCCTGTTACTCATCTTTGTACATATTAAACTTCGTACTGTAATACATCCTTGCTTTGTATGTATATGGTCACATATGTTTTCTAGTCTGGATAACACGGTATAGTGCAAGACATTTTCCTGATCTTTCTAGCATTTCAATTAGTAGTTTAGAGAATAAGTTAGAGTTCTGTATGATCAAGTCGGTCCTTGAACATATACAGTAGCCATGTCAGAAGACTTATTGTCAATAGGCATAAGCAAATTTATTTAAACACATAAATATTAGTACAAAGGCCCCAAATACATATGCGTCGCACAAATCTCATTCGATTTGTGTGAGGGCTGTGATACTGCCCAGGTGCTCAAACTGAAGGAGGTGGTTTTGTTAGGGGGCCACATCCGAAGCCTTCGACCTAAACGTCTGATCCACAAGACAGCGGATCATTGTGAGGAGATACGGTCCCATGATAGTCGGTGATCAACGATTGATTCATACGCCATTTGTTCCCTCAGGTTACTGGAGCCCATGTGCACCATTAGTTTTGAACCAGGATTTTTCAACTCCCCGAGGTGAACTCTCCGTGTCCACCAACCCGGTTAAAGCGCCGGACATTTGCTTTTCGTCCTCTCAATTTTGTAAATAACACTTCCCTGGTAGAGGCTATACACGTGTGGCCATGTGCGAGCATTTGGAGAGGGAGATCTGAATATTCCTACTCTCAATTGTACCAGAGTATTTGGGGGCAGCATAAGCAAAAAAATTCACGACAATAATAATCGATCATATTTCACCATGTTTTTCTTAAATCTCTAAATGAGTTCAGCTGGTAAACAGCCTATCAAATTATTAAGTCACTTAACGGTTTTAACACTAGAATAGTTCCAAGAATTAAAAAAAAGACAGATATCTTATCCTCAAGTAGATTTCAAGAGATGTCTATCTGGATCATCGTATAATTATGATAAGTTCTATACGGATGACCGTAAATAAGTACATTGAGAAAAGTAAGTAAACGGAACAGTGGTTTACAAAACTTATAGATATTTAAAGGAAATAGTTTACAAACAAAATAGTATGGTTACGGTTAGATCATATAACGGCTTACTAATAACCAATATCTTGCCATTTATTCTTTAGTATTGAATGAAACCTAGTCATCTATTTTCAATGGTAAGCTTTTTCATAATTGAAAGCGTGAGTTAATTGAAGCTAGACCACCAAGAAAAACCTGAAAGCACTGGACGGCCGTTTCGTCTTATTGTAGGACTCCTCAGTAGTGCGCATCCATGACCTCGCCTCGCGAGATTGTGATCGAGCTTCAATTGACTCACGCTTTCATCTATGAAAGTACTAAATCTCCACAAAACCCCTTCTGATGGTAAGCTTTTTTTAAACATAGTCAATGAAGAATCTTTTACTACATTGATACCATAATTGTTTTGACATATTGGATTGTAACAGGTTGAGCCGATACATATTTATCTCTGGTTATACATTTTGTTTCTGATCAACTGGTGGACTAAGGAAAATTTACTAAATTCCGTTGATTTTAAAAATAAAAAGAGAGTAGGGGGGGGTCGTGAATGCGCATTGCTGAGGAGTCCCATAATAGGACGAAACGGTCGTCCAGGTTTTCCGTGGTGGTCTAGCTTTAATTGACTCATGATTATAACTATGAAAAAGAGATTAAAATTAAAACCGTGACGGTTGATATAATTAGAAAGTTATTTGTACTTAAGTATTATTTTTAGTCATAATTCAATGAACACCATTTACTTGGATGTCTTCATTATTGAACTGTGCGAAGAGGTATAAAATGTGTTATTAAGTTGACTAAGCTTCATCTCTGTGAAGTTTAGGTGGATTTATTTGAATCATTCCACATTTCACGATTATATTTGACTTTCAAACTTTGGTTTTTTCTGATTATGATTGAGAGACAGATCAATATAACGTAATAACAATCGTAACACAATTATAACTGACCAAGATATAGCAAAAAATAGAGCGCCCTCAAATGCCCTGGTACGGCCGAGAGTCAGGAGGGCGCGCCCTCTCTCTCTAAATGCTCTCACACGACCACGCGTATACAGCCTCTACCAGGGAAGTCTTGCTCACTGCCTTCTCGTGGCGGTGTAGGGTGTTATTCAAAAAAAGTGAGAGGACGAAAGCGAATGTCCGGAGCTTTAACCGGGTTGGTGGACAAGGCGAGTCCACTTAGGGGAGTTGGAAAACCCTCATTCCAAACCAATCGTGCACATGGGCTCCAGTATCCTGAAGGAACGAATGGCGTATGAACCAACTGTTGGTCACCGACTACCATGGGACTGCATTTCCTTACGATGCTCCACTGTCTTGGGGATCAGACTTTTAGGTCGAAGGCTGAGGGTGTGGCCCCTTAAGAAAACCACTTCGGCTCAGTCATTTGGGCAATATCATAGCCCTTACTAAATTAAATGAAATGACAATTTTTTGTGTGGCGCATATATATCTGGTTCCCCCAATATTTATGTATTCAAATAAATAAATAAATAAAAATATAGAGCATTTAATCTACAAGCTTTCAACCTAATGAGCAGTTCAATGTTTGTATTTATCGTAAATTAATCAATGGTTGCACTGCTACACTTAAAAGTGATGAGAGGAACTCAATAAGATGAAACACAAAGAATAAAAAAGCAATATCGAATAGAGTGGAAATCTGAACATGGAAAATAAAGTCCGAAAGAAATAAATGGGATCGAAGGATGAAAGGCGTGAAATAACACCAAACGTAATAGTTAGAGTAAAGCATAAGGTGATAACAATTGGTCCACTAAGATCTATTTTTCAACTTGTCACCAATATCTTCGAAAACAGGTTTCAGCTATAGCGCGAGCTTCTTCCGAAAAGTCTTCACATTCAGATGTATCTCAGATCGTCGATCAAGCATTTCATGTATTGACGTCATATCTTGTACTCCAGTGTCTCTAGTTATCTTATAGGTCTGGGTAGGTAGTATGTAGGTATTCTTAACACATATCAACCAAGTTATTTGATAAAGGTATGTTCTTTTGTCATTTGGCTTGGACATTTTACTACAATCTGTGTGGCTAATCTTAGCATTACTACCATGCTTAGCTAATCCTTCAACGACACCAATGAAAAAATCCTGATAGCTTGTGGGTATCTTTCACTTTCATAGCCGACAGGCACTCCACCTGAACCATAATTGCATTACCTTTTCTAGTATGAAGTCTTGGTTTATTCACTCCAGTCTGAATATCACTTCACTTAACATGATTTATTCTTACAATCAGCATTTCAAACATCTGACTATAGAAATTTAACTTAATGAGTAGTACAAATTTTTTTTGGTTACATTAAAACTATTAGCGAACAGATTCTCTTTATGAATTTAAATAGAAAAACTGAATTTTTCTATTCACTTAGTATTGCTTGTTTGAATCTTCTCATTGATGTTTAGAACTACAACTAGTCAGTCCCCATTGCACAAGAAAGTGACTATCAGGACTCAATAGCTGAGTGGATAACGTGATGGAATTTGAAGCGAAAGGTACTGGGATTCGAGTCCCAGAGAGTGAACATCAACTCTGAGATGCAGATACATCCATCTAACGAGTCCCTAAAAGGACGAGGTGGCGCGCGTCTTGGATTCCACTGCTAGCCACTATTCATCTGAACTTTTCTAATGGCATATTTCACCTTTATGTTGTTTTAAGAAGAAGAAAAGAAATAACAGTCGGTTTTATATAACTAAGTATAAACTTATATTTATTTGATATTATGTATAAATTATATGTACAACAACGGGCAATTAAACTAGCTAAACAAAATAATACAGCTAGCCTATATGAAATTAGTTAGCAAATGGTAATAATATTAGTATTATAGAAAATGGAAAAAAAGTTGGATTCCATGTTGTTTTCGTATTTTCATTATAGTGATGATTATCAGTTTTTTTCTAATTTTTTTTGATTTTTTCAACTTGATTCAATGTATGGGAAAGTAATAAGAAGTAATGAAGGATCAATTTGGGGAAGAGGAGTCAGTAGAAGAAAGATTAAAAACAAAACAAAAAATAAAACAATACAATACAGGGAATTGAATGAATTCTAATGCCTATCACAAATTATCGTTTTAATTGTCCAAATAATACTCCTTGATATAATATATTTCCCATTTCCATTGTAACAACTATAGCATTTTGTGGTAGTCCCATTGGAGCACCTGAAGTTGACGTGGAGAAAAAATAAGAGATAAAATATATACTATTGAATAATTTTTAAGTAGAAAATATTTATTGTTAAAAAACATGAAGCAGTTAGTCTAATCCATACGTGTGTAAAAGTTAAATCTTACTCCGTGAAAAGCATGAATATGGTACTTATCCAACAAAATGGGCTATAAGGTATCAAACGTTCATCAGTTCTATTCACTGCTTGACATCATTGCTAAAAACTAAATTATTCAAGTACTGAAGGGTCTTTATCTTCATAATTTGAAAACGAGCAATTTATTCCTTTACATCATAATCAACTGAACTTTGAAAATTGAACAGTAAAAACTAAACAAGATATGAAATTATTACATAACAATAATAAAGTATACCAATAAATCTTAGCCCCCGAATTCTCTGGTACGGCCGAGAGTGGGGAGGGCCCGCACTCTCGAAATGCTCTCACACGACCACGCGTATACAACTTCTGCCAAGGAAGTCCTACTCACTGCCTTCTCCTCGCATTACTGTTGTTTATGAAATTGAGAGGATGAAAAGCGAATGTCCGGAGCTTCAACCAAGTTGGTGGGAACGGAAAGTTCACCTCGGGGAGTTGGAAAACCCTGATTCCAAACCACTGGTGCTCATGGGCTTCAGTATCGTGAATGAACAAATTGCGTGTGCATCAATCGTTGGTCACCGGCTACCATGGGAGTGCATCTCCTTACAATGCTCCACTGCCTTATGGATCAGACTTTTAGGTCGAAGGATCGGAGTGTGCCCCCTTAAGAAAACCACCCGCTTCGATCTGGGCACACGGGCAGTATCATAGCCTTCACACAAATCAAATGAGATTTGTGTGGCGCATATATATATATCTGGTGCTTCCTTGTACCAACATTTATGTGTTCAAATAAAATTCAACCAAAGTAATGAATTAGTTTACAACTGAAATTTAAATTTTATATAGTTGAAATCATAAGTCAACTGAAGCTAGACCACTAAGGAAAACCTGCAAGCACTGGACGGTCATTTCGTTCTATTTTCGGACTCTTCAGCAGTGCGCATTCACTATCCCGCATTGAAAGATTCAAACTCTAGGACCTATCAGTCTCGCGCCAGATTACTTAACTTCTGGACCACTGAGCCGGCTGGCTGTTAATGTCTAACTTCAACCAATCCACGAAATTTCGCTACCATCTTCCATTATACTAAGTTAGATACCTGTCTCTACTTGACATAAATTAGCTTCACTGTTCACAACTTCTCACTAGAACTCCAAGAATTACCTGATGAAGCCAGTCACTAGTGAGCATATGATCATTATCTGAAAAAAAAAGGTTTCATGGAGATTTTAATAATTTTATATAGTTGAGATCATAAATGTCAAGTTTTTCATGGTTGTCTCGCTTCAATTAACTAATAATTTCAACTATATAAAATTATTAAAATCTCCACAAAATTCCCCTTCTGAAATTTAAATTATCAATCATTCACCTATTGAATTAAATCTACAATCATTATAAATATCATTTTATTTTATTCATCTATTCACTTATTCAATTTGATATAAATCAAATCGTTTCTATTTATTTTATTTATACATGGGAAAAACAATCTAGTCGTTAAACAAACTTTTAGTTTGTTATTATGTCAATTATTTATCATCAGAAGGGGTTTTGTGGAGATTTTAGTATTTTTATAGAGTTAAGATCATGAGTCAATTGAAGCTAGACTAGAAATTAACACCGTTAGATGCCAGCTCAGTGATCTATCGGTTAAGGGCTTCGGCTCGAAACTGGTAGGTCCTGGGTTCGAATCCCGCGAGAGTGGGTTCGTGGATGCGCACTGCTTAGGAGTCCCATAATAGGACGAAACGGCCGTCCAGTGCTTCCAGGTTTTCCATGGTAGTCTAGCTTCAATTGATTCATGATCTCAACTCTATAAAAATTATTTATCATGTTTATTTTTTTTCTTTACTGATTAATTTATTTACATTTTTCAATCACTAATATCAATTCTATGATAGATAGATAATATGTAAAACATATAAACCCTTCTTTTTTTTTTGTGTGTGTGTGTTTTAAAATGACATTATGGATATATAAATATATATTAATACTGGTCGGAGGTCTATGCTCCATCGGGAGTAACAGGCGTAAGTAAGTAAATAAGTAAGTAAGTAGGTAAGTAAGTAAGTATGTATGTATATACATTATGATAAATATTCATTAACAAGTATCTTTAATCTTAATGGATGAACAATACAGGAGTTCAGTTTACTTTTCTTTTTTTTTAGGTTGTTCATTTTCATTTACCAATAGTTTATTTATTTATTTTTTTTACTTTATTCAGTTTAAAATTGTAAAAAGAAAAATAAACAAAAAAACATTCAATTTATGTTTGTATGTTTCATTTGTATTTTGATTTTTCCGCTTTTTCTTTTTCTTTGTTTTCTTTTTCTTTATCTTACTCATAAATAAGAATAATATTCAATGATCAATAGTAAAACCCTAATTTTTTTTTGGGGGGGGAGGGGGTTTAAAGTAACTAATTAATAGTAATGTATTTGTTCATGATTATTTAAATTTATTTTTTGGGTCTTTTTTTTTTACTCTCATTCAATCTTTTGTACCACCCTCTCTCTGTCGTTTGTTCGTTCGTTCGTTCGACCGCTCTCTATCTCCCCCTTTTTTTTTTAAAATATACCCATACATTTCCCAGTTTTATACCTATGTAATATTATATATATAATCAATATATGGCTTTCTTAAAACATGATTTTCTTAATGTATACTATTCTTTGTTATAAATAATGTTGACTTCATGTATTCTATTTAAATATGTTAAATAAATGAGTGATTTGTTTACTATCATCATTAAATCATTCAACATTGGTAACATTGTGTTTGTTCTTATGTTGTTGTTGTTTTTGAAGGGTTTACATTCATAATCATTATAGATCTGATCAATGGCTAATTATTATCTATCGCTTATATATACATAGGTGGATAGATAGATAGATTACAAAAGTCATATTAGCCTAAATCATTATAAATGGTAATAATAATAATAATAATAGTATTTGTGGTATTCTCATAAGAAATTGATTATCAGAAGGGGTTTTGTGGAGATTTAGTATGTTCATAGTTGAAAGCGTTAGTCAATTGAAGCTAGACAGCCAGGGTAGACCTGGAAGCACTGGACGGCTGTTTCATCCTATTGTGGGACTCCACAACAGTGTGCATCCACGATACCACATCAAGAGAGTCCAACCCACAACCCATTAGTCTCGCGCGCGAGCACTTAACCGATAGACTACTGAGCCGGTTGGTATCCAACGGTAATAATGTCTAACTAAAACCAATCAACGAAGTTCAACAACCATTCACCACTTGTCTTCAGTGAGTTCCTATCTGACAACAGGCGTGGTTTTAATTCTACTGGTCACTGCTTCTCAGTAGAACTGCAGGAAATATCTCTTGAAGTCAGTCACTAGTTAGCATATGATTATATTGATTATCAGAAGGTGTTTTGTGGTCTGTTGGTTAAGGGCTGTGGCTCGAGACTGGTAGGTCCTGGGTTGGAATCTCGCGAGTACGGGATCGTGGATGCGCACTGTTGATGAGTCACATAATAGGACTAAATAGCCGTCCGGTGCTTCCAAGTTTTCCCTGGTGGTCTAGCTTCAAATGACTCACGCTTTCAATTATAAGAAATTACTTGTTTAATACGTTACTCATTATTATTAACAAATGAATAGAACATTACAACATCAATGTATCATTATCTTATTTTAATAGTAAAGTCGTTGTTGCTATTGTGACTTTGTTTGGTGATATTGTGGTACGGTCTACTTATATCCATCCAAGTAGTATATGATGATGGTTAGACATAAAATGATTTTCTGGTTAGCGTTTTTTAGCGAGTTGATTTTCTACGGGATAGGGTCACTAACCCCATGCCCAACCGTCCTCCTTTACCCGGGCTTGGGACAGGCAGTAACCCCTAGAGGAGCTACAGGCGGATCGGCAAAGCAAGAGCAGCATACCTACAACTGAAAAACATCTGAAGCTCAAAACAATTGTCAACCAACAACAAGGTTAGAATTTTCAATACAAATGTCAAGACAGTTCTTCTGTATGGGGCGGAGACGTGGAGAACTACGAAAGCCATTATTCAGAAGATACAAGTGTTTATTAACAGTTGTCTACGCAAGATACTTCGGATCCGATGGCCAGACATTATCAGCAATAAGTTACTGTGGGAGACAACAAACTAGATTCTATCAGCATAGGAAGAAATCAGGAAGAAGCTCTGAAAGTGGATAGGAAACACATTGAGCAAACACCCAATTGCGTCACAAGGCAAGTCCTCAATTGGAATCCACAAAGCCAAAGGACGAATGGAGACAGATATGAGAAGAATGAACAAGAACTGGATAGAACTAGAAAGGAAGGCCCGGAACAGAGTGGGTTGGAGAATGCTGGACGGCTGTCTATGCTCCATTGAAGGCAATAAGCGTAAGGAAATAAGTAAGTAAGTAAGACATAGAATGGCAGAAGACCGATAAGGAAAGAACTGATATGAAGCGCAATTATTAGGTAAATGCATAAACAATGAAATGAAAGAAGATGGATTGATATTTACAGAAGGAATAGTGATGATTGAGACAATTGATTGTGATTTTGCAAATTAACTGTTTATCACTGTATGTTTATCAGAATTTAGTGAGATAGTCTGTAATGCTATGCTTAAAATACATTCGATTGTCCCTAAATAGTGTTTTGTTCACAATAAGAATAGTGTCCTATTGAACTATCCTACTTATAACAATTACAAGTAGTAATACAATATTAGTTCTTCAATATTTTGTATATTCAATATGAATATATATATATATCATCACTATCAGGAATCTTGTTATTATATACCTCAAAAACACACACACACACACGTATATATACATATACACATGCGCATTAACCTGACTGTACTACTTCGTAGGTATATATGTATGCATATTCTTTGTGTACAACACTATCAATCAAATGAATATACACAATTTATTTATTTTACAATTTTCATGTATTTCAATTATGTTTTAATCTTATGTTCACAGAATTATTACCACCTATCTACATCGTTTCTATCCCATCATATAATAAAGTAATCTTATTCTCATGTTAACTACAAAGCATAATAAGAAAAGAAATAAAACTTATACACTAAAGCAAGAAAAGGACATTTTATTGATGTTTCTTCTATGTTTGTCGGTATATATATGACCGTATTAGTAGTAGTAGTAGTAGTAGTAGTAGTAGTACTAATAGTAGTAGTAGTAGTAGTAGTACTAATAGTAGTAGTAGTAGTAGTAGTAGTAGTAGTAGTACTAAGAGAAGATGACGAAGTTGACTGTTGTTAATTACAATGTTGATTACAATGGTTTAACAAATATAGATATATGGATATCAACCATAAAATTGGGGGGGGGAAAGCAACAACAACACACAACTCTTTCTAGGGGTTCTTTTTTGGAATAAATAATAATAATAAAGGATGACGTTTTGTTTGTTTGTGGTCAAAGTTAGTTATCATTGAAGTAAACAGTTGTTTACATTTATTAAAATGTTTTTTTTCTTTTCTCTCTCTTATTTTTTAACCCTTAAAATGAAAATAAAAATGTGTGTGTATACATGAAAAAAAAGAAAGAAAAAAGCGAAAAAAAAGAAAGAAAAGAAAACCACATTGTATGAAAGGATGTTTTATACAATGTCGCAAATGTTATTTCCTACTACTACTACTACTACTACTACTACTACTACTACTACTACTACTAAGAAGAAGAAGAAGAAGAAGAAGAAGAAGATGTGAATGAATATTGAACATTGAATAAGAAGAAACTTGTCAATTGTCCGGATAATTTATAATCCTGATATACACATTCTACATGTATATATATATATACATGTTTACCCAAATATATAAGGTATATATACATATTTATCCTGTCTATACAAAGTATCTAAGATTGTTTTCATTAAAGGTTTTAAACAAAATATAAACTATAAATATTAATGATGAAATGAATGAGAACCTAGGACTTACCAGTCTATGAAAATACTGAAATCTCCATAAAAAACCCCTTCTGATAATAATAATAATAATCATATGTGCAATAGTGATTGACTTCGAGAGATTAGTCTAGGAGTTCTAATGAGAAGCAGTGATCAGTGGAGTTCATACTACGTCTGTTGTGAGATAGGAACTCATTGAAAACAATAGTGGGTGTGTCACTCAGTTTCTTGGATCGGTTGAAGTTAGACATTAATACCGTTGGAAACCAACCGGATCAGTGGTCTAGATGTTAAGCGCTCGCGCGCGAGACTGATAAGTCATGGGTTGTAATCTCACGAGGCGAGGTCGTGGATGCGCACTACTGAAGAGTCACACAATGGGACGAAACGGCTGTCCAGTGCTTCTAGGTTTTCCATGATGGTCTAGCTTCAATTGACTCATGCTTTCAACTATGAAAATACTAGATTTGCACTAAACCCCTTCTGATAAAATGAGTGAATTGAATAATATTAGAATGGAGCTTTGTAAAGATTTTATTAATATTTTATAGTTGAATTCATGAGTTAATTGATGCTAGACAAACATTAGAAAATCTGGAAACACTAGATGGCCGTTTTATCCTATTGTAGCACTACTCCTTCTGATAATAATAATAATATGCTCAATAGCGACTGGATTCAAGAGGTATTACCTGGAGTTCTAGTGAGAAACAGTAACCAGTGCAGTTCATCTAGGTCTGTTGTAAGATAGTAACTCACTAAAGACAATGGTGGACGTTTGATCAATTTCGTGAATTAGTTGAAGTTAGACTGTAACATCGTTATATGCCAGCGGACTCAGTGTTCTAGAGGTTAAGCGTTCGCACGCAAGACTATTAGGTCCTGGGTTGAAATCTCGTGAACTGGGATCGTGGATGCACAATGTTGAGGAGTCACGCAGTAGGACGAAATGACCATCTAGTGTTCCCTGGTCCAGCTTCAATTCACTCACGAATTGAACCATAAGAATTAAATAATCTTTACTTTTGTGTTTGACTGATTAAATTCAGGTTATTATCATTAATAAGAAGTTGGATTATCTTACTAGTGAATTTCTATCAACCTTTCTTTGTATATCAGAGCATCGTATATCATATAATGATGTTCACATGGATTTTTTTTTTAAATAGATTGAATTTTAGCTTTTATTGGAATCTTAAAGACGTATATTTTGTTCTATTTGGGATTCGTTAACTAAATATACCAGCATCCCAATATTAATATTTACATTGAGAATCAAATCCAATCTCTTTCACTTCAAAACACCCTATCTACTAAACCATTTTCAACTAGGTTTGAGTTCACGTGTTAAAATTAACATTGGGAGTATCATTTCCCTTAAGATTGTAGATATGTTTGTTGATATGAGTTAACTATCAAGAAACCCCAGATGAAGCAGGATTTCTTGATGATTCTGTTTCATCTAGTTACTAAAAGTAAATTAGAACATTAGTTAGTATCTGTGTTTTATCGGATAAAAGCCTGATGTTTTGAAGAGACAAATCATTAGTGTAATAAACCGATCAGTATTCAATATCATTTATAATGTAATTAAGCTTAAACTTACCAGGTTGTGTTTGAATTCGGAAATTCTGTGTTGCCATTGACAACTGAGCTGCTGATAAACTATTATTCACTCCTGTTGATGTACTGTTATTATTAAAATGGAGATTTGCTGACATTGTAATAGCTTCATTTTGTTTGCGTAAATCAGATGACTTCTTCGATAAATTTGATCCATTATTAGATTGTTTTCCACCAATTTCATTGGAATTGTTCCCGCTACTACTACTACTATTCATCTGATTACTGGATGATAGTTTAGGGATTTTTGCATTTGGTGTATCCAAATGACTTGGTGTACGAGAATTAGTCTTTTTGTTTGAAGAATAAGAAGATGATTTGGAGGATGGAAATTGTTGTGTTTGTTTGCTATTGTTACTGTTATTATTATTGGTAGTAGTGGTTATGTTATTGGAACTTTCAACTTGTTGAGATAATTGACTAGATTTTAGTGGTCCATTTAAATTTCCCGTTAATACTCCGTAATTGTTTGTCTCGGATGTTTTTATGCCACCACAATGTAAACCAGCCGCTGCGGCAGCGGCAGCAGCCCATAACTGTTGACATGCCATCTGGAAATTTTTGTGAAGAAAAACACAACCAAGATTACATTTAATCATAATTTATAGAAATGATAACTACATACCTAAATATCATTTTGAGATTTTGGTTAACTGAAATTTTAGGTAGAAGCTGTGTAAACTGGGGCATAAACAAAGTTGGTAGTATACAAATTCCTTATCTCCATTCCCACATGTGAAATCGTGAATGCGCACTGTTTAGGTAACCCATGGGATAAATCGACCGTCCATTGCTCCCAGGTCTTCATTGGTGATCTAACTTGAATGGGTTCATGATTTCAATAAGTTCTTCATTCATAGTTGAATAAGAAATTAATCTTAGTACAATAAATGACTCCATAAATCTATGCACCAATGAAACATATAGCTCAAACTGTGATAATATTGACATTACTTAATATTATCTGATTGGGGTGCACGAGAATATTGCAACCAATCATTAGAAACTTTGTGTGACTGCTCAGAATCGGTCACAAAAACCCAGATAGATTCATTCTTAATCTTCTGGCAGCTACTGAATTTTAAAACTATATTATGAATTTCATTCTACGTATTAACTCATTCTTCTCAGATTACATCGTTTGTTCTTGTTGTTTCCTACTACCATTTATACTATTGTAGTGAACGACAACACATGGGGACTACCAATCATGTTTCAATACATTACAGAATATGTTGGCAAAATCTGAGAACCATACAGTCATACTTCATTTACAAAATATCCATCAACTGTGTCAGACTTTGTTGTTCCTTCGTTTCTATTACCAATCACTCTCTATTCTTGTTCTTTTCTCTTTGTTTTTCTCAACCTTCTGCTGTCAGGCATTCCACATTCGATTGGTGAAACTTACTATTTATATCTGTCAAAATAAGTAGCATCCACCTCACTATTACTATTTCTTCTACAAGGGCACTTATCATGAAAGTTTTATATGGTTATGGTGATATGATGTAGACCCTTGAAGTGATAAATATATGTCACAGGTTCTATGTTGCTTATGACTGACCGATTGACTGACCGCTCTCCTCTCAATCAAAAGTTCTTTAGTTTGTTGCTGTGTTGATATTTTAGCCTATAAAATGTATCTAACACTTATGAAATTTAATAATGATATATTTAAAGAAGCACCAGATATATATTCGCTGCACAAATCTCATTTCATTTGTGTGAGAGCCATGATACTGCCTAGGTGCCCAAACTGAAGCAAGTGGTTTTCTTAGAGGGCCACAACCGGAGACTTTGACCTAAAAAGTCTGATCCATAAGGCAGTGGAGCATCATGAGGAGATGCAGTCTCATGGTAGTCGGTGACCAACGATTGACTCATACGCCATTTGTTCCCTCAGGTTACTGGAGCCCATGTGCACCATTGGTTTGGAATCAGGGTTTTCCAACTCCCATAGGTAGATTTTCCGTGTCCACCAACCCGATTAAAGCGCCGGACATTTGTTTTTCGTCCTATCAATTTCGTAAACAATAGTAATGCGTGGAGAAGGCAGTGAGTAGGACTTCCCTGGTAGAGGCTATATACGTGTGGCCATATGAGAGCATTTGGAGAGGGAGAGCTGACTCAACTCACTCTCAGCCATACCAGGACATTTGGGGGCAAATACTCGTATATACATCCTTTTGTATTAGTTAAGATATACATTGCTAGACTATGATGTTGAGACATCTTTTTGCTAATGTAAAACTATTTATGCAACCAAGATATAATTCACATATCATACAATTATGATTTTTAAATTCCTTATTTTATATAATAAAACAAACCTGTGCAGCTGTTTTAATATTTGAATCCTCATTTTCAAATGTGAAGCTTGTTTGTTGTATTCGATTATTATTATTACTAATAGTATTATTTGTTCCAATGAGTTCACGTTTATTCACTTCAACTGATGAATTCGATCTACATCTTAATTCTATGTTTTCATTATGAATACCAGGACAGTCGTCATCATTATCATCATCAACATCATCATCATCCCCATCGCTGTTATGATTGTCGTCATCATCATCAGCGGCAGTAGTGTCTTTATGACGATGACGACGAAGATTACTTACTTTTCGATCAGTTTCATTGAAATTGTTCAATAGATTATCTTTACCATCTTTTTGAATATATCGATCATCTGAATGCAAAGCCATTAATTCATTTTCATCATTATTATAATATTGCAATTTATTATTCAACTTTTCATGATCTAACGGCATAAGTGAGGATCTGGAATCGCTATCTATATATGGAGTACCTTTAGAGTGAAATTTAAAAAAAAATAGTCAAATTATTCCAATAATTAATGAATTAAAGAAGGGGTTTTTTGTGGAGATTTGGTATTTCATAGTTGAAAGCGTGAGTCAATTGAATCTAGACCACCAGGGAAAATCTGGAAGCACTGGATAGCCTTTTCGTCCTATTGGTTGGAGTTAGACAGTGGTATATCGGTTAAGTGCTCTGGCGCGAGACTGATAGGTCCTGAGTTCGAATCTCGTTAGGCGAGGTCGTGGATGCGCACTGCTGAGGAGTTCCACAATAGAACGAAACGGTCTTCCAGTACTTCCAGGTTTTCCCTGGTGGTCTAGCTTCAATTGAATCACATTTTCAACTATAATAAATTAAAGGTTTTATCAGATTATTGTTTGAATGAACTAAAATACTGAAAAATAATAGGAGCCGGAATCTCAAAAGTTTTAAATTGATTAATCCTCACTTAGCCTTGAATCATATTTTTTACGTTTAGCTCATTCTTAAGTTATATGTGGTAAACATTTTTGAGTCATTTCGTGTAGTTTAAAACTACATTTGATCATGATTTACTGTAAGCTGATAAAACACTGAAATCCATCAAGTAGAACACAGCCCACTATTTCATATGAGAATCTTCAATACGAACGTCAAAACAGTTCTACTGTACGGAGATGAAATATGGAGAACTACTATATCCATCGTCAAGAAGGTACAAGTATTTATAAACAGTTATTTACACAAGATACTCAACATTCACTGGCCGGATATTATCAGCAACAGCATTTTATGGGAGAGGACAAACCAGCTTCCAGCTGAAGAGGATAATAGGAAAATACGTTGGGAGTGGATCGGGCATACATTAAGGAAATCACCAAACTGCATTACGAGGCAATTCCCAACTTGGAATGGTGAAGGGAAGCGGAAAAGAGGAAGGCCGAAGAACACATTACGTCGGGAAATAGAAGCAGATATGAAAAGGATGAATAGCAACTGTCAATTAACAGTTGACTAATCGAAGATGGATAAAAAGAAAAAGGGAAGTGAATTAATAATCAATGATTATTCACTACTAATTATCTTGATTAACTCCGCCTGTAGCTCCTCTGGGGGTTACTGTCGGTCCCAAGCCGGGGTAAAGAAGGAGGGTTGGGCATGGGGTTAGCGACCCCATCCCGTAGAAAACCAACTCGCTAAAAAAACGCTAACCAGAAAAAATCATTCAAACCATTCAAACTCTGTCCTGGGAGTAGAAGGATTAATTATGACGTTTCATGATGAAAGCCGAGTTCCTTCGGAAGTCATGTGGCCGATGCACCTTCTTACAACCAGAGCGACAATTTTTATAGGTACATGGAATGTCCGAACAATGTGGGAGACCGGAAGAGTGTTTCAAATTGCTGCAGAAATGAGAAAATACAACCTGGAAGTGCTTGAAATCAGCAAAACACATTGGACGCAGGTTGAACAACAACGACTGTCTTCAAGAGAACTTCTGTTATACTCCGGTCATGAAGAAGAAAATGCCCCATATACACAACGAGTTGCATTGATGCTGTCCAGAAAAGCACAAAATGTACTTATTCGATGAGAATCTCATGGACCAAGGATCATCAAAGCCTCCTTCAAAACAAAGAGAGAGGACATTACAATGAACGTTATCCAACGCTATGCGCCGACCAACGACTACGATGAAGACGCTAAAGACCAATTCTACCATAGGCTGCAGTCGATCTTCGAAAAGTGCCCAATCAAGGACCTGACAATTCTGATGGGAGATTTCAATGCTAAGGTTGGAATGGACAACACTGGATGCGAAGACGTCATGGGACAACATGGACTGGGAGAAAGGAACGAAAATGGTGAGAGATTTGCAAACCTATGTGCCTTCAATAAACTGGTCATAGGTGGCACCATATTACCACACAAAAACATACACAAAGCCACTTGTATTTCACCGGATCACACTACACAGAATCAAATCGACCATATCTGCATCAACAAAAAGTTCAGGAGGACGATGGAGGATGTGAGAACCAGAAGAGGAGCTGATATAGCATCCAATCATCATTTGCTGGTCGCCAAGATGAAACTAAAACTCAAGAAGCACTGGAGAACATCACAAACGTTTAACACGGCCTTTCTTCGAGATGCTGACAAACTCAACAAATTCAACATAGCCCTCAGCAACAGGTTCGAAGCCTTTCATGATCTACTCAATGGAGAGGGGACTACCATGAAGAGCAACTGGAAAAGTATCAAGGAGGCAATCGCTTCAAAATGTCAAGACGTTTTAGGCCAAAAGAAGCACCATCACAAGGAATGGATCACTGTTGGTACACTGGATAAAATTGAAGCAAGGAGGAACAAGAAGGCAGCAATCAATATCAGCCGAACCAGAGCGGAAAAAGCCAAGACACAAGCCGAATACATAGAGGCAAACAAGCAAGTGAAGAGGAGCATCAGAACCGATAAACGTAAAAAAAAACTACAGGGGCATCACTCTTCTCTCAATACCAGGAAAAGTCTTCAACAGAGTATTGTTAAACAGAATGAAGGACTCTGTAGACGCCCAACTTCGAGATCAACAAGCTGGATTTCGTAAGGATAGATCGTGCACAGATCAAATCGCAACTCTACAGATCATTGTGGAACAATCAATCGAATGGAATTCATCACTGTACATCAACTTCATCGACTACGAGAAGGCATTAGATAGCGTGGACAGGACAACATTATGGAGGCTTCTTCGACACTACGGCGTGCCTGAGAAGATAGTCAATATCATAGGGAACTCCTATGATGGACTAAACTGCCAAATCGTCCACGGAGGACAACTCACCGACTCGTTTCAAGTAAAAACCGGTGTTAGGCAAGGTTGCTTACTCTCACCCTTTCTCTTTCTCCTGGTGATCGACTGGATCATGAAGACGTCAACATCTGGAGGAAATCATGGGATACAGTGGACAGGCAGGATGCAGCTTGATGATTTAGACTTCGCAGATGATCTGGCTCTTCTATCACAAACGCAACAACAAATGCAGGAGAAAACGACCAGTGTAGCAGAAGCCTCAGCAGCAGTAGGTCTCAATATAAACAAAGGGAAAATCAAGACTCTCCGATACAACACAATATGCACCAATCAAATTACACTTGACGGAGAAGCTTTGGAGGATGTGGAAATCTTTACATATCTGGGCAGCATCATTGATGAACACGGTGGATCAGATGCAGATGTGAGGGCGCGGATCGGCAAAGCAAGAGCAGCATACCTACAACTGAAAAACATCTGAAGCTCAAAACAATTGTTAACCAACACCAAGGTTAGAATTTTCAATACAAATGTCAAGACAGTTCTATTGTATGGGGCGGACACGTGGAGAACTACGAAAGCCATTATCCAGAAGATACAAGTGTTTATTAACAGCTGTCTACGCAAGATACTTCGGATCCGATGGCCAGACACTATCAGCAATAAGTTACTGTGGGAGACAACAAACCAGATTCTATCAGCGGTGGTAGAAATCAGGAAAAAGCGCTTGAAGTGGATTGGGCACACCTTGAGGACATCACCGAATTGTGTCACAAGACAAACCTTCACATGGAATCCTGAAGGTCAAAGGAGAAGAGGAAGACCAAAGAATACATTACGCCGAGAAATTGAGACAGACATGAGAAGAATGAACAAGAACTGGAAAGAACTAGAAAAGAAGGCCCATGACAGTGTGAGTGGGTTGTTGAAAGCTGGTCGACGGCCTATGCTCCATTGGGAGTAACAGGCGTAAGTAAATAAGTAAGGCAATCAAATGGTTGTATCAAAGGTAATTCACTCATAATGAACATTTCCTAACAAAGGTTAATTGAAATTCAGTTAAGATTATTAAAAATGGGTTAATGTCATATATATATATATAACACTTAACTCCGCCTGTAGCTCCTCCGGGGGCTACTGCCGGTCCCAAGACCGGGTAAAGGAGGAGGGTTGGGCATGGGGTTAGCCACCCTATCCCGTAGAAATCCAACTAGCTAAAAAAAACGCTAACCAGAAAAAAAGTAATATACAACACTCGAAATTACCTTTCTCATCTAAGTTGATTAGGTTAGTTTCATTTGCCGTTAGATTTAATGGTAAACTTGAAGTGAATTGACAATCATCATTATCATGTAGGGTTAATTTACTCTAATAACAAAAACAGAAAGACATAATGGAAATTTTTTTAAAGAAACATTATCAATGTTGAGTATATTCATTCGTTTTTCTTATTTGTACATAAATAATATCCGTAAATGAGGAGATACCTGAGTTAGCTCAGTCGGTAGAGCAGAAGACTATTAATCTCAAGGTCATGTGTTCCAGCCCCACGTCGGGCTTCGTTCGATGAGGCAGTGCACCGTATCTGCTAGAACTGTTACTGGGTTTTTTTGTTCTACAACATAGAACTTGTATTTCTTGCTCATAAAAATTTGAACTGGTAATATGAAAACTGACGGACTATAACTGATTATATAAACTATCCAATACTGGTTCATCAGGCTAAAGGTCAAGTGTTCACAATGAAACTTGAAGGTCATAGGTATAACCCCTGTCAGGTCGTAGATGGTTGTTGTTGAAGAATCCCATACTATAACGAAATAGTTATCTGGTACATCCTAGTAATCTAACTAAGATCAGTCGGTAATGTACACTATAAGATTCATTAGTCTCCACAAGCACCCTATACAATTAATAATTATGTGCTCAATAGTGACTAATTTCAAGAGGTAACTCTTGGAGTTCCAGTGAGAAGCAATTAGTTATTTATTGATCCGAGTTTGAAATAGATAGTTTGTTCAAATTCTTGGTTTACCTAATCAATAATAATGTAACTCGTTTTCTAGTATACTTTTCAATTTACTTTACTTTGACCAACAAAAACTGATTTATATCAGGAGGAGATTTTGTGGATATTATAGTAATTTCGATAGTTGAGATCATGAGTCTGTTGTGAGATAGTAACTCACTGAAGATAATGATGGATGTGTCACTCAATTTCGTGGATCGGTTGAAGTTAGACATTAACACTGTTGGATGCCAGGTCAGTGGTCTAGTGGTTAAGCGCTCGCGCGCAAGACCGATAGGTCCTGGGTTGTAATCTCGCGAGGCGGTATCGTGGATGCGCACTGTTGAGGAGTCCCATAATAGGACGAAATGGCCGTCCATCGCTTCTAGGTTTTCCATGATGGTCTAACTTCAATTGACTCATGATCTCCACTATCCAAATAACTGATTTGTTTACTCAAATGTTTGAATAAAAAGTTCACAGTTTATCATCATGTAAAACTTTGGTGAAGTCAAAAGATGACATCTTGTGGTTGGTATAGAACTATGCCAAAAATTGTACAGTTGAAGAAGAGTAACAGTTATCAAACATTGTAAATACATCCTTTATTATATGTATCTTAAGTATATCCACTTTAGAAGGTAAATTAAAATCGATTAATGACATTTCATCATTTGTACTTATATTTACATCCTATACAAAACATAATATTACACCATTAAAATAAACACAGTCTACTTCTCTAGTACTTACCTTAGACCTCAATCCACTAGATGTATTACTTTCATTTGTATCGATCAATAGATTATTGGGATTTGAATGATTCGCTTGATTACGCAGATTATTTAATATGGGAAATTTAAGACATCCATCTGATTGGTTTAATAATGATGAATTATTTACAAGATATGAATTGTTTAATGTTGTCGTTGTTGTTGTTATTGGTGATGTATTCATTGATATTGTTGTCTGTAATGACAGTGGCAACGATGGTGGTGTAGCTGTAAAAGCTCCAGGAAGTGTCGGAAATCCTGCACCAAACAACGTCGCCGCTGCTGCAGCTGCTGCTGCCATAGCATTAGGATCAGTAAAATTATTTGGTATACCAGGTAAAATAGTTCCTGATTGTATAGATGACGATGGTGATGAAGACGTTATGAATGGATCATCTGAATTATTTAATGATGTATTGAAACCTTGAAAATGTGATCCAATTATGGAAAAATTTGGAGCAGATATCATTGATGGTAGTAAATGAGATGGGAATAAATTCACTGGACTATTGCCGATTTGATTGGAAGGTACTGTCGCTGATACTGATACTGTTGAAGATGATGAGATTGTAGATGATGGTTGAAGTCCTAATCCATTCGCAGGTAATGATCCTGTTGGTATGGTAAGAAATGGATTGAATTGCCCAAATTGGGTATTAAATCCTACATTATTCGTGCAAAATGGTGTTGAACCTGTTGAAATATTGGATAGTAATTGATTTACATCAGGATTAGTTCCATTAGGAAATCCTAATGAATTAGGATATACAATGGAATTAGATAATGAAGGATTTACATTTAATGGAGATGGTGAATTCGGTATGGTGTTCGATGCTGTCATCGTAGTAGAAGTGTTGGTCGTTGTTGTTTGTGGATTTGCTGATTTTGTACTAACTGGTGAAGTGGAACGTGATGTATTTGGTGGATTCATCATAGGATAATCAAATGTATAGGAACTACGTCTAGCTTCACGTCGATTACCATCAATTGCAGCTTGTAATTCATTCGGTGAACTTAATCCAAGTGTTTCACACTCATATGGGTATAAATATTTCATATATCTAAATATATTAAATGATTATAATAACAGATATATTAGAGCTGGTTTAGAAAATAAATAGATGTGTTATTCAATCCATTATGTAATAATGACTGTTCCAAATGAACTTTTAAAGATTTGAAATAGTGATGATGAAACCATCTCGATTGACAGCGGAGCGTTTGTTATTGGTTATGATAAGGCATCAAAACCGTAGAAAGAAAAGGAAGTTGGAGTTTCTCAATCCTTAATGTGTTGAAATTTATGTATCCAGTATAATGAACAAGAAACTCTTAGTATAATTTCATAGATATGACAACTATGCCAACTCAGTGGTTATATTATAAATTATATAAATCTTAGGCAGTTGGAGGTAATCGATAGGAAATCCTAGACTTAGATTTACAGGAGAACAATCAGATCCCAAAGAGCTTGATGATAATGTTTCAGACTGTGAAGTTAGGTTATGTAGATTCGAATCACATCTGTTCTCTCAAGTACACCTTACTGACAACTAGCAGCTAGAGGATAATCTAACTTAAGGCTTTTCTATAGATTACCTCTAACTAGAATATATCAAATCCACTGTTTGATAATGAGTCAGTGACATGAAAGGTTTATAGGTTGAAAGAAAGGCAACCAAACCAAGACGTGACATTTGTCTATGAAGTTAATAAATGTCACACTGAGCCATAATAATAGATATTGACTACTTGGTTAAGGTTTACACAATTATCATGACCATTGGTTGGTAATATGTGACATAGCTCAGAATCGATCACAATGAATTAGATGTTTTCGTTCAAGACTCTTAAAATTACCTCATACTTTTTATTCCGAGAATTCATTCTTTCTTGTTATAACATATTTTCTAAATTGAATGTTTCCTAATATTGTGGTATGGTCTACTTATATATCCACATAAGTAGTATATGGTGATGGTCAGGCATAGAATGTATTTTGGCAAAAGATCGATAATGAAAGAACATGAGTGAAATGCAATCGGTACGAAAATGCATGAACAATGAAATCAGAGAAGATGGACTGATATTTGCTGAAGAAACAGTTAAGATTAAAATAATTGATTGTTATTTACTGTATGGTTACTGTATAGTTATCAGAATTTAGTGAGATAGTCTGTAATTTGTGCCTAAATAAGTTCAGTTAACCCACCCGTGTTTTGTTCACTACAATACCGCTGATATCATTATTACTTCTAATACTATGACATTTGTTTTAACGTTTTTATCTGAATGTACTGATATAGTATGATGGAATAAGCCTATCCTCGTTTCTATCAACGTTCCTTGCAATTGACTTCTATAATCGTCTAAAGCACAAAACAATGTAAGCTTTACAACTATGACATCTAGTTCAGACAATATAACATCTTAAGTAATCTTTCCATCTGTGTCACAAAATCTACTTGGCCATTAAAAATAAACCACAAAATGATTAATACATACATACATACATACTTACTTACATACTTACGCCTGTTACTCCCAATGGAGCATAGGCCGCCGACCAGCTTTCTCCAACCCACTCACACTGTCATGGGCCTTCTTTTCTAGTTCTATTCAGTTCTTGTTCATTCTTCTCATGTCTGTCTCCATTTCTCGGCGTAATGTGTTCTTTGGTCTTCCTCTTCTCCTTTGACCTTCAGGATTCGATGTGAGGGCTTGTCTTGTGTATCTCGTGTATCTTCTGGATAATAGCTTTCGTAGTTCTCCACGTGTCCGCCCCATACAATAGAACTGTCTTGACATTTGTATTGGAAATTGTGTTCTTGTTGTTGGTTGACAATTGTTTTGAGCTTCAGATGTTTTTCAGTTGTAGGTATGCTGCTCTTGCTTTGCCGATCCGCGCCCTCATATCTGCTACCCTGGTCTTCTTCTCCTCCATTTGTTGTTGCGTTTGTGATAGAAGAGCCAGATCATCTGCGAAGTCTCCATCGTCCAGCCGCACTCTACCTGTCCACTGTATCCCGTGATTTCCTCCAGTCGTTGACGTCTTCATGATGCAGTCGATCACCAGGAGAAAGAGAAAGGGTGAGAGTAAGCAACCTTGCCTAACACCGGTTTTTACTTGAAACGAGTCGGTGAGTTGTCCTCCGTGGACGATTTGGCAGTTTAGTCCATCATAGGAGTTCCCTATGATATTGACTATCTTCTCAGGCACGCCGTAGTGTCGAAGAAGCCTCCATAATGTTGTCCTGTCCACGCTATCAAATGCCTTCTCGTAGTCGATGAAGTTGATGTACAGTGATGAATTCCATTCGATTGATTGTTCCACAATGATCTGTAGAGTTGCGATTTGATCTGTGCACGATCTATCCTTACGAAATCCAGCTTGTTGATCTCGAAGTTGGGCGTCTACAGAGTCCTTCATTCTGTTTAACAATACTCTGTTGAAGACTTTTCCTGGTATTGATAGGAGAGTGATGCCCCTGCAGTTGTCACACTTTCTGAGATCGCCTTTCTTTAGTATCTTGATCAGAAGTCCTTTTTTCCAGTCTATTGGTACTTTTTCCATTAATATATACATTTTTATTATTAACATTACAGTTATTTAATCATTGTATAATGCATCACTTACTGTGTTCTCAATGTAAATGCAGCACTTGTAATTGATGATGGTAAATTTAAACCTTTAGTTATTTCACGCCATAATTTTTTATTAATCACTTCAACTAAACCACCACGTGCAACAACTAATTGAAATAGTTCATATAAATCCAAAACTTGTTTAGCCATAATTGGTATTCGATTAACTGGTGTACCTGTTCATTGTTTCAACAAAAAAAAGAAGCAAAAAATAATAATAGTTTAGTGTACCATTGAAATCTAGTGATCACTGTGTAGTTGTTTTGAAATACATTAGGATCTCATTAGGGGTCGAATCCAAGATATTCAGATCTGGTGATGAACCCTTAACCAATAGAATCACTTGTTCGACAACCATTTGTATGGTTTCAACTTCAGTCAATCCTTGTTAAGGCTTTGGGTCTGTACTACTTAAAAATATCATACTAGAAAGAAAGAGCTATCCTGTAATCCTTAATTTTCAACATCATAGCAAATCAGATCAATCTGTCACAACGATGACATGAAACAAAGGGAAGAAACTGTAAACATAATCGGATAATCTACCTAGTATTGTTTGTTTTAATCTTCCCATTGATGTTTTTAGGACTGCAACTGGTTAGTCTCTAATTGGCATATGTACATACTGTGCGTATTGCCTCGATATAGCCTAAATTCACTATCCATTTTTGCATACCATGCTTGTGAATCTAGGCTATATCGAGGCAATATGCACAGTATGCATATATGCTAATTAGAGACTGGCCAGTTGCAGTCCTAAAAACATCAATGGGAAGATTCAAACAAACAATACTAAGTAAATTTCAACTTCACCCCATTGCACAGGCAAGTGACTATCAGGGCTCAGTGGCCGAGTGAATAACGCGATGGCGTTTGAAGCGAAAGGTACTGGGTTCGAGTCCCAGAGTGAACATCAACTCTGAGATGCAGGTACATCCAGCTGACGAGTCCCAAATAGGACGAAGTGGAGCGCGTCCTAGATTCCACTGCTAGCCAATATCCATCTTTGCTTACCATAATCAGATAATCTTTAAAAAAAAATCAATTTGTATTCCTTAGCTTTAAGTTCATATAGGTTGACATACCAATGACTTTCTTTCTAGCCACTGTGTTTACTATTAGCTAAAATTTTATAGATGAGAGATAGTTCTACACCTGGAATCTAACAAAAGATAAACTGAATATATATATAAGCTTTTCCAATATAATTGATACTGTTTCCCTCGGTAAATATTTTAATGTTTTATCAAACATAATGAACAACAGTTATTGTCAACTGACTTTAGGTGACAACTCTTTTTCAATTATTTGATTTCTATCAGAGTGTATAGAAAATAATATAGTAATGCAAAGTATACAATCTTATTTGCATCTCTACACCCTATCTGATGTCTTGTTGTGAATATCAGTTTAATCTGTCTTTCGGTCAAAATAATATGGTTAAAATATTTTAAGCAGAGTTAGATAGCAACTGGCACATTTCATAAACCGGTGTTCATTTAGGCTTAGTGGCCAAATGGATTAGGCGTTAGATCTTGAAGCGAAAGGTGTTGGCTTCGAACCCAACGGTGAACGTTAACTTAAGTGAGATGGCCCCAGCTGACGAGTCTCAAGCAGAACGAGACACGTGTCCTGAATTTCTCTGTTAGCTATGATTCAATTCTGTTTAAAATACTTATGAATTGATGATGATACTGAGGCAATCCACACAGGATCCACATATGCCAAAAGAGACTGATCAATTACAAGTGCTTTCAAACAAATTGAAAGGTAATTTAACTATATATAGAGTTTGTAATATATGGAAAAACTAAGAGATCATCACAACTAGGGTCAAATGATAAATAAATCAATTACACCTTGACATATAAAAATCAGAAAGTCCAATATTTTTGTAAAGTTATTTAGCTCAGTACGAATATGACATTTAAATTTTATTATAAAAAATTCTAGTATGGGACTCCTCAACAGTGCGCATCCACGATCCCGCACGAGGGATTCGAACAGGGGACAATGGTGAACGGTTGCGTAGTATCGTGGATTAGTTGAAGTTAAACATTAACACCGTAGGATGGTATAAGGGTTAACCGTTCGCTCGCGAAACCGAAAGTTCTGGGTTCGAGTCCTAAGTGCACGATCGTGGATGCACGCTGTTTAGGAGTCTCACACTAGGACAAATCAGTCGTCCAATGCTTCTAGGTTTTCAATGATAGTCTCACACTGATCCATTCATGATATCGATCTAAACTCAACAATCTTCACAACCTTATACTAATACTATAAATAAGCAAATTTGTATCTGACAGTAACTTTTGTCTCAAACTGTCCCAGTTTAATAGTTCTCAACAATGCATATCTATGACTTCATCATAGATCAGAACTCATGAGGGACATATTAACTTTAATCCACTGAATAAAAATTAAATCATCACATATTGCTGAGGTGTACAAATTGTTCCAGTCTTCTTTTTTTTCTATTTTCAATGGTTAATTAACTGATTTTTATCTATAATAAACTGTGATGAACTAATCATCGAGATTTATTTAACCATTATTTATAATTACTTTCTATTTAAAAAATTTACCATAGAAACTAAATGGATATATAGGTTGTGTTTCTTTTTATCATAAATTCAATCATATCAAATCATATGGAAAAAATATTGAATAGAAGGGGTTTTGTGGATATTTTAGTATTTTCATAGTTAAAATCATAAGTCATTTGAAGCTAGACAACCATAGAAAACCTGAAAGCACTGGATAGCCGTTTCGTCCTATTGTGGGACTACTCAGCAGTGTGCATCCACGATCCCGCACTCGTGAGATTTGAACCCAGGATCTACCAGTCTTGCGCCAGAGCACTTAGCCGATAGACCTCTGAGCCGTCTGACATCCAACGGTGTTAATGTCTAACTTAAGTGCTCTGGCGTGAGACTGGCAGGTCATGGATTCGAATCTCGTGAGATGGGATCGTGGGTGCACACTGCTGAGGACAAAATGGCCATCCAATGCTTCTAGGTTTTCCATATTGGTCTAGCTTTCAATTGACTCATGATTTCAACTATGAAAATCACCATTATTATTATTATTATTATTATTATTATTATTATTATTATTATTATTATTATTATTATTGTCAATGGTTGATATGTGGTACATTCCTACTTTTTTTATGTTTCCGAGTACGAGTTGATGGGAAATATGTACATACATGTAAGTGCATTGTGAGTGTGTGGATACATAGACAGAGTTTTTTTTCTTTTTTAACAGTTTCAAAAAAAAGTATAAATAAATCAGGATTAAATGTGTGTATTTGTTTATGTCTCTCTATATATATGTATCTAAGATATAACGAAGATAGATATATGGAAATAGATAGAATAAACTTAAATTCAAGACACGTGTAACCGGAGCTAAAAAAGAAAAAGAACCCAGATTGATGAAAAAAAAATATTTTTTTTTTTAAAAAAAAAAAAGAAGAAAGATGGGGGAGAAAAAGATTCAGTCTAATTAATTTTTGATTTTCCTTATACGATCTTGTATGTTTATTATTTTGTTTAAAAAAAAAAAGAAGTAACCATGTACTGACTATGCCATGACAACACAACTGAACACAACTGATTGATATTCATAAAAAGTTCATTATTTATTATGAATAGTATTATTATTATTATTATCAAGATCTATACAACACAGCTGGTTCTGTGTTATATATTAGGGTAGTTTAAATTTTACGGTTTAATTACTTTTGTACACTTTATTTTGATACAAAATAATAATACGATGGTTGGATCAACTGACGTCGTTCATTACTATTATTGTTACTATTATTATTATTATTATTAGTAGTAGTAGTAGTAGTAGTATTGTAGTGAACAAAACATGACTGGTTGGGGACAATCGAATGTATTTAAGCAAACATTACAGACTATCTCGGTAAATTCTGATAACCAAACAATAAACAGTCAATTTGTAAATTAACAACCAATTGTTTCAATCTTTACTGTTTCTTCTCTTATTCCATTGCTCATGCATTTTCCAAACGATTGCGCTTCATTTCAGTTCTTTCTTCATCGGTCTTCTGCGAAAGTACATTCTATGCCTGACCCACACCATATACTACTTATATAGATATAAGTAGACCACACCACAGTATTAGTAGTATTAGTAGTAGTATTACCAATAGTTTAAAGCATAAAACACATAGATATATGTATACCTTCGTATATTCTGCTTTTACCCATCACCTTCGTATCTATTCACATCTTCAATCCACTACATATACATATATTTATTAAATTTCTTTGTTTGATATCATATAACCTCAGTTACATACTACTTATTAAAAATTAGTCATATTTATTTATTGGTACACTGTTATAGATGTATGTATGTAAGTCACTGATCGTTTGATTGACTGAATGAATGAATGATTAGCCTAATTAGTAAGGAATTGACTAAGATTATTAGATATGGTTATAAAGAATTTTTCACCTACAAATAATAAATAATATCACATGTATAATAATTCGGAAAAAATTGTCCTCACAGATATTATTATTTATGTAGTAGTAGTAGTAGTAGTAGTAGTAGTAGTAGTAGTAGTAGTAGTAGTAGTAGTAGTAGTAGTAGTAGTAGTAGTAGTAGTAGTAGTAGTAGTAGTAGTAGTAGTAGTAGTAGTAGTAGTAGTAGTAGTAGTAGTAGTAGTAGTAGTAGTAGTAGTAGTAGTAGTAGTAGTAGTAGTAGTAGTAGTAGTAGTAGTAGTAGTAGTAGTAGTAGTAGTAGTAGTAGTAGTAGTAGTAGTAGTAGTAGTAGTAGTAGTAGTAGTAGTAGTAGTAGTAGTAGTAGTAGTAGTAGTAAGGAAGGAAGGAGGAGGAGGAGTAACCAAAAGAAAAGTTATCCCTAAAAGAAACTGAAGAGCAAAGGTGTACATATAAAATTGAATGACAATAGATTGGGTGATTGGGTTGTTTAGTGAGTTAGTAAGTGAGAAGGTGAACTAGAAGTAAATGATAGCAAGAGAAATATATCGAAAAATAACGAGGAGTGAGAAGAGGGACAGGGTTAAATTAATAATAGTGATAATAACAATAGTAACAACGAAGACAAAAAATATCATTATTCCTACCCTACACATTCAAGAAACGAGAAACGAATTGGCTCTAATTTATATGGT